TACTGTTAATTGGGCCGAAAGTGGAGGAAACTCTGATAACCGGTGATAAGAATCGAGATGCAGTCGCGCTTCGTGATAAGGTTCGCGTAAGGTCCGCGACTCGGGTTTAATGCAGCCTTTGGTGGACAAGTGTAGGGGAAAGAAATTGCATTATCGGGGGATAATTGATGCGGGAAATGAAAAAAAGTGAATTAAAATACCGAGAGGGGGGGGATTTCGATTCCGTGACTCACCTGGGCGTAATCGCGGGAGCCGCGATAAAGGCCGAATTAAAAATTCACCGGGCATGACAGCGGGGAGCTTGCGCTATATCCCATGCTTGGTAATTGCAGGCTAATTGCTGTACAGTTACGTTGCCGTTAATCGGCCCGATAGCGGCGCAGAACTCCGATTCCGTGACCTGAGTATCGGCACGCGGTTTTCCGCATGCGGGGGCAAAACTGGGGAAAATTCTGCGAACCCTTATTGCGCGATGCGCTGATAAGTTTGTGTATAGGAAAATCCTCGGGGATTCCGGTAATTATCCAATGGGGTTCCTTATCAGTAAAAATCGAGGGGAATTATTTAATAGAGTTCTTTATCGGTGAAAGTCGACGGGGATTACCGAATGTACTGCTTTATCAGTGATGTCCAATCGATCGCGATCGGGTCGACCCGTCGCCGTCGTTCTTGGACTCATTGACCGATTCGACAGCTCGAGTTCATAATTCATAACCCGCGACGTAAGCAACGACCCTATGCGGATCGTTCCCCGAATCTCCAGTCAATAACCCATTTACGATCCGCGTGTGAACCGCGTGTCTCGATGCGGCTCGCCGCAGCGATCGATCCGGCGCGGAACGCGATTCCGTTTCGCCCTGGACAATCCCGCCTTGTCAAGGGAACGGTGACATTGAAACCCCAGATATCCCAGATTACACGTTAACCCGGCTGAATAATTATTCCCGAATTTTTCTACGTATTTTGTAAAAGGGGATGGATTTTTTTTTACACGGCTACCTTTTCAGGGATTTTATTTTCTGACCGGGTGTAGCGACAGGGGACCTTTAATTACTGATTAAATATCGATGGACGGAGTTTCTTCAGACGACTGGTGATTGGCCACGGAATACCTCGGGCTTGGGACTAATTTTCGGGGTATTGGGCAATTACGATAATCGAAGTGCCTTTCTACGTGAGATGGGCTTGCGCAAGGGTCTCTTGCGTGACGCAGGCATTGACCGTCGAACCATTCGCTAAATGAGTTCATTTGCCTTCTGGAGAGAGAGCCGATCCCGATTGCACCGAGGCTGGTATCGACGCCGATCGATACTGATCGGGGAGCAATTGGGGGGAGACCATATCGGCGGCCCCCGTAAGCAGATTAAAGAATTCGGGAATACTGACGAATAACTTTTCTTTTTCATTTCGCCAATATATACCTAAATTTCGCCAATTTATTTCTACGCACGAAACGAGCCATATATTAATCGATTACATATATACTCCGGCACGGTTGATCACTTTTAATCACAAATTATTTAGCCGTGCAAATGTGCCCGAAACACAAAAATCGTAAAAAGTGGGCGGAGTAATACGAATAACGATGGAGTAATAAATAAAAAAAAGGGAATAATCGCCCAATGACTATTATTTATTATTCCATCATTATCGTGTTACGTATACCCGATGAACCAGTCTCGTCGACGCGGGACCGATTAACTTCTTGCGAGTCTCTATCAACCCCATCAAGGGGGTTAATCGGTCTTGTTAGACATGGGGTTCACCCTAGACAGGCTCGGGGGCAGGGGGGAGGAGGAGGACCTCGTGATTGGTACAAGTGTCCCTCGCACTTGTCGTGTCCTCGATCTCTCCTTGCCTTTAACGACTCAGGGGTAATCTAGCAAATCACCCCTTTCTCGAGGAGACACCGCGAATGGGGTGTTTCGACCCCCATAAAGGGGTCGTTCCTCCCCTCGACTTTCGGCGGCCCTGCGGACTGAAGCCGGATTCTCGAATCTGAATAATCCTGTCTTTTTATTATGTTTTTTATCTACATAAAGGGCGGTTTCGATCGACCATTGAAGAGGGGGGTACCATTGGCTAACATCCCCCCGCTTCATCAGCTGATCCGCGACCGGATTCCATCCGCTCTTCGCGGGGGGGAAGTTGCCCCATATTGGACATCTCGTTTCTCTGTTTGCCCACCGCGCTATCGGACGAGATGCAGCCCCCCGATTCCGCAAGACCATTTGCAAAGGAAACGTACCGAGTGCCTCGAGGAGAGGGGAAGCAAAAAAAGCGAAACGTATGAAACGTAAAAACAAACTCTATAGAAGACCCTGGGGCGTCGGGAATATAATTATTTCGCCCAGAACAGCATTTTCCGCCGGTTTTAACGCTCCCTCCTGTAATTCAACTCTCTTTATCTCCAGTTGTTACCTATTAGTCATTTTGCTGGTTACTCCCTGTTAAATGATAAAAAGTTTCACCGCCGGGGGAGTGTCGTCCCGTTGACGGCCTGGGAAACCAGAAACGCCGCGAAGTACACGAGACAGGGATTTACGCAAACCCTGAGAAATACATTTGGCCCTCCCGTGAGACGTGCCGCCATTTTGCGACCCTTTGTCCTCCGGTTGAAATTCAAGTTTGGCCATAAAAGCTCCATCGATCAGAAAGTGCGCCGGACGGGAGAGGACAAAGTTTATCCCGGCTATCGTCACGATCTGTCCGATGGATTTGGGGAAGGGGGAGGGATAAGGAGGGAGGTTGCCCTAGATTCCGATATTTCCACCTTTGGCTACTCTTTCGGGCCGGACTTTCCGACCTGGTAGGACAGAATGGCTCGAGTTACCCCGAGCCGCGCCTGTCCAATCACATTTGGCGCGCCCACTCTACGCGTTATGACTTTTTATAATTAACAAGGTGTTTTAAGGTGATTAACGTCGCAGGGGGCGACGTCTAGCCGTGCGGAGTCCTCGTTGTCGCGCCATCTTGGCGCCGTGGGGGTGGAAAGTCCTGGAGAAACGTCGAGGCCGGGTGCAGCACTTCCGCGTCGGTCGCGTCACCTAGTGGTCCCAAAGAATCGCCTGTACACGCGAGAGGAGGCTCCCTAGCGAAAAACTCATTAAGAAGACTTTTGTAGAGCGCCTCGTAACGAGCATCTTTTGTCTGGGCGAAATTTCGCCAGCTCGCGCGGTTCGCGAGTTACGGGCGAGCGCCGCCCTGAGGGATGAAGCCTGCGGCTTGGAGGCGCTCGCCTTTTTTCATTAGCAAGTCGTGAAACACGCGAGCTGGGGAAAACTTCCTGGGACGAGAAAGTTCCTCCCCAGGAGGTGGCCTGATATCGCAGGGGGATGAGTTTCCGCGGGAGGGGCGGTTTCGGGTGGGAAATCTCATTTTCGAAAAGGCGCATTACGCGGTCGAACGACGCTCCTCGTAAGGGGGATGTTTACGCCACCTTGCGTCGCTCGCGAATTTCCCGAGAAATGCGAGGGGGGGCGAGTTGCCCGCTGAGGGGCGATTTGCACCCCCAGAAACGTATCCCCGGTGGAATGAAAATTTTTCTCCCCCCGAATCGCCGACCTCGTATAAGGATTTACGGACTCTCCGGGCATCCCCTCAAAGGACTCGGGGGCGTTCCACCCCCGAGTCGTGCGACTACAAAGCGACATTGTAATTCTCGTTCTCACGCGTCGCCATGACACCCCGAGACACCCCAAATTCGGAGTACACACGTCCGACGAAATCCAGGAAATCCTCCGACCCCTCGTCCTTCCGCCCCCTTAATAAATCAATATAAAGTACTATGGAACGCCTAAGACGATTAAACCCATCGAATGCCGCGTTTAAATTAATGCCGGGATTAATCGATCAAAATAAAGGGACCTTACAGCTCGTATACTCATACCAGCGAAGTTTTGAAATTCAGGTTATCCTTCGAGCTCCTCCACATCTCTGAGAAACGTCCGTAGGAAAATTCCTAAAAATGGTTAAATCCATCATACGCTCGGTTTACGATAAATTTAATCGAAAAGCATGTCGGGGGTTAAGGTTCCCCCTATGGGGGTTGCAGGGAGCGGACCAAGGAGGACATTCGTTCTTCTCTCTCGGCGTTGACGTACACCTGGTGTAATGGACGAGCAACCCCCTCGGCACGCACGGCCCTTACCCGGCATGTGGGTCGTACACAACTAGTTCGCGAACTAGAAACGATCGCATACGATGGACTACCCGTCGGGCCAGTGACGTCACGCGACTCTATTCCTGGACACGCCACGCAGGGTGCGGCTAAAGATAGAAGTCAGAAAGGGCGGTCCCTCAATGGAGTCGGGGGTCCTCGCCCCCGCCGATCGGCGCCGATCGCCATCGATGGCCCATTGATCTCTCGACTCGACTCGGATTTCTTTTCCCCGTTGCTCGCTGCCGTGACTCCGATTTCCTCGGCCGAAGGAAGGGAGTGCCACCCTGGAAAAATGAAAATGCGTATTCTCATTACTTTTCCCCAATTTCTTGTTGCACCTATTTTTACAGCTGCAACCGTCGATTGGTCATCTTTGATAGTGGGTTAGTCGTTTCTATTCGGATATCAATGTTTATGGATTTTCTTTATTAGATGAAAAAGAACGTCGGGGATGGCAAGGACTCTTGGCGATAAGGGGAACGGGGCTCGAGATAGCCGAGCGGGTCTCACCCTCTCGGTGGAGGCGCGAGAATTCCGCCCCCGCGGAGGCCCCGAGGCTTCCGGGAAATTATTACTTATCTCGAGGAAATCGGCCCCAGGGTGTCGGAGCTCCCTGGGAAAAACTCCCGGGACACCTCGGCCTCATTCCGGGGGGCATTCCTATGCGCCCCCGGGGTCGGGGGTGCACAAGGCGACGCGCATCCGATGCAAATGTCACGACTTGCTGCGCCCCCGGTGCGCCCCTTTAAGCGAGCCGAGCCGAGTCGAACGATTTTACGAGAGGAATTCCATTACCAGGCGCCCGATGTGTAACCCAGGGATTTCGTTTCCTTTCCAGAGTCCGCGTCGAGTACTACGTCAACGAGAACACGTTCAAGGAGCGACTGCAGCTCTACTTCATCAAGAACCAGCGCTCGAGTGAGTTGATTACCCCTTTTGATACGCTAGACCTCGCGGGATTCGCTGCCCGTCGTGGCCTAAACGTAGTTAAATATCGAAACGGAGGGCTGTCATACTTGGAATTGGACTTTTCCGTCGCAAAATCCGGAAACGACGGAAAATCCCGCGCGCTGGCGATATCTCGGGCGGCCGGCCACGTGGCGCCCCGCGAAACGTCAAAAACAGCTGACGCGCCAACGGCCCGAAGGACTGACGCGGGATCTGCGCCCCTCGGTTTCAGGTTTAAGGATACGACTCGCCAACCTCTTCTTCAAGCTGCTGACATGCTTTCTGTACATATTCAGAGTGGTCACGGACAGCGACCCCACGTTCGCGGCATGGTGAGCCGATTTTTCGCAATTATACGTTGAGTGTACAACAGGGTAGTAATGGCGATTTCTTTTTCTTATTTTTTTTTTTTTTAATTTAAATGTCGACTTTCTTTACAGCTACGGTTGCACGCCAGGGAACAAAACGGAGTTCCTGGCATCGCAGAATCTTACAGAGGAGGAGTTCCAGGAGCACCCGACCATCAATTGGGACGCCATCCTGTGGGTGAGGAGACCCCTGGAGCTATGGGTGGTCCAGGTGATCCTGGCTATGGTGTCCCTGACGGAAGCCCTGCTCCTGGCGTACCTTGGATACAAGGTATCGGGATCGTGGAGGCTCCCTATTTCCCGTAAAGAAAATTCCCACTTCCGGGCTGGCATATATCCCGATACTCTTTCTCTGTCTCTCGCTTAGCTCCTGCACTCTGCTACTGGAATGAACCGTCAATTAATCTCTAATTTAAATTAATTCCCGGCGGTCTCGAGATTTCGCACTTCGATCTCGGTCGGCAATTAAATGCGGCTTTTAGGCGCCATCCGACGCCGGAAATTGCGCCGTTTAACCGGAACAAAAGGGCCGTCGTCGATCCGACGCCATGATAGGGCTCGACTTCGCGGGGGAGATTTATCGTTCGACTTGTCAGATCCTAACTGGTTTGTAACTAGCACCCTATGTGCCAGGATAAGGATCTGTCACGGTGCCAGGCCTCAAGAGCGCACGCCACCGCTGTCAAATTCAGGGACAAACCGGAAGCTGTTAACAAAACCATTAAAAAGCCTCCCCCCTGCCAGAAGAAAAATCACCTCCTCCGTAACATTAATTCCCGACGAATATTATATCACACTACCTTATCAGGGCGCAGCATCCGCCAGGCTGAACTTCGCAGAGGGATGAAACGGAGCAGCCACTTAGGTGGATTAATTTTTTCATCCATCTCCCCCACCCGGTGGTTAATTCGCCCCCGTGCAATTTCGATTAAACGTCCGGATTAGCCAGTAAAAGTCTGGGGGGGAGGAGGAGGAAAAAAAAATTCCCGTGGGTGGTCGCGGGGATCGATCCCTCACCATCGCGGCGTATCGGGCGCGGATGCTCAAGAGAATGACAGGGCGAAGGAAAAGCGAATAAAGTCACGACATCCTCTCTCAGGGCGGAAGTGAAATTGATCCCTTTATCGAGGGTGCACAGGCGGGACCTCGCGGTATTTTTTACACGATTTTTAGAGGGCGCGTTTACGCCCTGGGAATTTTAGAGGGCGCCGTGCAAACGCGGGCGGTACGTCTTCTGGGGAAAAGTGTCACACCGTCTGCATCGGGGATGACACCGGAAGCGGGAGGGCCGGAGGGGGGTCCCGATGGGACCGAAGAGTTCGTCAAACTGGGGAAATTAGTTCGCCTCTCGAGGTCTCGCGAATCTGGGCCAACCCCGAAGTCGCGGCCCTCGTCTTCGTCGCGGCATCTGCATGCGGTAAAACGTCGGCGACGCCGTAAACCGGAAGCTTCGGAATTAGTTTTCGGCTCGACCCCGTATGGAGATGTGCCCCCTCGTATGCTCTATGCACCCGGGATGCGTGTTCCGCCCCGCTGCTCCAATTAACCCGGCGTTAAAGTCCCCCGCAAGTGTTGCGCGTTAATTCCCCAGGGCAGGTTAACGAGAGGGACGCGTCGCGGGTTTGCGTCCCCTCAGGCTCGATTATTTAATTCCCGGATTTCGTGTCCCCGGGAACCGGAAGTGTGGAGTCTCGAGACCTGCTCCAAATCGCGGATGGATTTACGCCCGGAAGCCTGCTCGGCATGGCCGCGCCGTTGCTCGGCGTTGCTCGGCGTTAATCGCCGTTGCTTCACGTTGCTCGACGTTACTCGGCCATGCTCGAGCACGCCTATAAGTACTCCGCTTCGGTCATGTCGAGCTGTCCTCCCCATGTCCACAGGGCAACGTCTGGCAGCAGCTTCTGTCCTTCCACTTCATCCTCGAGCTGGTCAACACGATCCCCTTCACGATCACGGTGAGTACTCGAACTCCCTCGAAACGACTCACTGAACTATACGTACCGAAATATCGTAAACGGGGTTTGCAATGAATAATCGATCGAGTAAACAACCTATATTTGCATAACTGATGACTGTACGTCCATGGGCTAACTTCACGGAGAAATCAGTCGACCGCTCTTGAGGCTTCGGAAACGCTTCTATGGTTTTCACAATTAATTTTCGAGGCTTACTTAATTCATCTTGGAAATTAAAAAGAAAATATAAATAGTAGAAGAGCAAGGTAGGTACGAGTGTTTAAGGTGGTCGGGGATGAACTCTGAGAGGAATCAGCTGATCGCTCTTGAGGGTCCAGCGTTTCTATGGTGAATAATTAATTTCCTATTCAGCTTAGTCGGTGTTCCGGAGTTTTGCTTAATTTTTCTTGAATAATTCTTTGGGTGTCAATGTCAGAGCTAGGGTACTTCATTATTTCTGCTTATTAATTTCTGCCCAAGTGGGGGGAAAAGAACGTGGGAGTGGAGTTTCTCATCCGGGTGGAAGGGCACTCGGAACCAGGTTGGCTCCTCTCCCTCGAGGATTAACCTTCATCCGGGAATGAACAGTGAACGTAACGTCGTTACTGGAGTCGGTATTGCGCTTTGTAATTTAATTAGCCCGACGTCATTAGTTTTGCGTCACCCGGAGCAAGACCCAGAGGGGGTCCCTGCAAGTGGCAGGGGCGCGACAACGCTTTGTCGCCGAATCGGTGCCCTTTGTAACCCTTTCTCTGTTAACTAATCGCCCCTAGTACCGTTGACAAGTAGGATTGCTGGTCAATTAGAGAGCCCCACGAGCCGAGTTTCCCTAGAAAACGGTCCTAAACCAGGAAAATCCCCCGAAAATTCCACCTCTCATCAGGAGGCCTCATCAAGAATTCCCGAAGAAGCCTCGAAGAGAGGTCTTCGGATTTCTATTAGAAACACCTTATCGTGGGATCTCCTCCCCGAGGGGGAATTAATTCTCGATCCGAGATAACGAATTCAAAGGGGGTGGTAACGAGGAGGCTGATTAAAATCCTAAAATCTCGGAATTCCAGCTGCTCTACCCACCCATGAGGAACCTCTTCATCCCGGTCTTCTTGAACTGCTGGCTGGCGAAGCACTCCCTGGAGAACATGTTCGTAAGTACCGATCCGTATCAATTTATATCAATTAATATATCAACTGGTAATGGAAGTTCCACAGTGGGGAGAGATATCGGAGGGAATATTGGCGGATCTCTAATTTCAGAACGACTTGCACAGGGCGATGCAAAGATCGCAGTCGGCCCTGAGCCAACAGCTGATGATCCTCAGCGCGACGTTACTGTGCCTTGTCTTCACCAGGTGAGTCTATTCTCTTGATAGCATATCGATTCTTCATTTTATTCAACCCTTTAATTCCGTGCCTCGAAGGAGAGGCTCGTGCCGGGAGTTCCTCGAGGAATCTAATTCCTCTTCGCCGGCGATTAAGAAACGAAGAACCGAGGAAATCCAATGATCGACCTCTCGAAGTCACGTTAAATAAATACCAGCCAGGGATTCCATTTGACGTGGCGTCCATTTATTCAGGAGGTCGATTAATCCGCCGACATAGGGCTCGTCAGGGAGCTCCTCGAGGGAGTCTTCCTGGGAAAGAGAAGCCCTCCTCGAGGACAAGGCAGTTCTTTCCTCGAAGGAAGTCCTCTTTCATTTATTCAGGGACCTCATCGTCCGCCAGGCGATCGACCTTTCGACTCGATCGGATCAGAACGAGCCAGTTCCAATTTCGTCGAACCCTTTCGAGCCACCCCGTCGATTGTTCCTCAAGTTCCGCCCGCGGGGACGCGCGAGGTCGTCGAAAAGAATCGGGATAAAATGGGAGAAGAAAAGAAAAAAATGTCTTAAAAAATTCAAGCCAAGAGATTCCGTATTAACGTCGATCCCGGAACTCTGTCGAAGGAAGTGTCAAAAGGAAAATCGAAAATCGAGGAACCAGAAGTCAGTCGGAAAATCCCATCTGGTGTCGGCGACGCCGAGGGCTCCTTCAGGGTCCCGGACTATTGGCCTTGTTGTACCTACAGCATGCTCCAGGGGCTGTTTGTCTCTGTCCCTGGTTGACACTGTCCCCTCTATTGACGTGGACATCCGACATCGATCCCGTCGAGGGTGCCGCACCCCTCGGCCCCGATAGAGGAGCCTCCGATTTCGGACATGTCCAAGTATGTACCTCCACCCTCGGAATCGTACCTCACAAAGGCTCGGTCCGATAAGTCGCGGCCCCAAATTCTCCCCTGAATACCGATATTGCGGAAAACGCTGCGGAAAGACTGCGGAGACTCCTTCCACCCATGTCGCAATGGCGCGTCTTCCAGCAGAAGCATTAGCTCTTATCTGCAACTTCGAAGGCGCCTCGCTCGACGGCTCTTCAAATCGAGTCAGGTAGCTCCTCTTGGAAATTAACAAACAACTCGGGGAATAAATAAATAAATAATAATCGGGACGCAGCGAGTTTCCAGGGTCCTCTGATGAGTCGTCGCGAGTCCCTCTCGAGACATCAAAGCGGGCGCTTGATTAAACGACCGGCGTCTCTTAATATAATAATATTTTATTTAATATTTCCCATTTGACGTTTTCCTTCCATTTCCGGGATTTCGAGAGGGGCCGCCTCGGTATGTGCATTACGGCCCTCCGATAGGCCTGGCACGTCACATGTAGGTCAGAGGATAAATAAATGATCGTGCTTTAGCATGGGTGTACCACTTGTACGATATCGATCGTCCCGATTAGTTATTTATTATTGTAATGCGGAGCATCGGTCGACTCGGCCTTGCCTTCTGTATGGCCGCCGATAGGCCGAGGAGATCTCTAGGTGGACACGAAGGGACAAAGGAGAGGAGAAGGGTCGAGAAGAGTGGACAAGAGTGGACAAAGATGGACAGGGGGAGCCCTCCCGTATTATTAATATCCGGCCTTTATGCGTCGCCATTAAGTCCCCTTGCCTCGAAGAACCCCGAAGAGCCCCGAAGAGCCTTGAAAAGCCATGAAAATCCGCGGACAGCCCTGAAAGGCAAGAGGGCGGAGGGCTAACGAGGTGAGCGCCGATGGCGCCCCGGAACGACGAGTTCCACTTTCGCCGATAATTTCTGGAACCGTATGCGGCCGAGATTCGCGGATTACGGGGTGCACCTACCTTTCGGGGATCCCGGGGAAGCTGGGAATAAATTCTGGAAGGGTTGGGTGACAAACTTCCCTCGATTTCAGGTCGCCCCGTAACGAGGGCTTTACGTCGCGGGGCGGGTGGAGATTCGCTCCGGGAAATTGAGTCCCTCCACCCGGGCGCGAATTAGACGGCGCAATGTCGCGGTTTACGCGCGGCCAGGGGCCAGCGGGCAGGGGGTGCGGAAAAGTAATCACGCGGGGAGAAGCTGGGAAAAAGCTCCGGGAAAAAGCCGGCGAAGTTCGCCGCACCCGGGCGGGTTAAGACCCCCCCGAGTGGTCGAGTGGAGAGCTCTCGACCCCGGGAACGGGGCCTGTAAATTTCCGAAGTTGCGGGGGATCCGAGGCGATCATCTACCCAATCTGAGACTCGACCTTTGTTGCAGCGTCTGCGGGATCCAGCACTTCCAGCGAGCCGGGCACAGACACCTCAACCTCTTCCAGAGCACCTACTACGTCGTGGTGACCTTCTCGACGGTGGGCTACGGTGACTTCGTACCCGACATTTGGCCATCCCAGTTGTACATGGTCATCATGATCTGCGTGGCGCTCATAGTGCTGCCGACCCAGGTGAGAGTGGGTTCCAAGTGCCCTGAAGAGCACCCTAAAGAACACCCTGAAGAGCCAGGAAGAGGGACTCCCTTCCACCTTGCAATCGCTTTCGCTCGCTCGCTTCTCGTAACTCTCCTCGTGAGGGCACTTTCCACCTCCAACCTCGACCTCCTTCCACGGGCCTTTTTACGAGCGACCTCCTAAGGTCTCGTAAACCCTTCTCGCGGGACCCCCAGATTTTCCCGCGGCTCGCGGGCCGCCTTTTTACTTTTTTTAACCCTCCCGTCGCCCGTTTTTCCGCGTTTTCGGAACCACTCTCGAACGGGGTGATCCGCGTTGACAAGTCGCGAGTTTCCACTCGGACGACTCGGAAAGCCTCGTCGAGGTCGGACTTGTCCGTCAGTCGGTCGGTACGAGCTGTCGAGCTCGTCGCTAGTGAGCGATACTTGAAAACTGGATGGACTGGGAATTTAATTAAACCCTAGGACGTCCGAAAGTGTCGGCCCTGTATGTCGATGAAACTGGCGATGGGTCCGGGAGTTGTCCCTACGCTCTTCGGTGTCCTCTTCAGAGTCCTCTTCATGGTCCTCGTGGTCTCGCTTGCAGATCCTTATTAACCATTTCTGGTGGCATTTTCAGTTCGAGCAGCTGGCTTTTACGTGGATGGAGCGCCAAAAACTAGGAGGGTCCTACTCGTCTCATAGAGCCCAGAGCGAGAAGCACGTCGTGGTCTGCAGCACGACTCTTCAGGCAGACACCATAATGGACTTCTTGAACGAGTTCTACGCCCATCCCCTGTTGCAAGTTGGTACCATTGAAATTGCTCCAAAAGTCCCTCCTGGAAGAAGATCCTTCCTTCTCATTTTCATATTTTTCCCGTCCCCCAGGATTATTACGTCGTCCTATTGTCGCCGATGGAGTTGGACACGACCATGAGGATGATCCTGCAGGTGCCGATCTGGGCCCAGCGGGTGATTTACATCCAGGGGTCCTGCCTGAAGGACGGCGACCTGGCCAGGGCCAGGATGAACGAGGCCGAGGCCTGCTTCGTCCTGGCGGCTCGAAATTATGCCGACAAAACTGCCGCTGACGAGCACACCATCTTGAGGTCGGTACTTCTCAGTCCCTCTTTTATTGATTATTAATCGATTCCTATCACTGATATCCATCCTGGTCAGTAGGTCCTGGGCGGTAAAGGACTTCGCCCCCAGCGTTCCCCAGTACGTGCAGATCTTCCGCCCAGAAAATAAGCTCCACGTGAAATTCGCCGAGCACGTCGTCTGCGAGGACGAGTTCAAGTACGCCCTGCTGGCGAACAACTGCACCTGTCCAGGTGCATCGACCCTGGTGACCCTGTTGTTGCACACCTCCAGGGGACAGTGAGTGTCTATAAGGACCCTCCCCACCAGGTGAACGTTGGTGCCCTGAAGTGCTACTCCTCGATTTCCACTTCCAGGGAGGGTCAGCAGTCTCAGGAAGAGTGGCACCGGCTCTACGGCAAGTGTTCCGGGAACGAGATCTACCACATCATCCTGGGCGACTCCAGGTTCTTCGGGGAGTACGAGGGCAAGTCCTTCACCTACGCGTCCTTCCATAGCCACCGGAAGTACGGGGTGGCTTTGGTAGCAGTCCGGCCAGCGGAGTTACCGGAGTTCTACGAGGACACCATCCTGCTGAACCCTGGTACGCGGTCCAGGGTGGAACTCCTCCTCTTCCCTTGATCCTTTACCTTGATTCTCCTCCATGGATCCCCTCGTAAGGCGAATCGCTCCTGGGGTCCCTGCTATCGAGACATGGTTTATTCTTCAGGTCCTCGCCACGTGATGAAGAAGACCGACACCTGCTACTACATGAGCATCACCAAGGAGGAGAACTCGGCGTTTGTGGTGGCCAATCAGCAGGGCTCGGCCGCAGAGCCGACCCAGGTGTTGGTGGAGACGAAGAGCGACTCCGGGGGTGCTGGGACCACCGGGACCAGCGGGCCCCCGGGGCCTCCTGGGACCACCACCACCACCACCACCACCTTGACCACGATCGGTACCTCGGGTGGCAATGGTACAGCGGTCGGCTACGGTGCGGAGGCGCACCGCCGGTTTTGCGACAGCCTTGCGACTAACACCATGCCCGAAACACCACCTAGGCCCGAAACCTGCACGGGGACCTTGGTGCAGGGTCGCGCCCCCCAAGGGCCGGGCCCTGGGGCCCCGACGCCGCCCCAGGTCATCCTGCAGGTCCCCCCTTACACGCCCACACTCCAACACCACCACAACCTACTCGCGTCCGATGTCCACCGTGAGTGTCGCATGTGCTTCTGCTTTCTTCCGAGTAGCTTCTTCTCTCTTCTAGCTCTCTGTCGCTTCGAGGTCGGACGCGGAGGAGAGAGCAGGAATTTATTACGAAGAGAACTCTTCAGGTACGCTCTTCTCCGCGGGGGAGGAAGGCGATCCGACTGGCTTTAAGGGGATGTCAAAGTTGCATCAATCGTTTATACAAATTTTCTCCAAACTGGGCGTACCGATTCGTCTTAAACATTACCACACGAATAGGAAGGCTGTGAGGATAAATCGAATGACCCTTTCATATCACCTTAAGGACCGCGTAGTTTTGCACCCTGAAGGGAGAATTAGGGCAGGGTTCGTCTCGAATATCAAGAGGTGAGGTATTCTTGGATGGTGATCGTCTTCCTCAGCATCGATGTCTTCTTTTTGTGCTTTTCTTCAGCGAGGTCGGCGACGATGATCCTGGACTTTCTGGATTCTTTTTCGATTTTGGTTTCTTTTTCGTTTCTATCGCATCGAGTCGTAACAAAGTCTATCTACGGGGTCATCGTCGTCGGGGTCGAGCTCTGCTGACGCAGCTTCGACGAGCTCGCTTCACGTGGTCGTTGTCAATGGTTGCGAGAACACACGAAAAGGTCGTGACTCGCGAGGTCGATGGTCCCGCCACTTCGATGACAGAAAAAGGAACACGTACAATGCTTGACGCTTGCGTGGTAGCCGAAGAGGTCGCTTCAGGTCCTCTGTGACCGTCTTCCGGTGCTTCGTCGTTACAGCGACCTACCTCGATCCCGGAGGACTGGGGGACTCCAGACAGTGCCTGAAGGATGGCGCAGGGTCCACTCCTCAGACCCCGGTCACTGGGAACCACCTGGACGTCCCACGGTCCATGGAGCCCAACCCTAATCTCCTCAGTCCGGAGATCATCATGCAGAGGAGAGGTCGGTTCTCCACCTGGTCCCAGGTGACCTAAAAGCTGGTCCAGAGCCTTGAAGACCCGATTAGAAATTTTTTTTACAAGACGTGTTGACACTTTTTTTTTTTCACAAGACGTGAAATTGACATCTTTCTCATAAGACATGAATTCAATTTTTTTTTTTAAGACGTAATGGTGACTTTTTTTTTACAAAGCATGAAATTTATATCTTTCTCACGAGACACGAAGTCGAAATTTTTCTTCAGGTAGCAGACGTCCCAGCATCCTGCCGGTTCCGGACATGCTGACGAGCTCGACCCTCCACCTACCCGGCCAGGAGTCGCTGGACCATGACGGCGACGAGTCCGAGGACGAGATGGACGACGACGTGCCTTGGAGGTCGCCCAGTGAGAAGATCGCGTGAGTCTTCGCTAAAGGAAAGGACGAGCCACCAACGGGGACCGAATCGCGTTTGCATGACGTGCACTCACTCCACCAAAGTATCCCGCACCTCATTACCCACCTCCGACTCCGCCTTCTGCACCTTTCGCACCGAAGAGGTACCCGAAGAGGTACTCGAAGAGGGTGCGTCCCCGTACAACACGTCGGTACTTAACGTCACGGGTCGTCACCGGACCCGCGACAAACGCGAAGGCTTAGGATTCACCCCCGACCCCCTTTTAAGCCGGTTAACCCGCTTTCAGCAAGATGTAAACCAGTTGACTCCCCGCGAAGAGGTTATCGACCCATGGAGAGGTGCTCGCCTCCACTTCGCGCCCGGGGAAACTTTAAGTTTCGACTTAGAGGACTTCCTGTGGTACATTGCATAGAGACATTGATTAATTTGCGAGAAAAAAATGAATCTTGGAGATTCGTTGGACTCTTCTAGGTCGCACTTAGGCGGGTCCAGCTCGGTAGGTTTCCATTATTGGGCAGGTCATGGTTCGCCAAGGTGGCTGGAATGTCCTTTCCCAAGTCCACGCACGTAATACGTTCACTTCCTCCACTGTCTACGTCTCTTGACACGTAAATCTCGATTCGATGTTGCATTGCCGTTCGGTGCTGTCCTGCCTGCCACCCTAAACCCCCATGGATGTTTTCGATGTCTTCCCCGACACCCTTGTGCACCGTGTCTTGCCGCACTTCGCTCCCTACCGGCAGCTTCAAGGGGTGAGTTTTCGTTTTGGACTGCATTTTCTCGATATTATTTCCCAGGGCCTGCAAACATAGTCACTCCACCTCCGTAACCTCGTATACCGAGTGTCCCATGGAATCGACCCTTGTTCCAGGATCGTGAAGGGGTTCCCACCGGTGTCGCCGTTCATCGGAGTGTCGCCCACCCTGTGTTACCTGTTGAAGGAGAAGAAGCCCCTGTGCTGTCTCCAGCTGGCCCAGGTACTCCAAAAGACGCCCCTAATTTAATACCCGAAGAACACCCTAAAGAGCACCCTCCTTTTCTCCCTTTCCCCAGGTCTGCGAGCACTGTAGCTACAGGAACGCCAAGGAGTACAACTGGCAGAACAAGACCATCATCCTGGCAGCAGATTACGCCAGCAATGGGATCTACAACTTCATCATCCCCCTCAGAGCCCACTTCAGGTAGGTACTTCAAGGTTTATCCGCACGCAGCGTCGATTTAACGCGCCTTTTCTCTTCCAGGTCGAAGACGTCCTTGAATCCCATAATCCTGCTCCTGGAGAGGAGACCGGAAATCGCGTTCCTGGATGCCGTCTCCTATTTCCCCTTGGTCTATTGGATGCTGGGGTCGATCGACTGCCTCGACGACCTCCTTCGAGCTGGGATCACCCTGGCTGAGAACGTGGTGGTCGTCAACAAGGAGCTCAGCAATTCTGCCGAAGAGGACACCCTAGCGGATTGCAACACCATCGTGGCCGTGCAAACCATGTTCAAGTAAGCTGGTCGTCCCTAAATTCGAGCCTGAAGGGGTAACCTTATCAGGGTATCTCGTGATTCCTGAAGGTAATCCTTCTTTCTTGCAGATTCTTTCCGAGCATAAAGAGCATTACGGAGTTGTCGCAGTCTAGCAACATGAGGTTCATGCAATTTCGGGCGCACGACAAGTATGCTCTGCATCTCAGCAAAATGGAAAAGGTACTCCTCAGTGCTACTTCCGCTGACAACCGCCTCGATGAGCCTTCGTCGGGCTCCCCGGTAACACGATATCACTCACTCTGAGTCCCTTGACCGATCGATCGATGCCCCTCGAGAAAATGTCCCGTTTAATCGAGTCCCGCAAGAACCTCGCTTTCCTGGGCTCTTCAGGGTCGACGCCTCGGTATTTTCCCGATCCTCCGAATTCCTGGCTTTTTTATCGGATTTTTACCCGATCGCTCCGAAAAGTGCAGTCTCTCAGGGGTCCCTCGACCCCACTTCGATCCGAGTGCTGCACTCAGCCGGGTGCATCGGTGCATCGGGACAACTCCGCGGTTTTCTATTTTCTACATAAAGTCACGATCCAAAATTGTCTCGGGGAAAAGGCCTCGACTCTGGAAGCTGAGGAGTCCTCGAGTAGAATAGAGCTTGCTCGATGTTGGAGACACGTTAGTGCACTCGCAGCCGACCTGCAGCCTTTCCCAGATGACTGATCGTGAAATTGCATCCCCTTAGAGCAGCTCCGAAACGATACCTCGGATACTTAGGCAACATGTAATTTATCCAAAAGCGAGAAAAATGCAGGGCGACTTCCTTGCACTCACGGAGGACCCCGGTAGGACAAGTGAGTACCAGGCAAGGTGGAGACTTAGAAAAAATATATATATATATATTTACGAACTAGACGAAGTACCTGCCGGGCTTCAGCCAGGTTCCCGTAGAACGCGGCCTGCAGTCGCATAGTGCAGCAAGGAATGGCATTCTATCGAGTAAAATATCAAATAATGCATTCGGTAGAGCCTTAAGGTGGTATGAAAGTGCCGTCATAGGGTTCTCATTTTTCAAATTTTTAGTACGAACTGGGTGTACCGAATCCTTTGAAGCTTTACAACCTAAATATGGAGGCCTTAAGGAAGATCCTGACACTCATGAGATTTAACTTTTTATAGAAAAATGTTGAAATTACCTAAGCGAATTTTAGGAGTCTCGAGACCTTCCTAATAGCCTCCATATTCGCATTGTTAAGTTTGAAACAATTCGGTGCACCCAGCTCGGAGAGAAGTTTCATAAACGAGACCTCTGAGACGCCACTTTCACGTCACCTTAAGACTGTCAGAAGGTTGACTCTGGTTTCCCTGATTTCTTTGAATGCAAAGTGCATGTCTTACTCGGGACCAGCCCGGGACGGGGACCCGCTTGTGCAAGGACCCCGAAGAGCCCCTTGACGTCCCAGTTATCCCGGAATGCTCTTAGCGAAAGTTCCGTTGTTTCCCTCGACAACTCCGTTTGACTTTTTCTTTTCCAACATCCCTGCAGAGAGAAAAGGAGAGGGGCTCGCACATATCCTATATGTTTCGCCTGCCATTCGCGGCAGGCAGCGTCTTCAGCGCGTCCATGTTGGACACGCTGCTCTATCAAGCCTTCGTCAAGGACTACGTGATAACGTTCGTCAGACTCCTTCTGGGAGTGGACCAGGCCCCGGGTTCGGGATTCCTAACATCGGTGAGTGCGAGAAAAAAGTCTCCCAAAATTGATTACCAAACCTCAGAATCTTAATATTAAGGGGGTACGAAAGTGGCATCCACCATTTATGAAACTTTTCACCGAACTGGATGTACCGGTGGAAATTCTTTTGTAATAAAAGTTTAAACAAAAAGAAAAGAAATTGAAACTACGCGTGTCAGGGCCCTCATTATGGCCTTATTTGCATTGTAATGGTTTCAGACAATCGGGCGAGTCACCTTCGCGTAACTTTAATTCATATTAATCGATCACGATTAATTTAATCCTTCAGATGCGGATCATGAAGGAGGACATGTGGATCAGGACGTACGGGAGGCTGTACCAGAAGCTGTGCTCGACGACCTGCGAGATCCCCATCGGGATCTACAGGACGCAGGACACCACGGTGACCGACAATACTCACGTGAGTAGCCGTCGAAGCGGCCTAGAATAATGGCAGAGAGTAATTTATCGAGGGAGGAAGAAAAGAAAAAAAAAATAGAAATTAATAGAGAAGTCGCGAGATCGAGCCGCCATCCGGAGCGGGCAAAAGGGTCGACGTAGCGGCGTCGTCCAAGGGGATCCCATGGCCTGGCGATGGAGTAGTAAGGGTAGATTGGCTTGTCGTTTTAACAGGGTGACTCGGACGCGGAAAGCGACGGTGGCGTCGGTGTGACGTACAAGGTGCGTCGCTCTGCGGCGACGTCTTGCCTAGCTAATTGCGCCGCCCGCGACAGGGGCGCCTCAGCCGTGAGTACTCTCGGAACTGCGTCGTGTGCGCTTAATCTTGTCTCTTCTCGACTCTTCCTTTTTCTTCCACCCTTTCTCTCTGATCTTTCTCTTCTCCACGTCCGGGCTTCGAGTATGCGCTTGAGTCTCTTCTTGTCCGCACGCTCCGCCACTCGGCGGCCCCGAGGAGCACCGCCGCGCGTCACACGTCACCCTGCCGCGCGGGTGCCGTTTGCCTGGCTTCCAGGTGAAGCATCGCCCGAGATCGGGTGGCCGCTCTTCAGGGTGTGCAAAAGACCCCGCACCTAGGGGTGCAAGTCACAAAGTACTTTGACAAAACCTCTGACAATCCATGTACTTCGTTTCGACATAACCGACATTGTTGAAATTTAATAAAGAGCGTATCGGCGTTGCGAGATACGTCACCATGAAATTGACACTTTGGCATGACGCCACGAGACTATCGAGTGACGATCGGAATTATCAGAATTAACTGGGACTAGTTTGATAACTGAGACACGGCCGTCCGCCCTCGGCGCAGATCGCGGGTGCTCGGCCCTGGTCAGGGTGAAGCACCCGCGACTCCGACAGCACGGATCGTAAATTCGGCCCAAGACACGGTACATATATATAAATTGTTCTCATTGACAGTACTCGGTGAGCCTGGGGGACGAGGCCCGGGACAACCACGCCCAGCAGATCGAGCGCGCCGAGATAGCGAACCTGGTGCGCTCCCGGATGGAGTCCCTGAACCTGCCGATAGCGGACTACGACGACGTCTCCGAGAAGAGGAGCTCCCTGTCGTACGTGATAATCAACCCGAGCTGCGACCTGAAATTGGAGGAGGGGGACATCGTGTACCTGGTGAGGCCGAGTCCGTTTTCCGCGCAGAAGACGTTCGAGAGGCACAACTCGCGGCGGAAGAGCAACATCAGCTTCTGCTCGGCGCAGCTGGTGGCGCAGATGAGCGCAGCTGTGGCGGCCGCAGGGATCGGGGGCCCGGGGGCGGGGGCCCCAGGGGCACAGGGGCCCCAGGGGGCCCCGGGTGGCGCGTCGAGCCGGAGGGGCTCGGGCATCGGCGCGGCCAGGGCCCCACCCCTGGGGACCGCCAAGTCGAACTCGCTCTCCCTGCCCGACAGTCCCACCGTGGCCGGCGCCCTCAGGGGTCGGTCCAACTCCCTTAGGGTGGTCGACGACATCCTGCTGAGGCGCAGCAACTCGCTCCGCCAGGGCCTCCACAGTGCGGCGGCGCGCCGGAAGAGCAGCCTGGAGGACATCGGCCTGGGGGCGCTGTCGCACCCGTCGAACCACAACCCCATCAAGATCGCCTTGAACGGGTCGATTGGATTGGAGGTGACGCCCCCTGAGGAGGGGACGAGTCCAGGGGCAGGGGGGGCCAGCAACACCGGGATCCTGGACGTGGGCCTGCCGTCCATGCCCGTGCTGGGCGCGGGCCTGGGGGGCTCCCTGGGGGGCCTGTACGACCCGCCCCCCGTGCAGAGCCCTCTCGGGCCTCAGCCATCCTCCCAGTCCGGCACCCAGGAGCCCCAACACATCCAGGGGACGATCGTATGATATAACCTCGTGTGGGGGCGCCGACTATCCAGCGTCGTGCGCAACAAGTGGCTGTGAGCGCCCCCACATATGGACCCCCTACGGACCGACCGGAACGAGGGACGGCCCGGGGGGCCGGTTCGGCTCGGAGGTCGCTTCCTGGGGGACCGACGAAATCGGTCTGCCTGGCCGGACCTTGGGTCTTTATCTCCCTGGCTATTGGCAAGCGGAGACATTTTCACCGCGAGACCCACCCGGACGTCTGTCACTGATAGGGTACGAGGGTGGACGCGAATGCTGTCCTATCTTGCGCTGACGGATCATCCACAAGGAGTCCGTTAATTCATGTCCACCAGTGTACTTTGATTTGGCAGTCGGCTGGATCCTTCTCGCAGATGAGGTCGCAGGTTCCTTGCGAATGGCCAGGGATCCCCAGAGCCTTGGTCTTGGTCTATCTCGCCGCAAGACCGATTTCGTTCGTCACCAGGTGCCTCTCCCCAAGGGGTGGTTCCCCGGCGCCGAGCCGACTTGCCCTGCCCCTCGTGCACGAGCTCCGGGTCCACCGGTCCCGAGCCTCCGATCCCACCCCGAGCCGGCGCACCCTGGAGCGAGTTCGTCCTCGCCGTTTTTTTTTTTTTTTTCTACGGGATCAGGAAAAGGACACTCAAGAACTAACCGATCGCCATATCACGGGGGTCGATCCCCGGCGGCGTCCGGGGCGATTCCTTGGACGGCGCCATCGTCGGCGACCTCGCCGTGGAGGTCGGCCCCTCGCTCTCGGAGAAGAGGGAGGAAGAAACCGTTGAAAACATCGGGAAAAGGGTCGAAACCGACGGGAAAACCCTTTCGAATCGGGAAATGCGAGGCGCTATCGTTCGCTCTCGACAATCCGGACCGGAAGTGTCCCTCGAATCGACTTTCCAATCTCGACGGGGCGGCTGGGGAGTCCGCCTCGAGCCAAATGCACCGATTGACCAATTTACACGTATTTCTATCGAGTTACGATTTTCCAGTACCTTAACGAGTTGCTTAGACCGTGCTTAACGCAGAGGGCTCGCTGCCGATAGTTTTTACAAGTCTCCTCGCACGCGAGCTCGACGCCGCTCGTCGCGACGTTAATCCGCGTGTAATTAGAGTCACGTAGCGTCTTTGTACATAGAGGGCTCGAGGTATTTTTTCGAGAGGTAATTTTCTATTTTCACCGAGAGAGAGAAAGAGAGAGAGAGAATGTAGCAGTAGCGTCGGTTCTTAAATCCCTGGTGGTCAACTCTCCTTTTAAGCTTATGGACCCCGAGTCCGTAGTGCGCGTGCGCAGAGGCTCGCCGTCTCTTCGATTTATCCGATTCTCCTCGATCGATCCGACCCCCTCGATCTTAGGCGCCGAGAGAGAGAGAAAATAGTTCCTTCGACGTGGATAAAGGAGGACAATTCGTTTGCGTTAGGTAGGCGCGTCCTCGTCGTGGCGGGTACCGAGAGCAATAGAATTTCTTAGAGAGAAGTAAAATTTCTCGTTACGATCGCCGATCCTTTTGTTGCTTAAACTCCGGTTAAATATTTAAATGGCTAATATTTTCGGTTAGATTTCGGTGAAATGTCGAAATTGATTAGACGGCTCTCGGTACCCACTTTGACGCGCGCGCGTACTCAGCCCTGTATTATCGAGAATTAGTGCCACTTCGATTGAGCTAACTACGAAATCCCACCTTGATCCTTCGAATTATGAGATAGGAAGTTAATTCCCGAGGGGCGAAGTCAATTCGCGAAGGGGGATGCGCATGCGCGAGCGCACGGAGGCAGGAATGGGGATTTGATTTCGAGTCAGGCCGAATTTCGGTCGAGGGACTCGAAAGTGCCCTGCCTCGCCCCCCTGTCGAGGACTCGGGTCAGAGGACGGTGTAAATAAATTGCGCGACCTAAGTCTTTTAGCTGAATCCAAGTTAGAACGATTAGAAAAGAATTGGGGGGTCGTGCCGAAAAAATGGCGGCCCTCCTCGGGGGGCTCTTCGGGGCTCGACTCGGGACGCGGCGACAAAGGGCCCTTCTACCCGACCAATCCTTTCCTCGCCCCTTGTTTTGCACGCAAGTACCTTTCCCCGGGTGTATATAACATATATAATACATATAATATACATACAGTCTACGCAATACGTTCAATATACGTATATTATATACATATTTATATACACCTATCCCGGGGATCGCACCGTCATTCCTGGTTAATCCAGCCGAGTCTTAGGTCAGTTTTCCGATTTCGATTTCGACATTATCACGATGCATCCTGTCTACGTTCGCACAAGGCACCCCAAGTTCCTTCTGGCGTCCTGGCGAGATATCCCCGAGAGTACTTCGGCATTTCTTAAAGCTCTAAGATATTAGCGAGGAAGGTGTCCCGCCTTCGGCACTTCCCTATAAATAACTAATCAAACATGGGGAATATCCTTTAACCCTGACCGGGGGCATCACTCACTTCAGGGACATCTTCGCCAGGACGCGCACCGCGAGGCGTCGCCTCGCCGTTTTCTCGCACGAAATATCCTTTCAGCTGCCGCCGCGACTTTCGCGATAGCATCGATTACTGTATTCTTACGTAGCATAAGAGATAAGCCTCCCCGACCACTGAATAATAAATTCGTCAGTACGTGACGCGAGGGCGAGAAAAATAGAGAGAAAGAGAGAAATGATGAAAAAATCGAGCCGCGATATATCCGAGATCGAGCAGAGGGGGATGTACCTACGTACGCCACGTTATCACGTTACCACGTTACGCGCGTCCGCGCTAAGTAAGTTTATTATAAATAAATAAATTATTATAAATGATAGATCGAGAGCGCCCGTAGGGTCTCTGGTCATTCCGGGTAGAAGAAGGCCCTGAAGAGATTGCATGAGCCCCGTACTCCTAATCCTAGGTACGTGGAATGTTTATTCTACAATCAAGCTCGTGCGCGGCTCGTATACACTCTCCCGGGCGGTGTATCGGTAAATACAGCGTGTAGGTACAATATGGACAGTCCCAGGGCGACCTGGGGCCTCATCAGAGGCTCTTCAGGGGCTTCTTCACGTTCTCGGCGAACTGGCCGACTATGTTGCCCCTGGGGTGATAGCATGCGACGACCACGCAGGTCCCGTCTTTCTTGGCCATCGCGATGCCCATCTCGCTGGTCCCCTTCCAGACGATCTGGGTGAAGTGACCTGAGGGATGACGAAGAGTTACTACCGATCGACGAGACGTCAGGAAGAGTCTTCGGGTACCTCGACGAGGACTTACACGTGTTCAAGACCTTAGGTTCCGTTCCGAACTTGTGCTCCTTTCTTTCCGCGTACCATTTGGAGACCACCTCCCTGGCGGAGACCACCATCTTCGGGTCTGAGCACTGCATCGAGTAGATGTTCTCCCCGTAGGGCGACGAGGACTGTGGGACCAGCTTGTTCGTGTGCAGCAGGGTGCAAGCCCACGCCTGGAAGACGACGCCGATGTTAATATAGCCTAATTAATATATTATCATAATTAGGTAGGGCGGATTTCTTTAGATTCTACTGAGGGTGCAGCGACTACGGGACCCAGCAGAGGTTGCTGAAGAGGGTCTCAGGTCTTACCTTCGCCGCTGCACAGAGTTCCAGGTTCAGTCTCAGGTCCGGTACCGCGTGTCTCCTGCGGTACTCGTTGTGGACGGTCAGGGCCTCCTGCTGCCACGTCAGCTCGTCTATACAGGGCGCCTTGGAGCTCTTGACCTCCTCCTTGGCACACACCCCCGAAGGCGGTAACACGTTCTCGGAGAAGCTCCCCAGGAAGTTCCCGGCAGGACTGTAGTTGCAAACCACGTACACCTCGCCATTCCTGTTCTTGGCCATGCCCACTCCCAGCTCGCTACTGTCCCTCCAGACCAGCTGGGTGAAATGTCCAGTTTTGAGAGTCGTCGGCTCCTTTCCATACTGATGCTGAGACTCCTCGGCATACCTGCCACAGAAAGCTACGTCAAGGTAAAATCTAAAAATCATTCCGCACCGATCGATCTCTTCAAGGTCTCTTCCTTTCCAACCTCCACGTCGATCTCCCAGAATCGGAGCGAGTGTCTTCCACTTTTTTCATTTGTTATTTTTTAATTAAACCTCCTAATTAGAAGGACGTACCACTCGTTGACGGGCTCTTCACCGCTGACTATCGTCTTTGGGTTCGAGCTCCACATGCAGTAGAGGTTCTCCCCGTAGTCGGTGTTCGCCCTGTGCTCTAATCTACCCTTGGTGGCCAGGATGCTGGCCCACTCCTGACTAGTCTTACAGAGCTAAAATCGATATACATATTTATATTCCCGCTCTGGTATCACGACTTGGATGGTGCCGTCTGGTACCAGTGGCCTGGTCGAGGTCAAATGTCAAACCTGCTTGCTGAGTCGCAGGGGTGGCACTCCATGGCGAGCACGGTACAGGTTGTGGGTTTCCAGGCAGACCCTGACGAATTCCTTCGGTGGTCCCGATCTGCGCACAGACGGTTTACGCGTGTCAGTCTTTCCTATCTACAACATATAGAGAAGACATCCTTAACCACGTGTCGCAACGTCCTCGACGAGTGTCGGACAGGTCCGATAACCTGTCCGACCGCAAGGCTCTCTTCATGGTGTCTTATCGCTAAGTTCACTCCTATCACCGAGGGAAATCTCGCTCGCGTTTACCGGAGGTTTCCCATATCACTGTCAGCTAGCACTGTCGCCGACTTGATAACGTCGGCCTGTACTGACGGCTTACGAGACGTGGGTATTGACCTTATCTATTGATTGCCAGAGAGAACTTATTGATCTTATCTACTGATTGGCAGAGAGGACCACTCAACTGTCTCATCGAGATTCAATAAATGGCTAAATTCAAGCTCGATCGTCTATTAAGCATTTTTACACCTGTCCATGGACACACCTGTGAGGACGAAAAGCGACCGGAATCCGGCGACGCCGAAGAGGACCTGGCGCTGCTGCAGGACATGCCATCGCTTCCAAGGCTCCCATGGAAACTACCATGAAGAGAGCTGGAAAACGGTCCAGGGGATGCTGGTGACGTCGTCAGGGGCGACTTAGACCTGGCGGAGTCTGTCCTGGATCTGAAACATCGTCTCGTGAAATCTCGCTGACCTTAGAGCCGATATACAGAATCTAGTCTAAGTAACAGGTGCATCGCAAGACTTTCGAATTTCTACCGGCTCAGGTGAGTACCAAGCAACCAAGGTGCCCAAATATTCCCCCTAGTCGGGTCTAGGTGTCGAGAATTTCCCCTAGTCTAAGTACTACTAAAGGAAGCTGCTATAAACACTGATAAAAATCCCCGTGTCAATTTACATACTCGATCATTGTGCCGGGACAAATTGCAGGATAATTAGAACCTCTCTGTAACATCGCATTCGGTATCCGGTATCGTTTAATGTGTTTCTATGTGAAGCTTTAGGGTTTAAAAGTGTATGTAAATTTATCTCGATTTTTACCAGTGATTCTAACTCAGGGCGAAGCTTTTTCAAGGCGAAGGTAATGAGTAAAGAGGTCTGCAGCTCTCTAGGTACCTTTCAGGCGACAATTGGTCGACAAAGCCGACTGCCTTCTTTTTCGTCCCGCTTATGTTGAGCGAGGGCATACTATAAGGTTAAGGGCTTACGTGGGTACGTGAACGCACGTGTAAGTACGGTTCTAGGTTCTAAGTTCTAACTTAAGGTCTTTCTAGGAGGGCCCTGCCCCACCTGGTGGACTTGGGGGTGACGATGTCCCTGGTCTCGGAGGTGTACTTCCTCTCGGGACGCCCCCCATTGAAAAGCTCCACCGTCTCCCTCGTGACCGTCTCCAGGAGGGGTTCTCCACCTCTCTTGCCCTTGCTGAAGGTCCGTTGGTCCGTCTTCCTCACCATCACCACCCTCGAGAGGGGCTGGTTGAACTCGTGGCCGTGCATCGTCGGCGGGATCATCGCCAGCGACTGCGACAGCGGACCCCCGATCCTCGGCGACCTGGAAACCCGAGACCCTGGAGAACCCTACTTCCTCGAGGATCTCTCAATTAATTCCTCGATTGGATCGATTGGATCGATTAAATCGTTTAAGAAAGCCCGCTTAACGAGATGCCGCCGACTGGTCGGACGGCGTCGGTTTCACCGCCGATGAGAGGCATTAACTTTTACTTCCTTGTCGCTGGAGATTAAGTCGCACCTCCTGTTTTTCCTCGGTTTCGATTCGACTGAATCGCACTTTGCAACATTACGCGGGAGTACTCTTTAAGCCCTACCAGTCGAAGGTAATCATTTTTAATTCTTTAGCTAAAAGTAAAATCAGACCTAATCCCATTTTGCAACGTGGGAATTCATTTTAATCCCTAACCGGTCTGGAAGAAAAAAACGGCTTCCTGGGTGCCCTTGACATATCGATCCCTCTTTTACGCACCGGCCACTGGATGCGGAATGTTTCTGCGCGTCTTCGGCGACTCCGCGATTATCGAGCGCAGTCTCGGCCGAGTGCGCTCCGAAAAAGCACGGCTTCTTCGTTGGCCCAAATCACGGGGCACTCGAGCGTCTCGATTTCTCCGCCGGCGAGCCGCACCGGAATCACCGCAAACTCCCCGCGAGATGACCGGAGTCCGAGTAAATCAGAAAATATGGATCCAGGACCACCGATCCACTGAACAACTCGCACCTAACGTCTCAAATACCCACGACGCTCTAGGTGTCCATTTTGGAGAACGCCGGGTTCATGACCCAAGATTGAATTTCCAATAATTTCAATTGCACATCACTCGCAGCGAATCGCAAAGAATCCCAACGGATTTCAATGAATCGTAAGAAATTTCTTATGCCCGCCCATTTAATTCCAGGATATTTCATTTCATTTTCTTTTGGCCGCCATTTTGGAGAACGTCTTAACCGACTTGGAAAATTCATTCCCCAGGCTTGGGTTGCGCGTCCCTCGTGACGTATCGATAAATATTGATAACCACTCAGAATGGCGGACATTTGACATTATTTTTAGAGCACTGGGGCCGTCGGGGCCCGCGGGACTCCATTTTGGAGAACGACTCGGTCGCGGTCCTGGAGAGGCTCGCCTCACCGGGCGCGGAAACGCTCGGAACTGGCGCCGACCGGCTCGTAGTCGGTCACTCGAGCGGACGCTCGTCTTCTGGAGAGGAGAGGTGGCCGATTAGCCGTTACTCGGCATTGCTCGCCGAGAGCTCGACCGCGTGCGGTCGCGGGACAGTCGGCTGGAGAACGGGCGTTTCGAGGCGCTCTCGAACCGTCATGACGGCCATGACGATGCTAAACGACACGTGAAGAAAAGAAGCGCCAGGAAGAGAAAAATAGAAAAAGAAATCCCTTTAAAGCTCAAGTTGATATAAAAAGCGCGGAAGATCCTCGAGGGTAATAAAGAAAATGTTACCGAGCAGCGATGCCATTATTTAATGACATTTAATAATAATCATCGGGGACCCGGAAGCGAAAATTCCTATCTTGTAGGAAGCCGGAAGCGGCGAATCAGGGGGTGCCCTCTTCCCGGTTCCCAGGGGGTCTTCCGGTCGCGATGACCAGTGCTCGAGTCCCGCTATCCTGGCTGACCGGGATCACCGCGGCGGAACGGCACGGCATCTTCGCGAGCGGAGACCATCCGTGGCGGCGTGCGGAACGTGCGCCGGGCCCCACGTGCGCGAGAGAAGCAGCGGAGGAAGAGAGAGCGGGCTATGCGGGAGTCCGGGGGAGCGAGGGAGACGGAGAGCCCGCGCTGCGCGTGGGTGACGCGCGGGGCGGGGGAGGGGGCGCGGGAGTATATAAGGGCGGGAGCGCGAGAGAGCGCCAGAGCGCTCGGGGTCGCGGGAGCGCGCGGAGGGAGGAGCCGGCGATGCGGGTCTGCCAGGTGAGAGCGAGAGAGCGTGAGATGCGAAAGCACGTGCCAGATAGCCGCAGCGTGCGCGCCGAGCATATCGCGCACGCTAATTGCCGGGAACATCGCAGACTCTCCGAGAGACCTCTTCCTAGGTACCGAGAGCCCTATCTCGGATGAAGTATCGCTATTAAGTAGGTAAAAAATTGAACTTAAATATGAAATGTCTGAATTCTCCCGGTTTTTAGACATAGCGGTTCTAGGAGGCGAACAGGCGGTCTTCTGTCCTGTAACTAGGGTACCGACCGGGAGGTAGCGGGCTCTAACAGCCGATAATTAGGCGTTACGCAAACCTCGTTGGGAGCTGGTATTCTAACGAGGCGAACTTGAGACCCGGCTCCTCTTGTTATTATTCCTTCTTTTTTTTTTTCTAGCTTTTCTTCTCTTTCTTTCAGGATCCATCCAGCGTCCTCGAAGAAGTGCGAGCCCACCGCGAAGGTAGGTGCCGCCCCGACCTCCGGCTCTCGTCATGCGAATTTACTTGCGACGTTTATGCAGCCTACACGGCAGGGAAAGCCGTAACTCACGATCGTCGGCGGGAAAACAATCCCCTGTCTGGAGCCGTGTCTCGACTTTAGGCCGTGGCCATGGCGGCCCTCGAGACTGCTCGGCTCGTAATTCCATACCTCGCGTTACGACCACCTAGGAAAAGTCGAAGGCCTGCTGTTAAGCGACGCCCGGCGTCGATACATCGATACGGCAACGAGATACGATACGCTCGATCGGATGCCTTCGCCAATCGGTTATTGATTACACGAGTGACCCGACGACCAATGTCGAGACGGAGGTCGCGCTCGGTTGGACTTTCGATTCATGTAAAATAGTACAATTCTTTGTTATTTTGTTATATGAAATTATTTTCTATATGAAAAGAATATTAGTAGACACGTCTCATTAATTTAACCTCCTACCCTGGGGTTATTATTCTGGGTTAGGCGAGCTTTTGCGATTACCGTCGCACCCTTGGCGAGGTAATTCAATTCCTGGCCCGATTTTTATGCACTCCAATGTTTCCTATGCATTCCGACCGGCCGATTTTTACCCACCTATCGTGTCGCAAGTTTCTCGTCAAAGGATTGGATTTCACTCGCCACATACATAAGTGAAGCGGCACATTCTCGCACTTGTACCCTTACGTAATCCCCCGACAGTGACGACACAATACATATCGATTGCTTTGTTCGTCAATGGTGCGCCACGGAGAGACGAGCAACAGTATTTACGCCAGGTCGTAATCCTAGAAAATATCGACAACTCCCGACTTGGTAAAAAATTAACGAACAATTTATAATCAATCCCAGTCGAGCGATATTCTCCTCACTGCGTGCACAAATGCAAATTTCGAGATGTAAGGATTTCGAATGTAAAAGTGAAGAAAATGTAAAAAAAAAAATCCCATTTTCATTTTTATTCTCGCCCGGTCACGCGGATCGAAGACAAGGCGATTTCTTTCGCCGTGGAATCATCGTCATTATCATTATTACCTCCTTCTTATTATTACTATTTGTTGATAGAGTCCGACTCCGTCGAGCAGAACGATTTCCGCCGCGAAACGAAGGACGATCTCTTATCCGCTCGGATACATCCGGTAACCTCGAGAACACCTTATCACGCGATGATAACATATACAGGAAGACCCTTAAAATTTCGAAGAAACGTCAATGAGCAGAGATTGAAATCGAGGAGCAGGAAACGAACAATGCCTCCGTTAATAAGGAAGAAAAGTACGTAACTCTTAAACAACGGGTAATTATCCGATAATTGTCGAATTCCAAGAATCGACTCCTACAACTCCACACACACACAAGAAAAATAATCCATCGAACCAAAGAAATACATTATTAATTCAAAGGATAATTATTTATCTCATATCATCTGGAATAATTCAAGTGAAATAATTATTCTTCTAATTAATATATTTCTTTGGCACCATTGAAAAAAATATGCCAGATATTTTGAATCTTTTTTTTTTTTGGTTTTCAGTGTTATGAGGTGAGAGAAAGAATCATTCCATTTTCTCTCTCGATTTACCGGGTTTTACGGAATTTGCGAAGCAATAAGGTCGCCTTACCTCACGGAATAAGACCTTGCCGGTTTGGAGGCCATTGCCCCTTGAAGAGGGAGAAGGCCAATCGATAAGGGCAGTCCGGGGCCGTGGAGGCCGTAAACGAGGGATTTCTTGGCCGATCTTGAATTTATCCCAGTCTAGGGACTGGTTGGAGGAGAACTGCGAGCCATCCTCGAATCGATAGCTCGTCTCGCGTCTCCTGGCCTGGGCATTGCGCTCCTCATGGCCTTATCACTGCCTTTCTAAATCCGGCCTATGGGCTCGACTCAGAGTTTCACAAGAAACCTGGCCCCCGTTTTCTTCTCGAATTTCTGGGCACGGACACAAAGGGACACCCGCGAATCAGGGCACCGACACTTCAATTTCTTCGGGACTACCTTAACGCGAGATTGGTGATAAAGTGGCGGACAGAAGAGAGAAGACGGAAGTGGAAGGAATTTTTTACCGAAGATTTTCCTGGGATGGAGCGAGTAGGCACCGAGGGAATCTGGAAGACGAGGTTCCTCGGGTATTGGCCAAGTCGACTCGACTATCGACCGTATCGTACTGCGGCCTGCAACTGCATAGGACGGCGTGGAGCGGCCTGCAGCGGCGTGGCCGCCCGACCTCGTGCGCGCCCAAGGTGCGCGGCACTGCCGAACGCCGCGTGTCCTGCGCACTCTGCACCTCTATACAGTACGACCGGACTATACAGTGGTACAAGGTGTACAGGAGGACATGTCGTAAGGTCCTACGCAGAAAAACCCCGCTGAGCGATAAAAAGGCTAAAAATACGAGCGCTAACCGCGCCTAATGGCGGCGCGGATACCCGGGGCGTAATTGCAGGATATGTCGCCAATTAGAGGACCAACCGTGCGTGCCGTGGAAAAGTGTCCCGGACAAAACCGATTCCGAAGATCCTCCCGCGGATTTTCTCCCCCGGGAAGTTCCTCCCAGCACGCACCGGTGCGCCGGAAAACTAGCGAGAAGTCCAGGCGAGCCTGGGACTTTCTAACGCGGGGTTTCCGCGCGGGTTGCCAGGTTGATCCCATCGAGACACGGAAAAATGTGTCGGACAAAAAATGTTCCTGGGGTCGTTCTCGACAACTTTTACTCGACGTGTTTTCCTCTCTGAGGGCTCCCTAGAGAGGGAAGGGCGACTCGAAGACTCTCGGGCCTTGAGTAATGGCGCAGGTTGGTATTTTTTTGGGCCCCTTTTTATGGGACTTCATGGTGGGATATCGTTCCTTCGACTACCTGCCTTGACAATGGACTCCGGAATCCCAGGTGACTCGACCTCGGGTCTTGACAAACCGGGGAAGGGCGTGGAACACGACTTCACTCTTAACTTGGATGCGTACCTTTGAGTGCAAGTCACGTGTTTGCTGCCTTTAATGACGCACCGCACGATTTAGGCGGAAGAAAGCCGCAGAAACGACGATTTCCGACTGGCTACCCGTATCGACTATTCGCCACGTACTCGGGGAATCGAAAGTACCCGGCTCGGAGTGGTAACGACGATCTTACGTCACTTAAATGCGATACGCGATCGAACGGTCGACGTAGAGCTTCGCCTTGGCTCAGGGTCAGGGGTGCACCTGCAGCACGAAACGAGTTCCTGTCATCTCGCTCGATTAACAAATATTTATTAATTTCACGGAAAATTAATGTCGACACGTGACACTGGTCGTGACACTCCTAAAAATGATTCATAGACTTTGGCAAAAATTACTCATCGGCTTAAAATATTAATCATCACGCTCCTCGATGAAGGGTTCTCAGTGATAAGCCAGGCGAACGTTTCCTGGCCTTCCGTTATTAACTTAAATCCCTGATAGGGCCTTATTGTTCGACTAGCCCGATAATCAACTGATTAGAGACACTCCCTTACAATCAGAGGCCGACCTCGATTCCTGTCGGCCGATTCGAGGCCACGCCCAGCTGATAAGAGACAGTCCTTTCCTGAACAGCCATCTCATTATTCCATCAGCGTAATTTATTTAATTAAGTTCAGAGAAAAGTTTTATATTTTCACATTTGGATATACGTAGAATGAGATTTCATGTCCCCTTAAGAGATTCCGAATCGCTCTTCGAACCGCGATAAGGGGCCGAGTATAATCGTATATCATCGCTCTTATCATTTCGCGCTTATCGATATGTAAGATATTTGCGCGGTATGTCGAGTCTTGTTGAGTCCATATGAACGAGTACTCAAAATTCCAGCTCTCGATGGCACTTGTGGGTCAACAGATCGGTGTTAATTATTCTGGCTCGGAATTAGCTATGGAATATTCAGCTCGCGTGTCATCGACTTCCGATCGATCCAGATCCATCGATTAGCTATCGTGTACCAGGGGCCTCGTGTCGGGAGTTAATTGACACTTCTGCTTGACAAAAGTGCCGACACGTGGCGGAATTTCCGCCGATGCAGCGTCGCTCGATTTTCTCCTGCCGCGACACGTAGGGTAATTCGAGGCGGATAAAAAAACAGCTGATCGCAGCTGTTTAAATAATTCCGCCCGGCAAATTACGGGCCGCCATTAGTCCCTGTTACTTTTATTAGCTCTTGCGCAATCCCATTATTCTTGTTACCCTCCGTTCCCCACTTAATCGCGCGTTACTTTTGTCCGTAAATGCTCGCCGAGTCGCGATGCAAGTCACACGCGCGAATGCAAGTGCAGGCGTGAGAATTCCGGATGCAATCGGCGCAGTTGGAAAAGGTCAGCCGCGGTTTCTTCGTTCCAAACGCTCGTCCATAAATGAGAGTCGATGTTAAAAGTCGACAGGGGTCGAGTGCACGTACGCTTGAGATAGGTAGGCGCGGCGCACCACGGTGCATCGCGGTGCATCGCGGTGCATCGATAGGTCAGCCTCCGTCAAACGCCGCTAAACCGCTGAACGGGCTAAGAAAATAAATTTCCCCATGAATTCCCCATTATTCCATGCCGCGTAAAATACGAAACGTCATTTTTCAAGTAAACTGAACGTTTAAAAAGAAACCCAAAGTGCACTGATAAAAATCCCCAAGTAAATTTACGGAGACAATCATTGGTTATTTCGACGTCGCCATCAATTGCAGTAAAATCACGTGGTCTACCAGGTTACGTGTATTTATATACACGTGCTAATTTGTAATTTTTTTTTCATTGCGCGAATTTTTATGCGGGACTTCGGTTACTGGGTGTGCCAAAATGTATGCAAATTTCCGCCGGTTTTTTTTTTTAATCAGTGTAACGAAGATCGAAGACAGGTCAAGGAACCCGCGTTGCCTCGAAACCCTCCGCGGAAATGCAACGCGGAAAAATAATATCGGCCAGTAGCGCGTAACGAAAACGGCGTATTACCGGCGCCAATTACCAATGCACCTGTCGCGGCAAGGTGATTGTATTTAAATCGGAGCCAGGCGGCGCACCTTTCGCTTTTTCGAAGCCGGGAGGACTTTCGCCGTTGGGCAGGGAGCTCTCGTGGCTCGTTACAAAGGCACGAAATCGCTCGTTAAACTCGCCACAGGTTCGCTCTTCCCATCCGGCTCGGCGCGAAACGGCTTTGTGTCCAGGAGGCAAGAAGAGCCGACAGAGCCATTAACCTCCCTGAGAAACAGAGCGATCTTGTTTATCGAACATCTCCATGGTCACGAATACCACTAAACTGAACGTTAATATAAATTATAAACGATAAAGTTAACCACTAATAAAAAAAAAAAATTCATAATTTCTACACCATAACTCAGAATTTTGTATGCTTGATCTTGCATACTTCAAGATCATCTATGATGATGAAAAAGAGAAAAAAAAAAAAAGAATTCAGAATCTTTCCTTGAAGAGAGAATTTATAAAAATATGTTTGTGATATTTTCATTTCTGTGCAAGGGTTAATCTTAATAATTCGTTTAAAGGGAAAGTAGGATCACCGGTGATAGCACGGCAGTTTCGCAAAATTGGGAGTCGTTCTCGTTTTCGCTAACCCGTGCCTCCGGTTATTGGAATCGATGGGGAGACGATTAAGCGTGATTGATCGCCCCGGGATTAATCGTGACTGAGTACACGCCTCTAAAAACTATGCATAGTGTGTATATATATATGTAGAGGTATCCACTCTCTTTCGGTCAAATTTTCCACTGATCGATCGGGCTATGTAGGTTACTGGGCGAAGCCGGTGCATCGCGTGTAAATAGTGCACCTCGTAACCGATATTGTTATTACTCGCACTAACGACAGGATTGCCCCGCAAACGGAATTTCTCCTCGGCGGAAAGCTTCGTAACGGGCCTATTAATTTCCTTGAAAGCCGACATTACCTACTCTGGCCTTGGAAATGGCACGAAACGCTGCCTGGCACTGTCGGAAACGTCATTCAAAATCGTTACAAGTTTTTTTTCTTTTACCTTTTTTTTAATATCTACCGGAAATGAAAATAGAGGATCGCGATTAAGGCCGAGCAGTAATACCTGGTGCAGCAGTAAAAGGGATGCGTCACAATCTCTGGACCGAGGACGTCGTCGCGATGCACTTTTCGAAAATGATGACGCTCCCTTGAGTGCAAAGAACGCGGCGTTAAAAAAGGATTTTTATTTTTGCGAAAAGGGCTGCGATAAGAAAATAGGGGATCGCAATCAAGGCCGAATTACCTGGTGCGGAGATAAAAGAGATGCGTCACAATCCCTGGACCGAGGACGTCGTCGCGATGCACTCCTCGAGAATTATGACGCTCCCGGGAGCGCGAACGACGCGGCGTTAAAATAGGAGGTTATTTTTGCGAGAAGGGCCAGGATAAAAAGGGAGCGAGAGAAGCCGAGCCTTTCCAGGGGAAATTTATATTGCCGGTCGCAATTTGTACGTCTGCCCCGAAATAGCGATCCCGGCCCTCGTTGACCGCCCGCGGAAGAATGCACTTGCATCCGCGCCTGCAGTCATCTGCAGTCGACGACTATAACGATGCATCTTCAAACTCGATACCCCGACTCGATTTAACGTGTCAGTCCACGTAGGTGGAGCTCATTACGCACCCGACAGCCGTCCGAGCACGACCCGGTTAATCGATGACATTGACATCGGTGCCGATGCCATTGAGAAATGAGATAACTGCATCCGAGGGACGCCGGATGCACCGCGGTGCATACGAAATCACTATCACTTTTGGGCCCAAGGCACTGGATTTTTTTCCTTGCGTTATCGTCAAGATTTTCGAGTGCTTCCATGACACGATAATCGATGGATCGCGAGAAAAAGATCCACCGCTTTCTCGAAGAGGACCGAAAGAGGAGAGCGAAGAGACGCCCCGGGAAAATCGGTCAGAAGAAGCGCGCGCTTGCTTCTTGACTTTTGCTTTCTTCTGGAATCTCGCATTCGCGACCGGTTTTCCTGATCGAACTCGGGTTTATGTCTGTTTCGAGTTAACGCCGAGGCATAATGTCGGGTAAACGTTGATAGACTCTTTGCTGCCGAGAGTCGGGCAGATCCGTATCGGTGAAAGCAGCGCGCGCTCACCTCGAGGAACGCTACACGAGCCGAGCATGACTATAACGCTGTTAAGCATCTACTATCTGCCCTAACGGCACTGACACATGCACGCAATTATGAAATTATAATAATGGAAGAAGTAACGTATACATAATTACGCGAGGTTGCTTGGTCTCCCCTTCGGTATGAATAATGGACCTGGTTGGGATTTTTCTATCTCGTTTAGAATGAATCCAGTCGCCTCGGTGCTTTATACCTCAACTCGAGGGTACGACCGATGCAAATCTATTGAATAGTGATAGATTGATTACCCATCGTCCTGGTCGTCGGATTCCTCGGAGAGGTCGAAGATCGACTCGTTGGGGTCCTCTGGTGATGTCATGACGCGGGCCCTGGAACGAAACGGTGGCGGTCACTTTTCCAGCTTGATAGCTTGTCTATAGGCTCGACTAGAAATTGGAATAAAAGCTAGCCTAAAAGCCTAAAAGCCCCCTGAAAGCCTTAAAAGCCTTAAAAGCCTTAAAAGTCTGCTTAACCGCGAGCGATGGCCTCTAAGTACATGCCTCGACGTCTCGAGTGTTTCTTTCGGACTGGCAACGCGAATGACAATTTAGCTACTCGAGGACGTTGAAATGGACTCCCGGATGCATTAAAGGCTGCGATGTTAAGGATGAATTGACCCGGCGATGTCGCGAACCATCCTTCCCCCATACTCGGTCCCATGGGACGAAAGTCTGCCACTTTAATCGGCTCTAATCGCTTTTAATTGACTCTTGTAAATTCTGGCGTCAGTGCTCTCGTTTCTACGCTTGTCTATCTAGTCAAAGCCTAAAAGTTCGCTTATACTCTGCCAGGGGGCAGTATCAGGTGTTTTGAAAGTCGCGTTATCGCGTGCACTAATTTACATACCTATTCCCTGCCGGAACTAATCGGCCTCGTAAGTAGCACGTGTTCGCGCACTCGCCTATGTCACGACGGTAATAAGAATTATCGCGTTGCAGTCCGATGATTCTCTAGTCCTTTCAAAGCCGAGACTCTATCTCCTTTACTACCCCGTCGGAAATATAAAGTCTCTGATAAGGCAGGTGATAAAGCAATCGGTGCGGCATCTTCGCTTCCCGATTCTAGGTATCCTTTCTCTTATCACGCGTCACCGCAAGCATGTCCTGGAATCGCAATACATTAGGAAAAATATTTCCAAGATTTCGGGGAATTATTATTTGTTTAAGTCCCGAGGTAATGAATCTTAAGTGACATTAAAAGGGTGTGAAGGATGCACTTACGTTGACTGTTGACGGTCTTCGGTTTGTTTGCGTAAACTGATGAGACTACATTTATGAGTTACTTGGCGGTAATCTTTCCTGATTCGATAGAGATAAGAGATAATTCCGGTGATTACTGCGCACTCGGCACGGCCGCTCTCGTCCTCGGAAGGCGTATCTGTAATTTCATGGAATCACGTAAAATGCCAGTTCGCTCTTTTACTTTATCGCCGGCTTGCCTGACCCGTACCTGAAATTCGTGGATCTAATTGACAAAGTTCTCGCAAAATCCGCCATTTTATTGCCCCTGGGGAAACGCTTGGCTGCTATCGCGATGAATGTCGGCACGATGGGGTTCTCGTCAGGCACCGGCCAAGTGCATCGTTAACACCTGCATCATTTTTATTATTAGAAGGCAGATAAGATCAATCGGGAATACGGATTTTGCGAACCTTCTGAATATGTTTTTACATCTTGGGTCGAGCGCAGTAATAACTGATGATAATAAATGAAGAGAGATAATGGAGGGGTAGCCTGACTTGTAATGGCGCGGGTCATGGTCTCGGTTTATCCAGGATATCATTTTCTCACACGGATCGATGCAATCTGGAGACGGTTGAAGCACTCTAGGTTGATGGAATGATAACCTCTGATAGCGGAAAGCGTCATTTACGTTGAATAGGTCATGGATCCGGCGGAATTGTAATGATGATAAGTCATCAATGACGCCGACGCGTTGCAACGTCGGTCTGCAGATTCAAATTTTCTTCCTATGGTGGCGGCATCTTACAGAGACTCTGTGAAGTTCGTTGCCGATTCTACTCACTCTGTCAGTGATGGTATTTCAGTGGTATTTCAGGTCCAACTTGTAAAACCAGAGATAAGCGTGATTGTTGCACGTGAAAACACGTGTGCGATATCTTTCAGTAATTGATTATTAATTAATTATACTGCGTTAATTCCTGTGGGAGTATAAAGGTAAGGATAATAAAGCTCATTTAAGTGTGAATTATTTTTCTGTACAGTGCATGCACGTATGTTTTGATGCTAATAAGAAATGTTTCGAGGTTATGTCGGGGACGCTTAACCCTGGGTATTCAATTTTTATTCTGTTCAAACAGAAAAGTCGGAGATGGCCAAATCAATTCGCAGTAAATGGAGGAGAAAGTGCAAAGCTGTGAAGCGAGAACGATATGGAGCGAAAGAGTTGGAGAGGTTGAAGAAAACTCTAGGCCTGGATGGGAACTCTACGGGCGATGTCGAAATGGCTGAATTGTCAAAGATTGCTACGGGTAAATTAAGTTTGGCATGTCGGATAATGTGGAGCATGATGCGGTGATGAGAGGAGTAATTAATACTTGTCTGTTATGCAGTGATCGATCCCAAGTCTGTAAACGATGCTGCGGAAACGAACGATGTACCAGCTACAACCGAAGAGAAAATGGAAGAAGATGGCAAGAGGGTGTATAATAAGAAAACGATGCGTGATCAGTATGGGAATTATCCGATATGGATGAATAGGAGAAAGATCGCGAAACATAAGAAAGGGAGGGCTAAGACAAAAAAGGCAACCACAAAGCAGGTTAAGAGGTTAACGAGGAAACAGAAAAAGCAGGTGCCCAGTGGAGAGCAGGAATAAATTTAAGACTGCTCCGTGAAAAGTGCTACGATATATTTTATATTTTTCATTATTCTTGTGCTTTGTATGTATAGATCCAAGAGAAGGTTAATTCTCAGTGAGATGTATCATGCATTTGATACTTTGGTATAAAATACAGTTGAATTAGGAATAAATCAAGATACACGTTGCTCTTAAATGTATATATAATAAATGCAGAAGTTGGCAGTGATACATTATAGTCCTTTGCGGTATTCAAGAAGTAGCTTCCTATTCTCAAATACCAAGGCAGACCGGATGTTCGATGCTCACAATGATCACTGCTAGAAATTTGTCGGTCTACTACTAATCGGCAGAGACCTGCACCGGAGTCTGGACCTGGTCTCAATATTCGCCACTCGGTTGGCCACCTGCTGCATTCTTCTGGACTCCAACTCGAGTAGCTTGACCTTGCTTCTCATGTCGTATATCTCACGTTGCATGAGTTGCTAAAATGAAAACATGGGTTTACACCGATCGTCAACATAAATCCATCAGCTTTGGTAAGTCGAACAACCATCGGACAAGACTCATTAACCATGATATTCACTCGTTGCTCTGACTCACCACATTCTCCATAGCCCTCCTCATTTCCCCGATGCTTTCAACAGCCACTGCAAGTTTTGCACTCATTTCCGTCGCCTCTACTTCTCGCTTCCTACCTTTGGCGAGTTGCTAGAACAAGTAGAACCCATCGTCACCAACCATTCCATCGAAGTCGACCCAACAACCTCCGTACCTTCTCAAGTTTAGTCAGCCTCTTCACGATGATCTCATAATCCTGATCAAGGTTCCCATCATTGACTTCATTTTCAACATCTGCAACAATTAACATTTTCAAAATAAATTAATTAATGATATTATTACATTCAAGGTGGCGAACCTTCAGGAGTGGAGCCGCTTCTAGTGGGAGTTTCGCCGTCGTCCCTCTCCAAGTCCCGAGCCTCGAAAGCGGATCCGTCGCTATCTGCATTAACGATCACGTCAGATAATAATCTCCGTAGCACTAATAGAGTGCAATTAACTAGATTTACCATTTCTTCGGCAAGAATGCCGATCCGGTTGCAGCTGGTAGCCGGTTCGGCAGTGGCACTCGTAAGCCCCGAAGACGTTCCTGCAGATGTGAGCGCAAGGCTTCTCCGTCGCGCACTCGTCTACATCTGGGAAGAAAGGAATTACAATAAAATTCGGAAATGACCGTAAAAGAATTGATTAAACAATTCCAACGGTTATCTCGTGTGAAATTCAAGATGCGCGGATTGAAATATAATTTCCTCGGAATAGGATCTCGCCGTCTCAATCGAGTTAAGTAGGTCCTATGCAATCCGGGGTAATTGCCTCGAGTAGATTGCATTCCCATTTCGCGTGACTGCATCGAGACACTTAATACCTCGGACGGTGTGACAGGATATTATTCACCGCACATTAACAGTGTCTCACCAATCTGGCACTGGTTCCCGACGAAGCCTCTGGGACAGGTGCATTTCCCGGGCGAGCTGCACACCCCACCGTTTCGACACGGTATAGCGCAGGTCGCTGTGGAAAGAAAAAAAAAAGAAAAAAAACCATAGAACGTTAGAATGTATCCTAGTCTATAATTACTCTGTACTGCCTAGAATAACTCACGTTTGTTGCATCCGTAGCTGAACCGGCTGATGCGCGACCAGCCCGGGCAGCACGTGAAGCTCGTCGACACCTCCGTGTAGATGAATCTAAAAAATTCGGGGAAGGTTTGTACAAGAGTTAACGAATAATCTTAAGTATAGAGTACGTATAATAGACAATGTTCTCTTTGTATATTAATTATCCCTGCGCTTCAGGTGAGAGATGGATGCCCACCTGATCTGGCCTGACCGATGGTGGGCGACGGGGGACGGAGCTTGGCCGGAGCAGACTCTTCTCCTGGAACAGAAGAAAGGCCGAAGACTGACCTCGGAGCTCTTGAACCCTGAACGGGAACCAGCCGTCGTCGGAGAGGCCAAGGGACGATAATTTAAGCGCGACGCGCCGCGAAAATAAACAGGATCGTTCCCCGAATCGGGCTCGAGGTTTCGCTCGCGCTATGGGGCCTAAAACAAGCGGAATATTTTCCCTACCACGAGGAGGAGATCGATGAATTTTTTATGCTTCTTTTTCTTTCCTCTCTTTTCACTAAACGGTAGCATCTTGCCCCGGTTACGGCCTTGGGCGCGAAAAGTGAAAAAATCTAGGGAATGCACCGGTGCATAAGAGATAGAGAGGCGCGAAGCGAGCGAGCCTTGGAGCGTGCAATTAAAGGGCTCGAGTCAAAAATACCCGCCAGAGATGGGAAGGATAAATCGTTGCTCGAACGGGCAAAGGCCCCTGAGGAGGTCCGACACGCGAGGGTGACGAGAATAAAGCATCGAGAAAGGCGAAGCTTCACGGTCAATGTTACCGCGGCGTTGAATCTCTTCAGGAACGGAGGACGCAGGTGGAGGACTGGTCCTGGACGGCGGATGCTGGGAAAATGCGTTTTTTATTTATTTAAGAGATCTTTGTAACGCGGTTTAGAGACGGTAGTTTATTTATAACCGATGGAAATATCGATGATAATGCCGGGATATTGATCTGAGAATCTTTGTAACGTGGTTTAAGGATGATTGTTTTATTTATAAACGGTGGAAGTATAGATGATAATCCACGGATATTTATTTAGGAATCTTTGTAACGTGGTTTGGAGGTGGTAGTTTATTTAGGTACGATGGAAATATTGCGGATATAATGGCGGGGAACGAATAGACGGCCCCGCCGACGCTCAGCTGGGATATCCTCTCTGTCGGCGTGCTCGTTAAAAAACCCGGCCGGCACCTTCTTGCTCCTCCGCTCGTAAATCAGAGCCGCTAAGCGAGCGGCGAGTGCAACGGACGCCTCGGCGAATTAACCAAATCGGTGGTATAAACGATAAATCTTGGGAGGGGACCGGGAGATAACTCAATAGGGCATCCTCGAAGCTGACGCGCACTCTTTAACGCCTCTCGAGTTTTTAATGCCGTCTCGCTCCGGGAATTTTAATCGAGCTATCCGATTAATCAGTTCGCCGACGTATTTATGGTAATTCCTCGGCAGGCGAGAGTCTCTTCAGGGTCGCACAAGTGGTACCCTGAAACCGAGGCGACCTGGGTGGCTCGCCTAACGAGTGCGCCAAGAGAGACGAGCGAAACGAGATCGGAGAGGAGTCGCGAGAAATCGCTTCGATGCGGCACTTTTGTCCTGGAATCGAGTTAATCTTAATCCGCCTTCGGACGTCTCTCTTCTTGGCAGCCTCCCTGGTCCAGCGGATCCGCGACTCGGCGGCTTATCGGATCTCCTATCAATGGACGGAGCTCCTAGTTTTTATATCACTTGTAAAATCCATTTCCAATGATTTACTTATATATTTTATCTGTTAAGTTTATTTGTATATTGCGTTTCTACAGATTTTATTTAGGTCGTTTCTTGTCAGTAGCCCTTTTGTCAGTGATAAGGGAGAGTCTCGCGTTCTGGAGGGGCGCGCGGTTTCGCGACTCCACTTTTTCGGCAGGATTGACCGCGGCGAAAGAGTGTCGATTTACGGGGCGACCTGCAATGCCTAGGTTACTCGGCTGAGTTTGTTTCTCTCCGAGGGGACGAGGTTTCCAAATTACGAAATGACTCGACGAGAGGTTGCGGTCGTGTCCCGAGGGAGCGGACTCGCCCTCGGGCCGTTTTGTTGGTCGCTGCCAAGGACGAGAACTCGTTCCGAAACTGGCCCTACCGGGACCAACCTGGACCAGTAGATTCCCTGAAGGGATGCCAGTATTAAAAGTCCAGCATATCGATTTTCATGATCTGCTTTTCAGATATACATGTCCTAGGAATTAATTTCCATTTTTTATCTTGGGGATGGAGGGACGATTATAGTCGATTTCTTCCTGTCTTCAAGTTCTCCACTTTGTCGGGGCTGTCGAGGATGAGGATTCGTTCCGAACCTTGCCCTTCCGGGGAACTGGGGATCTACGAGTTCCCTGGAGAAATGTCAGAGTCGTGCAGATCGATTTTATAATCCACGTTTGAATGATCAGATGATTTTTCCTAATTAATTTGGATTTCTCATCTCGGGGATGAAGAGCGACGATTATAGGCGATTTTTCCTGTCTTCGGGTTCTCCGGTTCAGTGACGCACACCTGTGCCGACCATTAGCCCGAGTGGTCGTCCTCCCTCGGGATTTATCGCCCGACGCAACCGTGACCAATAGGAATAATCGCGGCATCCCATCGTACCCGACAAAGAAGTCCAGGACGAGTCCTCGACTCCTAATACGGTCCGGCTCGACCTTGGATAATATCGGGGTCTTACGTGTCTTCGGCGAGAATTTTGCATCCAAGACTCCAAGGACATCCTCTCCAAGAGGACCCCTATTCACGCGAGCTCGAGGACCGAGTATTCGTATCGACGTTGAACTCGAAGTTAATCGAGATCGAAATTAAGATCTCGAGAGAGAGAGAACCTCGCGGATGACCGGAGAGAGCGGAGAATCCTGCGCGGTGGGTACCGACCCGAGGAACCCGAAGAGGACCCTGAAGAAGATCTCGAAGAAGACTCCGAGGAGAACCCTGAAGAAATGGGACCCAAGCAACTCTCCGCAACACTCGGAGAAACAATCCCACGGCTAGGGAGCGAAAATCAGGACTCTAGAGTGTAGACCGCACGCACACTTTCAGAGAGACAGGTTTATCGGATTTTTTTTTCCCCCCGAAGGCGTACATCTGGCGGAGACTGCAAAGAGCCAGGTACATTCCCTGCGAGATAAGTGGAGTTCCCGGAGGATGCAAGCTCACCCTGGACGATGGTGCCTCGAGAAGGCAGGGTTGCTCGTCGTGGTTGTCGGCTCCAGATCTCCCCTCCTAGGAAGGTGATCCTGGACATTGCCGAACCCTGGATCCTGGGGATACAGGTGGTGCACGTTTCCTGGGCGGATCTCCTCCCTCTGGTGCCATCCAGGAGTCAGGAACCAGGAGTTCCCGTGGGATGGGGTCCTGGAATCAGCCTCCAGCGAGACCACCGCTCCCAGGAGCAGGGCGACCAACAGCTTCCGACTGGCCATTGGCCAAGATTGAATTATCACCGGGATGCGTCACATGGTCCTTCGGGAATACCCCGAAATTGTTATAAACAATAAAATTCTATATTTATTAATTTTCCAATTTTATCGACCCTCTTTCTGGTCCGATCTCGCGGGCACTCTTTACGCAGACGAGACGCTTAAGAGAGTCACATGCCTATTAACAATTTCTTTTCTTTTGTTTTTTTATTCAATACGTTTATATGCACTTTTGGACAAGAAGGAAGGAGCAGCTGCAACGAGAGACCGAGACGACGAGACCAAAGGAGACTGGCCGAAACTGGCGAACCGACGCCGAGAAACCTCCACGTGCTCTCGCCCTTCTCCTTCTCGCTCTCCTTTCTTTCTTCTCCCGTCTCTCTCCTTCCCTCTTTACCTCTTCACCTCCTACAAAGACCGGCGTACCTCCGCCTACCTTTTCTTTGCGGTCTCGCCGTCTCCCGTTCTCGCGGATTTTCCGCGGAATTTATGCAGGCCGCGTCCTCGCGCCTTTATTCCTCCGAATGTTTATTTCTCTTTTCAACTTTTTTTTTCTTAATTAAAAATTATATATTAATAAGGCCCGTTCTGTGCTGCTGGTGACTTTTAAATGTGCCTAGAGACCCGAGACGTTCATCCTGAGACTATCCGTGGGAACCAGGGGTTATCAACGTTATCAGGATCGCTTCCAACGAGGACATCAACCTTGTCAACCGATTCCGCTTTTAATCCGGACATCCTCGAGAAGAACTCCGTGAATTAATCCGCGAATCCTGTTTCCCTTTCTTTCTCGTCCTGTCGGTATATGCCTTTGTCTCGTGCATCCGGTCTCGAGTCGCCTCCGTGGGCGTCGGGATCGGATTTGCCGTGATTTAATTTTAATTCGCTTAAGCCGGTTATCGAGCCACCTGATATGACAAATGGAAAATATGTTTATTGCCCCCGTCGGGCGTGCTGGAGGAGTGGGAAAGAAATTAAAAAGGACCTCCGTGCGTGTCATCCGCCTGGCCAGACCTTCGCCGATCTCCGACGTTTATTTTGCACCTCCTCCGTTTATTTTCCATTTACTTTGGGTTTTATTTTAGCCGACGGTTCCGTGGGCGACGGGGATCGGTCGCAAGGATAACATCGTCTTCCTCCTTGAAACCGCTCCTGAGGGATTTATGCGATATCCCGCGTGCGGAAATATCGAGGAGGTTTCGAGAGGAAAAGAGAATCTTTAGGAGAACCTATCCTAGGGAGAGACAGCCACGTGGGAGATAAAGTCAAAGGTGACGTCACTGGAGACTCCACGTTGATAAGGCAGCTCTTCTGCAGAAAAGATCGCCCGATGCCTCTTCGATATTTCCTGCTAATCGTTAACAAATTAAGTGTATTTTTTAGATTGGTCATTTCTATTGTTAGATTTTTTAAACACGATGATATCGATACTTTTTACGGGGGGGAATCGAATATCGGATATCGAGGCCCTCGTGCACGTCGTCGCATTCTACTTCCGAGAATGCCGGCCCTGGCACTTCGCGCAATACTCCGAACGGTACATAAGATAATGGCGAATCGATCGATTCGAAGTAAACGCGACGCATTCTCAATGCCAGGCCGATCGGTCCCCCGAGCGCGGAACGGCATTCCGCGCCTTGCGAAATCCGCCTAGCGGACGACATTCAGGCCTCCGCTCGATTTCCGCAACCGATCCGCCACGAGTGCGCGGAAACCGGTATGGACACCCACGGCTGAAGAGAGGAGAAGAAAATTCATGAGGCGAGGAAACCGACTCCGAAAACGCGGGGTCAAGGCGGAAGGCGTAAATCAGCTGATCGGAAGTACGCCTCGAACCGACGTCCTCGTTCCTATCGACTTTGCTCTCCCATCGTCCCATAGATCGACGTTCTTGCCGACTGGCCGAGTGTAGGTCAGGGATCCTTCACTTGGTGCACCGTCACTTGGGAATCCGAAAATAATGGGACCTTAACCGGTAAACAATTAGGATTTTTTTTTTCCCCCCTAAAAGTTGGTGTTCCTCTTTGTGGCATCGGGAAAAATTCCAGGTGGAATTTTTCGACGTCCTGGAGTGATCTATTATTTTTCTTTTTTTTTATAAACGAGAGACGAGTATTTTTAGACGAATCCTGGCGTTCATTTCGTATTTCCCGGGCCTCAGGGTAGAAAAAGAGGAGCGACCCCCGGAGAGGATCCTCGGCAGGTTCAGAGCAGTCGGCGAGGACACGACCGCGTTCGAGAGCGGCCATCCTTTGTCTAAATTCCCCCGCTTCATATGTTATTTACCGATTTCGACTAATTTACAAGATTCCTTTCGGAGTCCGGTCTAGATCGGGCCGCGGCGTGTCAGGAGGCGACCTAGGAGGCCGCGCGGCGAGGAACTCCTTGGGGCAGGATATGATCCTGGTAGTCGAAGGACACCCCGTCGGAGCCGAGCGGTTCCGGTGAGACTTTGGTTAGGTGTCGAGGTCGCCCTTGGTTAGGCCAGGTCGAGGGGTGGAACCATCCCCCAGAGAGGTCGCCAGGAAGAAATCGGGACACTCGGAGGCCGGAAGGACCTCGAGGGCGCAAAGGACCCGCCGGACCCGTGCCCAGACGGGATCCTTGGGGGAGATCCACCCACCACCCCCCGAGAGACCGCAGGCTCGGACGTCGCCACCCTTTCGAGCCGATGAGACAGACCCGCGGAACGGTTCCGCCCGCTCGGCCGTTCCATGTTCTGGCTAGTCGACCGACCGCTCAGCTTCAGGCAGAAAGCCAACCGGTGGATCTATAAGGTCAGCCCCTCCCCCTTGGGGGGTGTATTTCGTTGCGGCGATAATAATAGGATAACGCCCGGTCGATAGCAATTCGCCGCGGCCTGGTTTCGGGTCCGCTGGGACCGGCTCTAAATCATGGGGCCCCATGATTGCCCATGATGGAAGAACGTTACCTCTGCAACCCAATTCCCACCCCATGCCAATGAACCCCCTATTTGTCCATGAGCCTAGAACTTACATAATTGTTTATCAATTGATATGTTCATAAATCCTAAATCTATTAATCACTCTCTTACAAAGGGGTGGTACAGGAACAGTGATGCACTGATAAAATAAAATTCAATGCACCGAGGAAATATTTTGATAACGCAAAGAATTTCACGGAAGTGAAATCAAATGAAAAATGAGACTTGAAAATTATTCCCATTGATGAATGATTATTAATAAATCTGAATGATTAAATTGTATGTTCCCAGATGCTGTTTCTCTGGGCCCGGGAGCCGAGCCCGGGACCAACCGGAGCAGGACCCTGGCTCGCCTGGTTCGCCACGGCCGTTCTGCTCTGGAGGTGCAGGAGGCGCATCGCCAAGGCCATCCTGGCCGTGTCGCCATTCCGCCTCCTGGTGCGGCGCTGCGTAGCGTCCGTCGAGCCCGTCCCACAGGGCGCGCTGCAGCGCGCGAAACTCGAGACGATGCAGCAGACGAAGTACTCGTCGACGGGCCTCAGGGCGCGCGTCAAGAGGCTCTGCACCGGCGACGGGCCCCACGTGCACTCGGGCCTTACGGCCCAGCCCAGCCAGCAGGTGCTACACTACAGGGTCACCCGGAGCGGCCGGGTCTACGGGAAGTACCCCAACAAGGTCGTCCCCAAGAAGCAGTAGACCCACCTCGTCCCGTCACCGTCGTCCTTACTTTGCTTCGCATAAATCTGTCCTCGTCTTTTCCATGGTCTCCATAATTACGCGATTACATGATGATAAGACCTCGTTACCCCTTTCCTCCGGGTCTGCATACAATCACAAGCATGCAAGCCGATAGTACAAGTGACGACTAATATTCGATAAATCTAGGATTTTATATGAAAGTCGCAAAATTTCGGAAATTTCAATTAAGGTTCTTAACTTTTGAAATGTTTGAGCGAAAGGGTTAATGACTTCTTATGTGACGTATGGGGGTTAAGGACTTTTTATCTAATCTATGTCCGAGAGGTTCCCTGTCGAGGGGTCGTTCCTTCGGGTGGGACTTCGGAGTGGCAGAAGGTGCATGGGGTGCAAGGGGATGCACCCTGCCGACCTCGACCCACTTGCAACCCCATCCCCGACACCTTTTCGAGGGAAGGATCGGCCGATAGAGACCTTCGCGGGCACGTCGCGGGTCAAACGCGACGCCGGGCGTCGTTTTTGACCGCCTTGCCCCCGACCCTTCGACCCACCCCGTCTGGCCCCAGGGCGATCGATAGGGGAGCTTCGTGTGCGTCGGAGGGTCTAGGACGCCGTAGCCTTCGCGACGTCCAGCTCGCTCGCGAAACCACCCCCTGAGGGGGGTGGGGGCGTCGGTGCCCTACAATGCAGTCCGCCAACTTCCCTATCTGCGTTCCCATTTCCGGGAAACTCGGCTCGCCACCTACGCCAGCACCCCCTCCGCGGGGGTGTGCACCCCCGAGTCTCCGGGAAGACTTAATCGATGCCACGCCGAGCACCCCCGTGGCGACCGATTTCAATTCCACCCCCGACAGCGCCGGAAGTCGACGTCCCGTGGGGCAGTCCGCCCCTTTCGCGCGAGCTCCAAGGGGGACCAACTGCAGCGGGGTGGATCACGGGAGAGGACTTTAATCAGAGGATGTAAACTACCCTCTGCTCCACTTCGAAATCACCCTGTGTAATCTCTAAAAGTTGAGCGTAATCCCTGAAAATCACGGGGGTGGCTAATGGCTCGACCAAGGGGAGCCTCCCCATACAGGGGTGGACTCCCCTTGGACTCGATACCTTAGATTGATTTCTGGGGTGAAAAATCACCCGATGACCCACGTGGGGGGGTTTAATCAGAGGGAAACGCGTTGCTTCTCGTGCCTCTCTTCCCTTACCTCTACTTTTTCTCCATTTTCTTCTTCTTTCTTCCCTCGCTGTCGAAAGAATCAGCTGTTCCCACGCCTTGTGGGAAGAGCGTAAACAGTCACCACGTGGTCTGGAGCTGTCAGAGTGACAGCCAGCAGCCGACAGGGACGCACGTGCTCGCTACCCCCGGGGGTGGGGGCCGAGCCCAGCCGACTCCGCGGCGTTCCCGTAACGCGGTCGCGGCCAATATGCCGCCCGGGCGGAACGGGCGGATCGGGGGCGGCGCGCAAGCGTCGTCGGCGTATCGACGCCTGGGCGCCCGGGTCCGGAGGAGCGTCGGGAGTTCGGGACGCGAACGAGACCAGTAGTAACCCCCTGGCCTGGTCACAGCCGGGCGCTCGACGGGCACCCTCTGTCTATCGCCCTCGGGTCGCGGGTCCCTCTTCTCACACCCCGCCAGGGGCGATCTCCCCCAGGTCCAGCTCGACCCCCGGCAGAGAAATCCGAGAGGAGGTCACCGGACCTCGCCAGCACCCCGAGGTCCGCGGGCGAAGATCCACCCGAGATAGGATGACCTCCTGCAGGTAAAGACATCCTGCCACCCATGCCCCAGGTGGCTCCCCAGCCCTAGGGACTCGCACCCTCGTCCCTGGGGACGCCAAAGATGGCAGTGCTCCCGGACGCGGAATTTTTACTCCCGAGTGCTCGCATCTTTATTTCAATATCTTCATTTCTTCTACTCCGTTCTTGGCGGTTTCTTTGGTTTTATTTATTTTTTTGTTTATTTATTCTTTTCGGAGGTTATGCTCGGGGATGCTGGCGATTCGGGGGGGCTTGGGATCGTTGGAGAGGAGGCTGTGTCTTTCGGACGCCGGGCCGCGGATGCTGCGTGGACCGAGATGACTTCGGCCGCGCGCGCAACTCTGCACCTCCGCGGCCGCCCGTGGGAGGCACGACGGGTGGAAAGATTTCCATGACGGATAATGGATCGCTAATCGGATGGTTATTCGCTTCGGTGACGGCACGGGAAGGCTCGGTGGGCGGAGGTGGCGGTGCCAGTCGAGATGACTCTCTTCGGCCCGTGGGCAGATCCGGGGGTCATCGATCCTCTTCCTGCTGATTTTTATTAATGAACCGTTCGTTACCCTAACCTTGTTAGCTAGCCCACTCGAATCGCGATATTTCGTATTTTCATATCGATACATGCCGATTTTAAATAATCAAACTGGAGTCACGTGACCCGTCTACTCCGAAATATCATCGGAATAATTAATAAACTTATCAGTTTGTAAGAAATTATTTTTGTCGATTTCCTTTGTTGACGGAACAATTTTTATACCATCGCGAGGTGTTCGGGGAGCGATCTGGGGGTGGAGAGTCTAACAACGAATAAATCCGGGTTCAGAAAACGGACGGCCAGAATTCTATAAGGAGCTTTATCATCTCTTATTCGTTTCTTAAATCCAGATTCATCCTATTTTATCCGTTTCCCTCGACTCCATTTTCCGGATCAGCCGCGACAGGGAGTCCAACCGACCCTCCGCGGGGGTGCAATAAAGGGACCCTGAAGAGCACCTGTTTACGGTGCACTGCACGCCAGGGATTACTGCATTCTGCCGATGCACTCCCGCGTTTCCCTCGCATGCCGCAGTCTTGCGTACTAAGTCGCAACAAGTACGTTCGATCGGCTCCGGGTAATTCCGCCCGTCTTTCGCATGCCTGGAAAAATCCGCTCCGACCTAATCCACCGTGATTAAAAATTAGGGAAAAAATCCGTCCGTCGATTGATATCAATTTTTAATCATCAACTGTTTTTGTATTCTCGCTGCAGCGGGAAAGAGAGCTCGAGGTATCATCCACCCTCCCGGGCCGCGAATTTGGGGGGTGGTGGGTGGGCGCCGTTCAACTCGCGATTCGGATGGAAATTTCGACAGGGCCACCCCTCGGACAAACATCTCGATTCCCGACGATTCCCCGGGGAGTTGGGTAAACACGAGCCGGTGCACCCTCCGAGGAAGCGAAAGGGTGGCGCTCGATATTCCTCCCCCGCGACCCCCACCCGAGAGCGAGATTTTCGAGGCCCACTCCTCGATTTCACGTGGCGGCCGACGAAGCCGCCTCGCGTATAAGGCGGTTAGGCCTCGGAATAATGTAACGTAACACGTAACACGTAACGCGGTAATCTACCCCGGGGCACGAGGCTTCTTAAGCCGCTTTTCATGTAATAGAGTTGACTTGCGGCGCGACCGCGGACACCCCCTTGCCGATAGCGTCGATCGGGGGTGCGACCTTGCTGCTATAATCGAAGGTCCTCCCGATAATTCCATCTACACTTTGCATCGCCACATTGAAATCTACCCACGTGCAGTGCATGATTTACGGTACATTGTCTTAAATTTTCTAGGATTTATAATGAAATTTGTGGAATTTAATTTCGACCACCGGGGTGGTTACAAGAATTTCGACTGAGCGCCATGTCCTTTGATACGGGATATCACTTAATTGGTGTTTCATAAATTTTTTTTTAAGGCGAATAATGCTATTAAGTGACGCCATGCACTTTTTACCACGTGGTGAAGATTTCTTTTCAAAGCTAGACCGAGGCCTCGCTTTTATTCCCGGCACGCACTATGCAAAGGCGACTCAGATGCGGTGAGATTGCGGAATCGCGAGCGGTTTGCATAAATCTCGCGGAAGGTCCTGCGAGCGGTCTGCGTGCCGTGGGGGGCGAAGGGCCCGAGTTAACGCGGCATTATGCATTATAAATTACGCGATTAAGCAGTACACCGACACAATGGGGAAACTTGGTCGCCCCAGGCTTGTGCAACCCCCGGTTTGCATAAATTTCCCAGGAAGCTCCGTCGCCACTCGGCCTCCTTCTGCGAGCTGTTGCGACTCCTTCGCAAGAGGACCTCAGTTATTTAAGGGGCCCTTACTTATTTAAGGGGGCCCCCGACCTTGCCGGGAATAATCGAAAGTCCGGTGTCTAATTCAGAGGACGCAGGGTGCACCTAAGCAAAAAATGCACCACCTGCGCCTCCTCGGCATGAATTCTGCAATGAGTTTCGACCCAGCGGTCTCTTTCTTCCCTTATCTATTTTTTTTTTCTTTTTCTATTGTTCAACGATAATATCGCAAAACGCGACAGCTGTCACTCGAGGTCTCTCTGGCCTGTTCAGCAGTTTCGCAAGTGGTCGCGACGCTACCTCAGTTTATCAAATTAATTGCAACGCGATATCGAGTACGTGGCACCTCGCGGAAAATATCCCGGCTGGTCGGCGCGACTATGCAATGCACTTTGCACGTGGAGGGACTCACTCGGGTAATGCAAGAGATGCATTATTCCGATGAGGGAAACGAGGGAGGAGGATCTTGCCTCACCTCGTAGGGCCGGCCCTTGAAGAATACACTAATGCGATTATTTCTGATAAGCCATAATTCAGGAAGAAAAATTCGGAGGCGATTAATTGAGCCGCATTTTTCGAGTGCATCATGGGATGCGTTTCCTGGAGTCGGTTCGGCGACCGAGATCGAACTCCCTTTATGATGCACCCCATTCGAGATCGACTGCTCTAAATTATAAATGGCGATCGATGCAGGGCAAGGCGAGGACAATGGATCAACACAGTTCCAGCAGAGTGGGGAACGGTTCGGAACTCGCCATTGAAAAGTCCCATCGCGTCTTCCCCCGTGGGAACCCATTCTGGGTCCCGGAACCATGGCCAGGACCTACCCTAAAGACCCAGGCGGTGATACCGACGAATATTCCTATCGATCTCGCCTGGTTCTGAAAGGCCAAGAGGGAACCTCGTGGTCCAAGCAAGATCTGGACTGGTTCCACGAGATGAGCCTTTGTTCCGGGTGCCAGAGTCGTCTTGGACCTGGAGACCGAGCCAAGTCGACTGGCACTCTAATTTCAATTTTTTGTATACCTGAAGAGGAGGATGAAGAGTGGAGGGCTCCGATTGATTCGGATGCCAAGTCGTGGAGCCGGGTGGCCTGGAAATAACAATCTTTAAAATCTTTTTATTGTATCGAAATATTAATAATATTAAGAAAAAAATGTGAAATATTATGATACATAAAATATTTTTCTTGTATCGTCAAGTTGCATATTTTTGTTTGAATTGCGTACTTGAAGAGGACGTCGAAGAGGGGTTGCGGACAATAATGATGTTTTCTGAGGGAGGTAATGTTTTTTTTTTGTTCATAGAGGCATCGTCGTCAGCGGTAGGAGCGGCACTGCAAGAACCACCACCACCGCCAGCAACGGGGGTGGTGATACCAGATCGATCTCTCTCGGCTCTCGAACCTCGAGAGCGGGAACCGCCTAAGAGTCGCGCGTGATCTCGCGAGGAGCTGGACCGGTTCCAGAAGACGAGGTCGGGCTTCGTCGAACCCTCCAGGTCCGTGGCGGGGCGGGTGGAGGGTGAGGCTCTTCAGGGCGGGTAGGGGGATGCGGCGCGAAAGGGAAGCGGCATGGAGGAGCCCTCGCTGGAGGCTCTCATGCAGGCGGGCCTCATCTTCGTGGTCGGCGTCGCCATCATCCTCTCGAATCTGCTCATCATCGCCACCTACCTCAACTTCCGGGGTGAGTAGTGCTCGACGATCCGGAAACCGACGATCGTCGATGAATTTTCATCTGGGAATTAATAACGTTAATCGGCGAACCTTCATTTGGAAATTGACCGACGTTCATCAAATATGTGAATTTGCACGTTAACCGATGTTCATCGATGGATTCCAATAAGCAAATGAATCGGAAATGAATCCATATCTTGACGCGTGCGATCCGCGCTCTTCAGGTCCCTCCGAGGTGATAAACTACTATCTGCTATCGCTCGCCTCGGCGGATCTGCTCTGCGGTCTCCTGGTGGTCCCGTTGTCGGTCTACCCCGCGCTGGTGCGGAGATGGGTCTACGGGGACATAGTTTGCCGCCTGGTGGGCTACCTCGAGGTGACCCTCTGGGCCGTCTCCGTGTACACGTTCATGTGGATCTCCGTCGACCGATATCTCGCCATCAGGTTAGGATCTGCAAGAGAAATTGGTATCGCTCGGTTTTAACCGCCTCTTCGTGGTCCTCTTCAGGAAGCCGCTGCGCTACGAGACCGTGCAGACGAAGACGCGCTGCCAGTGCTGGATGGTCTTCACGTGGATCAGCGTGGCGATGATGTGCTGCCCGCCCTTGCTCGGCTTCAACAAGCCGATCTTCGACCGCGAGGCCTTCATCTGCATGCTCGACTGGGGCAACATGGCCGCGTACACGATTACCCTCTCCATCCTGGTCCTGGGCCCGTCGGTGATCACCATCGTCTACACCTACTTCTACATCTTCTCCATGATGCGGAGGCTCAGGTCGGGCGTGCCTATCCACGATAAGGAGTACGCGACCGCGCTCTCGGAGAACCTGAGCAACCCCAGCCACATCATGTCCTTCGTCCTGGTGATGGCCTTCTGGCTGTCCTGGGCACCCTACGCCGGCTTCAGGATCTACGCGGTGGTGAACGGCCCGCCGCAGGTAATCCATCGCCTTCCGATTTACTAAGTAAAAAAAAAAAAAAAAATATCGTTCAATCTGTGGCGCAATTAATATGCGAAATCGACGACTTCCAGGTGCCGTTCCTGCACTTCGCGGTGGTGTGGTTCGGGGTGACCAACAGTTTCTGGAAGGCCGTGGTGCTGGGGACCCTGAGTCCCCAGTTCCGGCTGGCGGCCCGGGTGCTGTGCCTGACCCTGTGCTGCCGGCACAGACGTTTGCCTCCGGAGCTGCTGGGCCTGGACGACGACGACTAGACGAAGAGGCCCCACGAGACGGGGCCCGACGCACGCGGCGCGCCGCGCTAACTTAATCTCGCTTCGCTCAACCTAGGAATCGTTGATTAGTGCTGAACCCGAAGAGGGCCTCACCGGCTGGCCCAGGCCAGGAGTCGGTCCCGGAGAGAGAACCCAGTCAATTTCCAAGGAGGGCCCGGGCCCAGGAGAGGGCCCTCCGGCGAGGCTGGCCGGCTGGAGGGACCCCGAAGAGGTCGTTTCGCGGGACCCTAAAAAATCCATTATGGGCCCCGAGGGACTCCGAAGAGGTGATTCTGGACATCGACGGACCCCGAAGAGGCTGTTTCAATGCCGAGGGCCCATCGACGACCGCCGAGTTTTCCTTCGAATGAGCCTCGGCCAGGCCCCGCGGCCCTCCGGGGCCCGGTCCCATCCTCTTTCGCGCCCCCGGTCTCCTCCTGGAGACGCCGACTATGGGCCCCGAACGACGTCGGGCCCACTGCCCCGATCGTCGAGCCGATTACTTACTCGCCGTCGTACACGCGTAGCGCGCAATCAGCGGGCCCACGGTCGGGCCCCGGGCCCGCCACTCGCGCCGGCCGTACTTCCGGCGTTCGATGATGTTACTATTATTACATTATACAAGTATACACGTTGCATTGCATTGTATCGCATATTTATTGTTGTATGATATGGGCCGAGAGGGCGCGCCTCGGGAGTACCGCCGACGCGGCCGGTGATGGGGCCCCGAAAGGGGGACTCACCTCGCGGGGCCTGACTCGCCCGGGCGGGGACACGGCTCGTTGAATTTTTGTACCTAGTCGCTAGTTTTGTACTAGTTTTGTAACGTACCGCGCCGTGGCCGACGCGGACGGGCTCGATTTTTGGGCCCTAGGGCCCGGAATCAGGGCCCGGTCCGCGCGGCGCCCCGTCGCTCGTTTCAGCTGCGTGTTTCAGCTCTTGCTTCGAGTACCTAGCTTGTACCTAGGTGTGTACCTAGGTATGTACCCGTGGTATATAGTCGCCCGATAGTCGGCGCCCGATGGGGCGGTCGGGGTCGCGACACGGCCTAACCCCGGGGCCTGATCCTCGACGGGCCCAATGGGGAATTTTCGACGATCGATCGGCGCGGTGTTACACGATTATTGTCCTAGAGACTAGAGTAGAGAATTAAGTACGTAATAAAAGTGCGAGAACGTAGGAGCCTCGAGTCTTTCGGACGAGACCGACTGACTTGGTTTTCATCCCCTTCTTCGCCGTCCTCTTCATCTTCGTCCTCGCCGAAAACCTCGTGTCTCCTTCCAGGGACTTGTTAGGACATTCTGGGATAGGTGATTCGAAGGTATTTAGAAGGAGAACATGTCGACCTGACTGTTTCCCAACACTGGCACGAGTATTGGAAATTGGTACCAACTGGTACCGGAGTGCACCGAGTGGTACCAAGAAGCGGCCCTCGCGTGTGCCGAGAATATCCACCCTGAAGTCGATACTTCTGCCAACTTTTAACCACTTCCCGGGCTCTCCACTTCGTGATAATGATTTTTTAGAGGCTCGATTTATTTCTCGATTTTTCCTTAAATTTTTCCCCACCTAGAAAAATTTATAAACGAATGCACTCCAGAATGGCTGCCGCGGAAATTGGAACCAGAGTTTGCGGAATCGATCGCCACGAGCTCTTCGCGTGACTAGGGGACCAGCTGAAGACTTGTATCGTTGTTTCGAACTATTTGGAGACACTGGGTAAGGTCAAGGGAGGGTGGAGGGGAAAATGCAGTTTTGATGTCGCATTTTCGTGCCAACCGTATACTGATGCAGGTCGGGCTGCAGGCGCTGAAAAGAAGTCCCGAACAGTAAGAAACGGTCCTCAGGATGACGGAGGCTGAAGAAGAAGCGAAAGTAAGTCCTCTTCCTCGTCCCTATTAATTGGTGATAAGCGGTCTTGCCCTTCTACTTTCCGCAAAACCGAGTTTGCTCGTAACCGATCAACTAAACTCTGGTTAAAATCCGGGAAATCTGCGTCTTCAAGTATGAAGTCTATTAATTAATGTCGACATTTTTGGGCATTTTTATACTTCGTATCAGAGGGTGCATGTCGGTCTTCACTATCCGTCAAGAGAATCGAGTTATTCGATTCAATTCCGAGCTCTTCCCACCCTGAGGAGGCGGTACCAGCCTCGATCGCCCCTTGCTTCTCTCCTCTTCAGGGTGAGCGACCTCAGGGTGGGAAAAGCTCGCCTCTAAGGCGCTTCCTCGTCAGTAAGCTCGAGGAGGCTTCCGCAAATCGTTCGCCAGCCTTCTTCAGGTTCTCGGGGAATTTTCGGCCCCTCGTCATGTTTGTTCAGGGGCCCCGGGTGGAACATGACAAATCGGAGAACTCGGACGAGGGCAGCGAGGAGGAAGGATCCGGGGATGTGCTTCAGGTTGCTCATAAGGATTTAAAGGCCACTTCTAGGTCGGGATCGTGAAGAGTCGTTTCTGACTTTACAGAAACGCCGGGAAGAATGCGAGAGGAAGGCTCGCAGGGGGGAGATGGACCCCAGGTTGGAGTTCGCCTTCCAGCTCCTGATCGATGGGACGGGTCTCCCTCGTCACGAGGTCATGGACCACGTCTTCGAGGGAGACATGTTAGACGAGATCAATCAGCTGTTCGTGCCCCACATGAGGTCTCACCTGGTCTGGTTCTATCAGGAAGTCGTGGAGCCGGAGTGCCTGATAGACACGGTAGGTACAATCTCAATGTACAAAATGTTGGACGGTGACCCTGTTCACTGAATCCCGCGAAGAGGCATTGTAATTATTTTATTTATCTTACGATATCATAATTAATATCAGGGCCAGGGAAAGGGCATCATCAGGGGGGCCTCCATTCCCGCCAAATCTTCCGAACCGCCGAAGAAGAAACTCTTCCTGACCGATGGATGGCAGGTTCCTTGCACAGGCACCTGCATGTACATGTTCCGGTAAATTGACAATTGACAAATTAAATCCTAATTCGAAATGAAAAGTTGAAGAAGTTACTTGGACAATTAATTGTTATATTTTCCGGGGGATTCATGGAGTCGTCATCTTCAGGATAAACACGGCGAAGCAGCTCCCGGAGGAGGGCTTCCAGAAGGACCTTTACATCGGGATAATCGACACGACGAGGGTATCCTTGGTGGCAGCCATCCAAAGGATCGTCGAACACGTCTTCACGGATGCATTGGCCCATCCTGGGGTGGACGATGACGACGATTGTCCCATGATCAAGAGCCTCCTTCTGCCAGGATTGAGGTCCTTCTGCAGTGCCCTGAAAGGTAGAGCTTCGCTGTATTATCTTTTATATATTTTATATTTCTCTTTCTTATGCATCCCAGTCTGCGAGGACGTGGCTCGCGAGGGCAGCATGCTCGACGACGGGGTGTCGATGATGACGGGGATTAATGACTTAGAGGACGCGAAGAACTTCGCGATGAAGGATGGGACTATCGAGGGACTCGAAGAGAGAGTCAAGAATTGGCTGAAGAAACTTAAGGACTTCATGCTGGAGAGCAAACAAGTCCGCAGGGAAAATGACACTTCTGGGCCGCAGCACGAATTGGAGTACTGGAAGCGCAGAGGTGCCCAGTTTAGTCAGCTCTCTTCAAGGTTGCAGGTTCGTCATCGAGACTAAACCGATTCCTCCACGTGTATACCCTCCTTCCGTACTTCCAGGACCACGAGGTGAAGATGTCCTTGTTCTGCCTCAAAATCGCACACTCGAAGGTGATGAAGGAGTGGACCGAAGCTGAAGACGAAGTCACATACTGCTACAACGAGGCGAAGGACAACGCAAAGTTCATCCAAGCCTTGGAAAAATGCTGCCATTGTTTATATCTAGACGATCCCGTGAGTAGTCTAGAATTAAATGTATCGAATTAATGGAAGGATAATTTGAGGGCGTTTTAATTTCAGGTGAAGATGAGAGACTCCTTGGTGTCGTTGCTGCAGACCGTGAGATTGATATACAGCGTCTCTCGTTATTATAACACCACCGAGAGGACCACGTCATTGATGATAAAAATCACCAACCAAATGATATCAGCCTGTCGGGATTATGTCACCAAGAGAGGGAGAGAGACGGTCTGGGGACAGGACAGAGCGACTGCCAGACTGAAACTGAAGCACTGTCTACGGTTGAACAAGTAATCCCGAAAATAATTTAGATATTTTAATTTGCACTTTTATTAATAATAATCTGTTTTATTTTATGTACAGGGCATACAGGGAGACGTACAGGCTTGTCCGATGTTCTCCAGCAGTGACGGAACAGGAATTCTCGTTTTCCGAGACCCACGTGTTTGGAAAATTCGACTCCTTCTGCGCAAGGATCCGGAAAATCCTGACCATGTTCGACCTGGTGGAGGACTATCAGCGGCTCTTCCAGAGGCGGATGGAGGGCCTCCTCCATGGCGAAGGTTTCATAAAAAAAAAAAATGTCATATAGTTCTAGGGTATAGTTACCGTGTATAAAAGAATCAGGGTGTCGAGACAGAGCTTGAAGAGTCGATCAAGACCTTCGAAGAGGCGAAGGCAGTAGCCACGACCAAACCTTACGATTACCTGGACCCCAGGAACGCGGAATTCGACGAGGACCATGACGAGTTTATGGCGACGACGAACGACCTGAAGGAGACCATCGGAGAGATCATCGAGAAGAACTACATGGACGTGTGGGACACCATCCAAGGCATCCGGTTCCTGAAGAGATTCGAAAAGGTGCATTAGTCTTCTTCTTCGCCTTTGTCCGTAACTCGAAGAGGGATTTTCACCACAGGTGAGCGAGAAGATCCCTCTGACCAAGCTGGACGAAAAGTACCTCTACGTGGCTCGATACTGCGATAGAGAGGTTGATAAAGGGTTGAAGCTCATCAAGAAGCAGAGAGACGATCCCCCATTGCCGAGACACATGCCTCCCATAGCTGGAAGACTTACCTGGGCGCACACCTTGAGGTGTTAATTAAGGACAAATTGTTATTTTAATTATGAATGTGTAAAGTGATTTTTTAAATACCCTAATATTAATTACCCAGGGTGCACCTCGATGCAGTGGCCGAGTCGATGTCGACGCATCCAATCTTGAAGACCTTGCCCGTCACTCCAGACCTCATGAAGAGGTACAACTATGCGGTCACCATGCTGACGAACTATAGAATGCATATCGCCGAGATCTGGACCCACCAGAACTCCTGGGTCATCGAAGACTGCTTGAAGAAGTGAGTTGAATGTAAAAAAAAAAAGAAATTGATATTTAATTTTTTTCGAATTTTAATTGTATCTTGGTAAAACGAAGGCCTCTCCTGACGGTGGACGAAGAGTCGGGCAAGGTCGCGGTGAACCTGGACAGCAGGGTGGTCCTGTTGCTGAAGGAGGCCGATTGTCTCGCGAAGCTCGACCTGGAGATCCCCATAGTGGCCTTGACGATCCTTCGACGAAGGGATCATTTCTCCTTGATCTCGGACTCTCTTCAACTAGTCATCGACGATTTCGTCGGGACGGCCCGGAAAGTCAAGCTCGAGGTGAGACCTCTTCTGCTTCCTCATCTGGTCCGGGTGGCGTCTCTTCTGGAACCGGGTCTTAGTTCCTTGACATGGACGGACCCGAAATGGAGGGAATTCTGCGAGGACACGAGAGAGGAAATCAAGATCTTCGACGTCCTCATCACCAGAGTCCACGACGTCTACACGAACAGGTAGAATTTAATCTCTGCACTTCTTGGCGCTGCGTCGACTTCTTCAGGTTGTCTTCAGAGTGTATCTTCTCAACAGGATCATCCTGGTCCTGGCGAGTATGCAGAAGACGGTTCTCCACGCTCTGCCGAAAAGGAAACCCTGGACCGTGGACGAGTTTTCCGAGAAAATGGAGTCCTCGACCAGGCTGGCTGCTCAGGATCTGCACCGGAAGAGCCTGATGGTCGAAGAAGCCGTCGAGGAGGTGCTGGGCCTCGTCAAGGACGCCGTGGCGAATTTCAAAGGCCACTCCAGCGCGAATCAGTTCGACTTCCTCAACGACGAGGGTGCGGACTCTAGAAAAGAAAATGAATAATGTCCTTGAAAAGAAGAAAAAGATTTTTCCCAACGTGTACAGGAGCCCAGGATCAGGCCGACTTGCAGCAACAGCCACAGGACTGGTCAGTCGTCTGGGCGTGTTTCGACGACCCCCACCGTCTTTTAAGGACTCCTGGGGGTGGACTCTCAAAATCCATGCAGGACATGGTGAAGAATGCCGTTTCGGAGATGAGGAGGTACTACTCGAGGAAAGTCATCGACGTGCTGATCAAAGTCACTAGGAGTTCCTTGGACGCCCTACGAAGGAGGTTCATCAGAGAGATGGACAGCGGTAATTCCAAAAGTTCAATAAATAAATACCTCGATATATAAATAATAATTCTTAGTCATCGTCCAGAGGTACCTCCAAACCCCTTATTCCTGCTGCAAGCGACGCTGATGATCCCTGCAGTGACCGTGAAACCAAGCTTGGACGACGTCCAGGATGCCATAAACGTTGCTGGAAAGCAAATTGCAGGAGTAGCCAAAGGAGTTGCTCAATGGACAGCCGGCAGCAAGAGGGCAGCTCAGAAGGTGAGGTCCTTTCCACCATTTCGCCCCATTCACGTCGCTCAACCTCTTCGTCATGTTCTCGCCGTGTCCTCTTCAGCAACCTGACCTCAGCTGAAATGAAAATTCACGAAAGGATTAAGATTCATCTTGTCGATTTTTGTTAACCATTGGGTACATATCCACACGTGTGTCGTCTCTGTCTTCATGGCTTACGAGTTGTCGTGTTTGTCTGTTCATCATCGTCCTCGTGGCGTCGCCAACGTCTGCATTTTCTGTCGCTGTTGCTGTTGCTGTGTCGTACGTACCGCTTCTCTGTGTGAATTGGCGCCGGGCAGCGCGTTTGGCGCAACCTGGCAGGGGCTCATAAAAGAGATCTCTTAGAAGTCGTGATGCGCGCCCAGGTGGACAGCGACAGACAGAGCCAAGAAGAGGACCCCAGGATCAGGAGGCGGAAGCTGTTCAAGGTGGCCTCGGAGGAGAAGCCGATTTTCCCGGTCCAGGAAGTCAACTTCCACTCCATGGTCATGGAGAACAAGGAGGTCGTCAAGCTGCTCGCCATCCTGACCTCCTGCACCCACGACTTACGCGAGGCAAGGATTCGAAGGTCCTGGACCGAGTGTGGAACTCTTCGGCTTATCGACCTGTTCTCCAGGACCAGGCGACCTTCCTCGACCAGTGGAAGTCCTTTAAGATCCTGTGGAAAAACGAGCGCAGCATGAGGGAGCTTCTGCAGATCTCGCTGAGGGAGTTCGACAACACCCTGAGGAAGTATGGGGAACTCGAAGACAGGCTCTCGACGGAAGCTGACCTGGTGATGTTCGGGTCATCGGTTGCAGTCTCTGTGGAAAAGCTGAAGTATGGACTTTACACCGAGATCAAAGGTGAATATGAGGTACAAGAGAGCGTTACCGTGCAATTCAGGATCTTGTGGTGTGGCTTTCTTCAGGTGCGACGCATAAAATCGGCCAGGCTATGAAGAAGAAGTACAGGAGAGAGATGGAGTACGTGTACGCGCTGATGAACGAGATGGAGAGGAAACTGGACCGGCCGATTCGCGATCTCGATGACGTCCGCTTGGTCATGGAGACCCTGAAGAAGATTAGGGAGCAGGAGGTCGACATGGACCTGAGGATAGACCCTATCGAAGAGGCCTTCGGTATCGTGACGAAGTATGAGGTCCCCGTGGACAGGGAATGCCTGGAGCAGGTGGACAGTCTCAGGTACACCTGGCAGCAGCTCTACACCCGCGCCCTGGACACCCACATCCTGCTTCTTCATCTTCAACCCCAATTCGAGGAGGACCTCAGGAACAACCTGGAGAAGTTCGGCACCGAAATCACCGTGTACTGCGAGGAGTACGAGCAGTCCGGTCCCATGCAACCTGGTCTTCCTCCAAGAGAAGCCTCCGACCGGCAGGTGCTCTTCCAGAACAAGTTCGACATGATGTGGAGGAAGCTGCAGACCTACCAGAACGGCGAGGAACTCTTCGGCCACCCTCCGACGGATTATCCCGAGCTCTCGCAGATCAGAAAGGAGTTGAACCTTCTCCAGAAACTGTACAAGCTGTACAACGACGTGATCGATGGAGTCAGCAGCTACTACGACATCCCCTGGGGCGAGGTAGGTCGATAGGACCCTGAAGAGCACCCTGAAAAGAATATAAATTAGAATCTCGGTGAGTGTTATCAAGGTAACTCGATGCCTTCTAAAACCGCCTTCCAGGTGAACATCGAGGACATCAACAACGAGCTGATGGAGTTCCAGAACCGTTGCCGGAAGCTCCCGAAGGCCCTGAAGGAGTACCCCGCGTTCTCCGCCCTGAAGAAGACAGTGGACGACTTCAACGACATGTGCCCCATTCTCGAGCTGATGGCGAACAAGGCGATGAAGCCGAGACACTGGCAGAGGATCATCGAGTTGACGAATTATCACTTCGACCTCGAGAGCGAAGGTTTCTGCTTGAAGAACATCCTGGAGGCGCCGCTTCTGCAATACAAGGAGGACATCGAGGACATCTGCATCTCGGCCATGAAGGAGAAGGACATCGAGGCCAAGCTGAGGATGGTGGTGAACGAATGGTCCTCCCATGAGCTCACGTTCATGACGTTCAACAATAGAGGGGAACTTCTGCTGAGAGGAGACACCACCGCGGAGACCATTGGTCAGCTGGAGGACAGCTTGATGGTGCTCGGCTCCTTGATGTCCAATCGTTACAATGCACCCTTCAGGAAGCAGATCCAGCAGTGGGTCACCAATCTCTCCAACACCAACGAGATCCTGGAGAGGTGGCTGCTGGTCCAGAACATGTGGGTGTACCTGGAGGCGGTCTTCGTGGGCGGCGACATCGCCAAGCAGCTCCCGAGGGAGGCCAAGAGGTTCAACAAGATCGACAAGAGCTGGCAGAAGATCATGCAGAGGGCCCACGAGACACCTTGCGTGGTCCCCTGTTGCGTGAGCGACGACTTACTGAGACAGCTTCTGCCGCATCTTCAGGAACAGCTGGAGCTCTGCCAGAAGAGCCTCAGCGGGTACGTTATGTCTCTAGGAATAATTTTTCATTTCATAGAAAAAAAGTGTATAACAATTTAATACACCCCCAAGGTACCTGGAGAAGAAGAGGATGATGTTCCCGAGGTTCTTCTTCGTCTCCGACCCGGCATTGCTGGAGATCCTTGGCCAGGCCTCGGACTCTCACACCATCCAGAACCACTTGCTGTCCATCTTCGACAACACCAAGTTCGTCAAGTTCCACGACATCGAGTACGACAAAATCATGGCCATCGTGTCGTCCGAGGGGGAGTCCATCACGGTGGGTCCATGTTTTATCTGCAAATTCGTGTACTTTATAGGGAAATCTTTGTCCAGCTGGAGAAGGCAGTTCGAGCTGAGGGATGCGTAGAGTCCTGGCTGATGCAGTTGCTGCACACCTCCCAGCAATCCCTGCACTCCATCATCCGGCAAGCCTACAGTGCCATCAATGACTCGAGTTTCAATCTCCTCGGGTTCCTGGAGAAGATGCCAGCCCAGGTCGGACTTCTGGGCATCCAGATGATCTGGACCAAGGACGCGGAGGCTGCACTCTCCCAGGCCAGGGCCGATAAAAAAATCATGGCCGAGACCAACAACAAGTTCCTGGAGCTCCTCAACACTCTGATCGACCAGACCACCAGAGATCTCAGTAAGATCGAGAGGACCAAGTTCGAGACCCTGATCACGATCTACGTGCATCAGCGCGACATCTTCGATGCACTGGTGGAGTACCTGAAATAATTCATCTCTCGATTAGGTTTAGCAATTATTTATCATCATCTCCATTAAAATCGACAGTGCCGCATGAACGTCCGCACCGTGACCGACTTCGAGTGGCTGAAACAATGCAGGTTCTACTTCAAGGACGACGTCGACAAGACGGCGATATCGATTACCGACGTGCAGTTCGTGTACCAGAACGAGTACCTGGGCTGCACCGAGCGCCTTGTAATTACCCCGCTCACCGACAGGTGATTGCCTCCGTTCTCAGGATTTATCACGACTTTTAGTGACGACCAGTTGCTGGAAATGGTTTGGCGTCCGAAAATGGGAACAAAGGGGTCTTGCCAATTTATCTGAATGTTGTTCTTATTTTTTTCCCAGGTGCTACATTACTTTAGCCCAGGCCTTGTCCATGTCGATGGGTGGGGCACCCTGTGGTCCAGCAGGAACCGGGAAAACCGAGACCGTCAAGGACATGGGCAAGACCCTGGCCAAGTACGTGGTGGTCTTCAACTGCTCGGATCAGATGGACTACCGAGGTCTGGGTCGCATCTACAAGGGTCTGGCTCAGAGTGGGACCTGGGGATGCTTCGACGAGTTCAACAGGATCGAACTTCCCGTCCTTTCGGTGGCGGCCCAGCAGGTCGGGGTCGTCCTGGCTGCCCAGAAGGAGAGGAAGAAGCAGTTCGTCTTCACCGATGGCGACCAGATAGATCTGTGTCCCGAGTTCGGGATCTTCATCACCATGGTGAGGTTTCCTCTTCAGGGTGGGTCGCGTCAGGTTCCGATAACTGGTGATTTTTAGAATCCAGGATACGCAGGCAGGAAGGAGTTGCCGGAGAACCTGAAGATACAGTTCCGCACGGTCGCCATGATGGTTCCCGACAGGCAGATCATCATCAGGGTCAAACTAGCCAGCTGTGGGTTCCTCGAGAACATCACCCTAGCTCGGAAGTTTTACACTCTGTATAAATTATGCGAAGAGCAGCTCACCAAGCAGGTGCATTACGACTTTGGTCTGAGGAACATACTATCGGTCCTGAGGACCCTGGGAGCAGCGAAGAGGGTCAACTCGAGGGACTCCGAGAGCACCATCGTCATGAGGGTCCTCAGGGACATGAACCTGTCGAAGCTGATAGGTGAACGTCGATTCTCTAAAATTGTATAGAAAATTTGAGTACCCGACAAATGGTAGGACACTTTGGTGCTAATAATAATCACGTAGACGAGGACGAGCCGCTCTTCATGTCGCTGGTCGCGGATCTCTTCCCGAACCAGGCGCTGGAGAAGACGTCGTACCCCGAACTGGAAGAGGCGATCGAGAAGCAGGTGCAGGAGGCCAAACTCATATACCATCCTCCATGGGTTCTGAAGCTGATCCAGCTCTACGAGACCCAAAGAGTGAGGCATGGGATAATGACCTTGGGACCAACGGGAGCTGGGAAGACGTCCTGCATCCACATCCTGATGAAGGCCTTGACTCTCTGCGGTAACAACCACAGGTGAGACCTTGACGTCTTTCTAAAATCCCTGGCGAAAAATGTTGAATTTGAATTTCTTTTTTTTTTTTCCTTGAATCTTTTCTCTCTGTTCCAAGGGAGATGAGGATGAACCCGAAGAGCATAACGGCGGCTCAGATGTTCGGTCGACTGGACGTGGCCACGAACGACTGGACCGATGGGATCTTCTCGGCTCTATGGAGGAAGACCCTGAAGCTGAAGAACGACGAGCACGTGTGGATGGTGCTGGATGGACCCGTGGACAGCATCTGGATAGAGAACCTGAACTCCGTCCTGGATGACAACAGAACCCTGACCCTGGCCAATGGTGATCGCCTTCCGATGGCGCCGACCTGTAAAATCATATTCGAGCCCCATAACATCGACAACGCGAGTCCAGCTACGGTATCCAGGAATGGAATGGTGTACATGAGCTCTTCAGGGTTGGACTGGGTGCCGGTGGTGACCAGCTGGCTGCAGTGTCGAAATTCCCTGGAGCAGCAGGTCTTCAAGGAGTGCTTCGACGGCTCCTTCTCGCAGGTCTACACCTGGACGATGCAGAACCTGAACAACACGATCAAAGTGCTGGAGAGTAACGTCGTGCGACAGATGCTGTGCATCCTGGAGGGGCTGATACCAGCTGACGACAGCGAAGACGACGGTGCAGAGGAAGATGACGACCCTGACAAGGAGAAGATACCAGCGATAGCTCCGGATCACCTGCAGAGATTCTACATCTTCGCCCTGGTCTGGGGCGTGGGGGCTCTCCTAGAGACCGATGATAGACAAAAGTTCAACGATTACCTGAGGGAGAACTACGAGTCCTTGGATCTACCTACCTCGGAGAAGTACCCCAAGGCCACCGTCTTCGAGTTCGTGGTGAACGAGAAGGGCAAGTGGGACATGTGGCTGGTCCTGGTGCCGAATTATTCATATCCAGAGACGTCGAATCCGGATTACAATAGTTTATTGGTGCCCGTCCCTGACAACGTCAGGATCCAATATCTGTTGGACCTGATAGGTCACCAGGAGAAGGCAGTCCTTCTGACCGGTGAACCAGGATCGGCAAAGACCGTGATGATCAAGTCTTACATGAAGAAGGCGAACCCCGACATGACCCTGAGCAGGTGCTTCAACTTCAGCTCGGCGACTACGCCCTATCAGTTCCAGAAGACCATCGAGAGCTACATCGAGAAGAGGATGGGCACCACCTACGGGCCCCCTGGAGGCAAGAAGATGATCTGCTTCGTGGACGACATCAACCTCCCCCAGATCAACGAATGGGGGGACCAGGTGACGAATGAGATCGTGAGGCAGACCATGGAGATGCGAGGCTTCTATTCTCTGGAGAAACCTGGGGATTTCACGTCCATTGTGGATGTAACCTTCATGGCGGCCATGGGCCATCCTGGGGGAGCCAGGAACGACGTGCCCTCGAGGCTGAAGAGGCACTTCTGCATCTTCAACTGCCCCATGCCCAACAACGGGGTCATAGACAGGATCTTCAGCGTCATCGGCGAGGGGCATTACAACGTGAAGAGGGGCTTCCCCCAGGAGATCAGGAGTCTGGTCAAGAAGATGATAGGCCTGACCAGGAACCTTTGGCAGAGGACCAGGGTGAAGCTGCTGCCGACTCCTGCCAAGTTCCACTACGTCTTCAGCCTCCGTGATCTCTCCAGGATCTGGCAAGGCATTGTTGGCACCTTGTCCACTGTCATCGACACCGAAAATGTACTTATGCACCTGTGGAAGCACGAATGTTGCAGGGTCTTCGCCGACAGGCTCACCCACAAGGTCGACATGGAGTGGTTCGACCACGAACTCGTTGAGGTTGTCGAAGAAGTCCTGGGCGACAAGTACGTCTCGATGCTGGGACCAAGTCCCTCCTTCGTCGACTTCATGAGGTGATTGAAACTTGATTAATAACGTTATATATTTTTCCTTCATATTTTTGGACATATAGAGACGCGTTGCTCACTTCAGGGACGCTCCTGAACCCACGGGGGACGAGGGTGAAGAAGGGGACACGGAACTCCCCAAGGTGTACGAGCCCTCCTACGACCAGAAGGGGCTGAAGGAGAGGCTGGAGATGTTCCTGGCACAATACAACGAGATGCAGAGGGGAGGAGGAATGGACCTGGTCTTCTTTCCCGACGCCATTCTGCACCTGGTGAAGATAGCCAGGGTCATAAGACACCCCAGAGGGAACGTGATGCTGGTCGGAGTAGGAGGCTCCGGGAAGCAGAGTTTGACCAAATTGGCCACCTTCATCGCGGGGTACAAGACCCACCAGATCACCCTGACGAGATCTTACAACGTGGCGAACTTCCTGGAGGACCTGAAGTTCCTCTACCGCACCTGTGGGAGCCAGGGCAAGGGCACGACGTTCATCTTCACCGATCTCGACGTCAAGGAGGAGATCTTCCTCGAGTACCTCAACAATGTCCTCAGCTCGGGGGTCATCAGCAACCTCTTCACTCGGGACGAACAAATGGACATCATCGCCGAGCTGACTCCACAGATGAGGCGAGAGAACCCTAGGAGGACGCTGACCAACGAGATCGTCATGGAGTATTTCCTGAAGAGGACGTGCCATTACCTGCACGTGGCTCTGTGTTTCTCGCCAGTGGGGGAGAAGTTCAAGAACCGGGCCCAAAGGTTCCCAGCCTTGATTTCCGGGTGCACCATAGACTGGTTCCAGCCCTGGCCAGGTGATGCGCTGATCCTGGTTGCCGAGCACTTCCTCCACGACTTTGAGATCGTCTGCACTCCTACGGTGAAGCACGAGCTGGTAACGGCCCTGGGCTCCATCCAGGATGCCGTAGCCAACACTTCAACGGAATATTTCCAGAGATACAGAAGAGCGACTCACGTCACCCCGAAGTCGTACCTGAATTTCATCGGCGGGTACAAGTGCATCTACCGAGCGAAGCGGCTGGAACTTGAAGAAGGAGCCAGGAGGATGGACAATGGTCTAGCGAAGCTGGAGGAGGCCTCCATAGCGGTCGGGATCCTGAAGCAGGAACTGGCGAAGATGGAGAGCGAGCTGGCCCAGGCCTCCCAGAAAGCCGAAGACGTCCTACAGGAGGTCACCGAGAGGGCCACCCAGGCGGAGACCTTCAAGAACCAGGTGCAGAGGGTGAAGGAAAAGGCCGAGGTCCTGGTAGCCTGCATAGCCGAAGAGAAGGCCCTGGCCGAGCAGAAGCTGGAGGCTGCCAGGCCAGCCCTGGAGGAAGCCGAAGCAGCCTTGAACACCATCAAGCAGGCTCACATCGCTACCGTAAGGAAACTCGGAAGACCACCTCACCTGATCATGAGGATCATGGACTGCGTGCTGATCCTGTTCTCCAGGAAGCTGCTACCAGTGGTACCGGACACCGCTGCACCTTGTCCGAAACCCTCCTGGGCGGAGTCCCTGAAGATGATGGCCAGCACTACGTTTCTACTGCAGCTCCAGAATTATCCAAAAGACACCATCAACAACGAGATGATCGAGCTGCTGCAGCCTTACTTCAAGATGGAGGACTACAACATGGAAACGGCTCGCAGGGTGTGCGGAGATGTGGCTGGTCTGCTGTCCTGGACCAAGGCGATGGCCTTCTTCCACTCGGTGAACCGAGATGTGCTACCCTTGAAGGTGAACCTAAAGCTGCAGGAAGCGAGGCTCAGAATAGCGATGGACGACCTGGCCAATGCCGAAAGGGAATTGTCGGAGAGGGAGATGGCTCTTCAGGTTGTCAAGCAGCAGTACGACACCGCGGTTGCCGATAGACAGAGGCTGACGGATGCTGCCAACGTGTGTCTGAGGAAGATGACAACGGCAACGGCCTTGATCAACGGACTCGGTGGAGAGAGGATCAGGTGGACGGAGCAGAGCAGCGACTTCAAGAAGCAGCTGGGAAGACTCGTCGGAGACGTCGTCCTGGCTACAGGATTCCTATCCTACTGCGGTCCCTACAATCAGCACTACAGGGCTGGACTGGTCTCTTCGTGGATGAAGACCCTCACCACGAAGACCATCCCCTTCACGGAGAACCTGAACGTCACCGACATGCTGATAGACACGTCTACCGTGTCCGAGTGGACTCTTCAGGGTTTGCCAAATGACGAGCTATCGGTCCAGAACGCCCTGATCGTCACCAAGTCTTCGTCCTACCCCTTGCTGATCGATCCCCAGAGCCAGGGGAAAATGTGGATCAAGAACAAGGAGGCCTCGAACGAGCTGCAGATCACCTCTCTGAACCACAAGTACTTCAGGACCCACCTTGAAGACAGCCTCTCTCTGGGCAGGCCGCTGCTCATCGAGGACGTCCTGGAAGAACTGGACCCCGTGATCGACAACGTCCTGGAGAAGAACTTCATCAAGTCTGGCACCATTGAGAAGGTCATGGCCGGGGACAAAGAGTGCGACGTGATGCCGGGCTTCATGTTGTACATCACGACGAAGCTGCCGAACCCTGCATACAGTCCTGAAATATCTGCCAAGACGTCCGTCATCGACTTCACGGTGACCATGCAGGGCCTTGAAGATCAGCTGTTGGGTCGAGTCATTCTTATGGAGAAGGCGGATTTGGAGGCCGAGAGGGTGGCCCTCTTCGAGTCCGTCATGACCAACCAGAGGTCCATGAAGGAACTAGAAAGCACCCTGCTGCACAGACTGACCTCGACGGAAGGCTCCCTCGTCGATGACGAGACCTTGATCGAGGTCCTTCGGGAAACCAAGAGCACCGCCGAATCGGTGAACGAGAAGCTGCGAGTAGCCGCCCTGACGGAGAAGAAGATCAACGTGGCCAGAGAGGAGTTCAGGCCGGTGGCCTCGAGAGGGTCCATTCTGTACTTCCTGATCGTAGAGATGAGCAACGTCAACGTCATGTACCAGAACTCGCTGAAGCAGTTCCTGGCCCTTTTCGATGGGTCCATCACGAAGTCGGAGAAGAGCTCCGTGACGATGGAGAGGATAGACATCATCCTGAGGCATCTGACTTACGAGGTGTGGAGCTTCACCCTGAGGGGCCTCTACGAGAGGCACAAGCAGCTCTTCACCCTGATGCTGGCCATGAAGATCGACTGCCACAGAGGGGCCATCTCGCACGCAGAGTTCATGGCCTTCATCAAGGGTGGCGCCTCCTTGGACCTGAACGCCGTGGCTCCGAAGCCATTCCGCTGGATCCTGGACATCACCTGGCTGAATCTCGTCGAGATCAGCAAGCTGGAGGTCTTCTCGGAGATCCTGACGAAAATCGAGTTCAGCGAGAAAGACTGGAGGGTGTGGTACGAGAGGGAAAAGCCGGAGGAGGAGGACCTTCCCTGTGGGTACCAGAAGAGTCTGGACGTCTTCAGGAAGCTCTTGCTGATCAGGTCCTGGAGTCCCGATAGGACTCTATCCCAAGCCAGGAAATACATTGCCGATTCCTTGGGTCAGGAATACTGCGAGGCGAAGATCCTCGACCTCGAGGCCACCTGGGCTGAGTCGGAACCCAGGACACCCCTCATTTGCATCCTGTCGACTGGGTCCGACCCCAGTCCGCAGATCACCGCCCTGGCGAAGCAGAAATCAGCTCGTGAGTTTCCTCTCTTTCCTCTAGAGATACCGCTTCATGAATTATGCATAAATTAGAATAAACCTTGATAACAGCCCTGAGGTCCGTGTCCATGGGGCAGGCGCAGGAGTTCCACGCGAGGAGGATGATCAGCGACGCCATGGGCACCGGAGGCTGGGTCCTGCTGCAGAACGTCCACTTATCTCTCCCATTTTGCACGGAAGCCATGGATGCCCTCGTCGAGGCCGACAACATCCACGAGTCCTTCCGTCTCTGGATGACCACGGAAGTGCATGCCCAGTTCCCGATCGGCCTGCTGCAGGTCGGAGTTTCTTTTTTTTTTATCTAAATATGATCTATAAAATCTCTCTTCAAGTATTAAATCCCAGAATGTGGGATCTCTTCTTCCACTTAGATGGCGATTAAGTTCACCAACGAACCGCCTCAAGGGATTCGAGCTAGCCTGAAGAGGACCTACCAGGGCATCACCCAGGACACCTTGGACTACAGTCCCCAGAACCAGTGGCCACCTCTTCTGTACGCGGTTGCGTTCCTGCATACCGTGGTCCAGGAACGCAGGAAATTCGGTCCCCTGGGATGGAACGTCCCCTACGAGTTCAACCAGTCCGACTTCGCAGCTTCGGTCCAGTTCGTGCAGAATCATTTGGATGATATGGACCCGAAGAAGGGAGTCTCCTGGCCCACGGTGTGCTACATGCTCGGAGAGGTCGGCAGCTGATTGGCTTCTAATTGCAAGTGCGCTAAAATCGAGGATCAGATTGATCGATATCATTACACACATTTTTGGCCATCTCTTCAGGTTCAATATGGAGGTCGGGTGACGGACGACTTCGACAAACGCCTCCTGACCACGTTCACCCAGGTCTGGTTCTGCGACGTCCTTCTGCGGTCAGGGTTCGAGTTCTACAAAGGATATAAGGTCCCTCAGACGCGGAATCTTCAGGGTTACGTGGATTATATCAATGGTTTACCTGCAACCGACACCCCTGAAGTGTTCGGTCTGCATGCCAATGCGGATATCACGTATCAGATCAACACTGCCAAAGGCATCCTGGACACGGTCCTTGATGTGCAGCCGAAGGAAGGCGGTGTCCAAGGTGGCGAGACCAGGGAAACGGTGGTGTACAGATTAGCCGATGATATGTTGACCAAACTCCCCAAACAGTATGTTGGCTTCGAGGTCAAGGAGGCCTTGCAGAGGATGGGCGCTCTGATGCCGATGAACATCTTCTTGAGACAGGAGATTGATAGGTAGGGTCCAGGAGGGTCTCCAAGGAGGGAGGTCCTTTGGTTAGAAGTTAAGATTAAACGATAATTAATTAATATCGCAGGATCATCAGGGTCCTCAGGGAGGTCAGGTCCACCCTGACGGACTTGAAACTGGCGATCGATGGGACCATCGTCATGAGCCAAAGTCTGAGACTGTCTTTGGACGCGATGTACGATGCCAGGATCCCTGAAAGGTGGCTCAAGATATCCTGGGAGTCCGCGACTCTGGGGTTCTGGTACACGGAACTCCTTGAAAGGGATGTTCAATTCAAGGCGTGGTGCCATCAGGGGCGACCGAACATCTTCTGGATGACGGGGTTCTTCAACCCCCAGGGGTTCCTCACCGCCATGAGACAGGTCTGGGGAGAGAGCCTGAGGATATAAGAGCATCCATTTTATAAAGATTATTTACAATTATTTATAATAATTTATAATCGCGCTTTACTTCCCATAGGAAGTCACAAGAGCGCACAAGGGCTGGGCTCTGGATTCCGTGGTGTTGCAGAATCTCATTACGAGATGCAACAAGGAGGACATTAAGGAGCCTCCCAAAGAGGGGGTCTACGTCCATGGGCTTTTTTTGGAAGGAGCTTCCTTGGACAGGAAATCTGGAAAATTGGTCGAGAGCAAGCCGAAAGTTCTGTACGAACAGATGCCGGTGATTTATATTTACGCCATTAATACCACTGCGGGGAAAGACCCGAAATTGTACGAATGTCCGATTTATCGGAAGCCTCAGAGAACCGATCAGAAATACGTCGGGTCCATCGATTTTGAAACCGATCATAATCCTAGGCACTGGACCTTAAGAGGCGTTGCTTTACTGTGCGACATCAAGTGAATTCTATCTAAAAGCCAAAGGTATCGGACAGTATACGCCTGGTATATAACTAATGAAACATATGCCTGCATGTTTATTTATCATATAATAACAGTACGTATCAATCATAACGCTTCTTATAAATGAAATGGTACGGTTGCATGGTGCCATGCCGAACGGAGTCGCGTTATAACTAAAGTCTTTGCTTTCGTTCTGATGTATAAAATTAAGTCATAGAAAAGTTTGGTGTAACAGGGCTAAGGCAGGGGAAGTGACCCTCACAAACGTGTTTTCTTAAAAAATAAAAGATTATTGCCTGATGCCATACACCTTGTACATATGTATATTATGAGGATGGAACACGAGATGAAAAGTTTCGTCACCGTCTAATCTGATGTTCCTTAGTTTTTGGAGATCAGATATACCATAAAAAATAAAAATTATCAATTTTTCACCACTTAAAAGAGCATTTGCTTTAAGTTCTTAAGTGGGGATATCACAAAACGTTCATGTAATGTCAAATATAATTCTAAGGTTTTTTTTTTCAATCCGTTAGTACGGTTTCGTTTCATCAAAAGAATGTATAATTTATAAAATAAAATAAAGGAAGGCAGTTTTAGCTCGATCACTAGGTAAGCGCGTTCTTAGTATTACGTGAACAACAATTTTAAAGTTTTCATGACTTGTACTATCGCATTTAGTTCTGCAAGAGATTCTGTTGCACCAGAACCTACTTCGGTGATTATGGGACATGTGTTTAATTGCACAGCCATTAGCATTTTTTCAGTATCTGACTCCATCGGTATGGATTCCATGTCTGCTTCGATCATTGTCAGTAAATTCTGAAATTCTGTCTTTACTACATCCATGTTTGTGTTACCTTTTGAAATCATTTCTATCAAGGAGGTTATTTTTTCAAGGAATTTAGGTGCACTTTCTTGAAAGTTCTTCATTAATCTGAGGTGATACTCGGATAGCTTAGCTCCTAAACTTGATTTCTTCTGAATGTGTTGTTTACTTAGTTCTGGGTAACGTGCCTTTGCCAATTCACTGGAAAGAATGTCTTGTTGTTTTAACTTATTTTGATTTTCAGAGTGCGAGATGTCTTTCAAGTCCGATACAACGTCGTGTAGCCTATGTAACATTTTCCTAGCAGCTTCATGTTTTGCTTGCTTCTTAGTAGTCGCAGTTCCCTCTTCTTTAAATGTCGATACCACGCACTGAACCGTAAACACTTTGGCATGTGGAGGGCCAACTTCATTTATGGCATTGTACAATGGTTCTTGTAGATTGTTTTCTGCACAAAGGTCCTATAGAATGGATTGAATTAAAGTTTCTCTTGTTACGTTAGAATAATTTCAGAAACAGAAACAGTGTTTACCTGTAATGCACCTATGGCATTCACAAATGGTACATTAGTCTTTGGAGAAACAGGCAGTACTGCAGGCGTACTATTATGTACAGGAGACGGCATAGGAGAATCCTGCACTTCAATACCCGTCTGCTTCACGATTAACTCCAACATAGCTTTCGCTGCCTCGTGTTTGGCATCTTTCTTACACCGACCTCCTCCAGTAGCAGTTAGACCATCGCAACTGACTTGGAAGATGAACTTATTATTGTGCGACCCGCCACCATCATATATCAGTTCGTAATTAGGGGCAGTACCCTTGCGAACCATCATTTCTTGCAGAATTGATACTGGAGTCTTATTCATATTGACATCCCATGAACGATTCCAGTTAATATATAAGAAAACTTGATCTCCAAAGCTGCTTACATTTTATTTTGTTCACATAAAAATGATAAAGAGTTCAAACTCGCTATCTAATAAGCAGAGAGTAAAATTCGCTGTCAAAACTTCAATCCCTACGTTTCTGAAACAGAAAATTAACCATTCGAAAAATTAATCCGGCGACACGTGAGACTGCCGATACAAGAGGAACAAAAACAAGTCATTAATATCGTGGAATCTGTCTTGTTGAGGTTACTACGGCTTGGCAGAATTTACTTAACGGCATGTGCTTTTTCTCAGAATTCGTATATCCTGACAAATGAAATAGCACATACGTGGCTCTTGTTTTTCATAATATTAAACTAAAAGCTTTAATTGCAATAAAATGTATTTACCGAAAGTCCATGTGTAAGGCGGCACAACCATCAAGTGTCATTGCGCATGTGCAGTTTCAATCCATCTGACGCGCCATCAGCATTGCATACGGAACAATGAAACTGCCAGTATAAATGAACTGAACCTTAAAAATAAGCCCCCCGGTCATATTATTACTTTGAAATATTCTTAAATACGTTTTTAAAATCTTCACAATAATTTTCATGCATATTCTTGGTGATTTTTGCTATTTATTGCTTCAAATCGCAGTGTGCACACGACGCATGCGCACTCACTGCTGCTCTCTGATTGGTCGCGTACATTTTCAAGAGGAAAATGGCGACCAAGATGGCGGCGACCATGGCTTTTTAATCTCGTTCCAAAAGCGCAACCTTGGCTTTCCAACCACTTTACTGCATTTCCTTGGAGCGATCCAAGTCGGTCGTGTCGCTGAAACCAGTTGATCTTGCAAATTATACCAAATGTATTTAACGCAAGAGTTGTTTGGTGTGCGTTCACAAGTCGGCGTGGCAGTTCGATGAATGTTATTCTGCCAGCATGTAATCGGTGGACGAGTCGACGTACGAATCCTGCATGATGCTTCGTGAATTTTAAATTAGTATGTACCGCTTTAAGTAGTTCATATAAGATTACGTTGCTAGGACGGGATTTACGGTAGATTTTGTGTCCCCCGACGAGTTTTGCAACTTTTTTGAAAGTGGTGCAACCGGCCACGTAGAACCCATGGCGATCCAGCTGTTGATTGGAATTCAAATTTTTTTTTTCATTGTTTTTTAGCCAGACCTTTATTCTGCCATTCCTTAGATAACGTTTACCCTTTGTACCCACGAGTTATTTGCAATATTAAACGAATGGTATTTATTAGTCTCGCCGAGGCCTTCAATGTCGTTTTAAGTTTACGGATATTCTTGAACCACTAGCTTTTGTTTCTACATTTTCAAATCTTTATTCTTCCTTTGTTTTTTTTACCAACCTTTGCAGTTGGATTATCGTGTGATGTATTGTGTTTATTTTTAGGCAAATTGAGCCATGACTGCAATTGGGAGTTCACTACTCGAGTGGGCGATGAAAACTGTACATACTTGAGAACATGAAGAATGGTGAAATCGAAGGGGAGGAGGCCGAAAACATAGGGAAATGTGTGTTCTTTTCCAATCCAGACATTTTAACCGAGCGTCCCAAGAATCACGGTGCTGTAAGATTATTTCTATAATCGTAGATATTTAATTTAGGACGATTACTATGTTTATAAATTTTTTCATTGCAGGCATCTCAAATTCGCCAATCCTATAATTTAGATCAACAGCAGGAACAATTTACAAATCAAGGTATCGCAGGGATATGCAGTAATTTAGTTTTAACTTCAGGACAAAAAATTCCTGAGGACCTTTTAACTCATTATTCTGCAAAACCGTACCCGTTTACATTTATTACCGCTGTTAAGAGAAAACTTGCACTCGGAGCACATTTTGAAGCATGCAAAAGAGTGCATGAAGAAGCCAATGTAAATCAAATTGATAAAAATTCAGATTTCATTCAGGGTGCTCAATATTATAGTCAAGACATGGACTACATAAAACCACTGAAGGTACCTGACTTAAAAATATCTCCAAAGTCTATGGAGTTCTCTCAAAAAGAGGGTTGTACTTTAAAAGACATTACCCCAGCGAAACTAGAGAATGTTAAAGATGGGACGATGAAACAGAAGGGGGAGAAAGTATCGGCGAAAAGTACTGACCGAGTGCAGAGGAAATTGGACTTTTCTTTATCGGATGGACAATCTATTATATCTTCTGAAAACATTGAACCTTTAAAGACACCTGAATTGTCAATTGCTTCTAATTTATCCAAAAAGAAAGAGTATGCCAGAGATAGTTTTAGAGAAAAAGAAAATAGATCTAAGCGAATTAGAAAGGATGATGGGATTTTAACAAAAGCAGCTGAAATTGGTCAAAGTATGCTCAAACGATCCAAAGATACTAGAACTCATGTTTCTAGAAAAGAATTGGACGATTTTGCAGTTAAGAAATTTAAAGGCGAACATGCTTTGGTCGGTGCGTCGAAAGAGGATACTTTTGTTTCAAAGAAATCTCGATGTAAGAATTTTGCAACGTCCACTGTTAAGAAATGTGACGAGAAACGGCACCGTCCTTCCGGCACACACATTGTAAAAACTAGCAGAGATAAATCTTTGGAATCAAAATGTAGATCTTACAGCAGTGAATCCGTATCTGATCGTGGCCTAAAGGTACAAGAAAGAGTTTTAATTAAAGATAGTCCAAGAGGAAGAGTAAACGACATTATTGATCGAAAAGTCAAAGCCGATGATTGTAATATTCCAAGCTCATCTAGACAAATCGATGACCACAAAAGTAAATTCGGTTTCGACAGTAAGTCAATAAAACAAAGTAGAATAAATTCAAGTCAAATGAAATCAGTGGATGGATGCTCTACGGAAGACAGTCAAAAAATGTTTAGTGAACCAAAATCCTTCACGAGCAAAGATGAGCACACTTGTTCCAATAGTGTTTCAGAAATATCGGAGGATGTCATAACTGCAAATGATTCAGACATTAGTTTGGAAGAAGAAAGTATACATTCCCAGTTGTCCTCTCGATGGTCTAAAACAAAAGATTTGGAGAAATCAAACCAAGTTACCCAAAGTTCTACATCGGCGTTGACCGGAGGTATCAACAGTCAAAACTTTCCAGAACGTATCGCAAGCACAAGTATAAGTACAAGGAAAACCAGCAATTCCCAAACTGGCAGCGTAACATCAACGGAGGTGAATTCTGATTCGAAAAATTCTGCCGAATTATCTTTCTCTGAAATTATCGCAGATTCTCGGAAAATCTCCTTCAGAGACGACAGTTACTCCCATCAATCAGAGTTCCGAGACTTAGTTACTCCTGATATAAATTTAATAGTTCGCTCAAAGAGAAGGAAGCAGTTTTTACAAGGTGATGATTCTGAGGAAATCAAAAAGGTTACGAGAAACAAGACTACAGCAGGGAAGGTGGAAGACGGAGGCATCGAGCTGGTAAGATATTTTGAGTATACGTACATAGTGCGACACTCAAAATTAAAAGGAGAATTTATTCAATGATAATTCAATTTCCAGTTACATCCAACGGCACTGCACATGCAGTTTCAGGCAGAATTGCATTTGTTTGATTCATTCAACGAATCGTTGAGACAAGTGATGGACGTTGAAAATAGTCTCTACACTGCTCAACAGGCTCAAGAGCAGTCGCTTTTACAAAAGGAGAGAGTCGCAAACAAGGAAATTCAGAAGCAAATAAATGCTTTGCAAGGAACGAAGGGCACAATTGATTCGGAGCAACATGCAGAACGTAATGGACTCACCGAACGAAAAGTGGACGAAGGTAAGTTGATCGCTTTACGAGCCAGATATACAGCGTAGTGAGAAAGTGACAACGTGGGTATTCTGCTTCAGCAGCGAAGAATTCGAAAATTGACTCGCCTGAGGAAGTCATCGCTGGAAGTAAGAAGCATCAACATGAGTCAGTGCGAAAAGACAAGGAACCACAAGTGACGCGTAAATTAAATGACATTGTACAGTCTTCTTGGCGTGGGTCTGATTTAGATGAGAAATCCAAAAAGATAACAAGAGCGGTAGAGATGACTGAAGTGCAGACTCAGACAGTAAACGATATTGCAACTCAGACCGAAGTCGAAGCAATTCATCCGATGCCTGGTATCACTTATCGCAGAGGTGGCTCTGCACGTCGTGAGATTTTGCCACATTCGTTGTACTCTACGGATCAATTCGATGACTCAAATCAAGTAGATGACGTCTCCCTGCCGAGCAGACTAAGAACAATGTCGGAGATCAGCTTGCACGAGACGACGTCCTCCATCAGGACCGAGACTGGGACAGAGATCAGCATCTCGACCAGGGATGTTACTTGCTCGTTCAACAAGTATTTGGATTTAGAAGTACGTTAACGCATATCCTTTAATACAGTCCATATCACCATACACGACTGACAACTTCTCTTCCAATCCTACAGATGGATCAGCTGATCGAAGACGAAAGGCAGAGGTATGACAAGATAGAGATGCTCTTCAAGTCTCGAGAGAAGACCTTGAACGACCGAACGAAGAAATTAGTGAAATTGGAGGAACAGAAGCGAGCTCTTAAAGACACTGGCCAGGACAGTCGAATCAGTTCCGTGAAGAAGAAGCAGCGAGCTCTACTTCTGAAGCTGCAGCAAGAGAAGGACGAGATGATCAGGTAAATAGATACCTTCGTAACGTAACAAGCCACGAGAAATGTCTCTTCCTCTTCAGTAACCATTACTCTGTCCTCAGACTGAAGGAGCTGCACAAAGCAGCGAGCCAGGAGCGCAAACTCATGTTGCAGAAACAACGAAACATGTTCAACCCACAGATGTCGACGAAGAACATTCTGACGAAGCTGAAGAGAAGTGCCGACAGCCAATCGCCGCGCAGATTGTCGGGTCCGATGAAGGGTTATGATATAAGGAGCAACAGTTCCATGAGTTCTTTGGTCGACTCCGATCGGTCCCAACTGGAGCAATCGCAATCACAGATCGAGGTAAAGCTGCACAGGTCTGATACCAGCTCGCACAAAGTCGGCAGCGAGTCGGTCAAGTCGGACTTCGAGCTCTCCGCGCGACAGGTAATTTGCATATTGGGAAAGAACTGAATATTAATGATTGAAATCGACAAGGATCATAAACTCAAGCTTATCTTCCCCAGAAATTCGAGCTGTCGAAGACTGACAGGTCGGAAGGATCAGCTCCTGAAGGAGTGCCAACGCCTAAGCCGGACAAGTCTGAAGGCGGAAAGAGTGCCGAATCGAAGCAGTTTTCGAGGACCCGAAAAGACGACGCCAAGTCAAGGTACGAGGTCAAATCCCAGAAGTTCGAGGAGAAGATGCCGAGGGTCGATTTGCTGCGTCTAAAGCCCGGTCGATTCGAAGCGGACTCGACGAAGAGTGCCGAAGGCAGTCCCCTGGACGCGGTCGCTCATGGTGCCGAGTTTCCCAAGTCGAGGACCAGCTCCTTGGAGCTGGCTGCATTGAACCTGGACAAGGTTGCCTGTAAACCCGATTACGTGAACACCGAGTCGGTGGACCCTCTCGTCGAGGAGTCCTCGAGGAGGTCGATGTTCGCGCAGATTCCCGAGAACTACGCGCGAAACGCGAGCTTGCCGAGAGAGGGGCGCAACGTTTGCGCGATCCCCGAGGGCGAGAGACGTCCTGAAAGTGCTACCATTGCCGAGATCTCGAAGTCCAAAAGGTCCAAGCTCCCCCAGGCTCCGGACGACTTTGTGGAGCTGAATCGTGGGGACGCATGGAAGTCTGAAAAACACACAATCGCCGATCCGGAGCTTCGCAAGAAGAAGGCCTCGCACCTTCCGGAGTCTAGGACCAGCTCCAAACGCAAGGGCTCGAAGAGTTCCACATCGAAGTCGAGGTCGGCATGCGCGAGATCCTGCGAGCACGCGATCAGCCACCACGGGAAGTATTCCAGGACCTCGAGAGACGAGCACCGCTCCAGGTATGACATCCTGGAGGAGCTCTGCGGTCTGGATGAGAGTCAGGGATCTCTCCAAGCCCTGGTGGACCACTCTCGCGCCGTCAAGGAAAGGAACTGCGCGCTGCTCAGGGATATCGCCGATGAACACAGAGATGCCTCGCAGACCTTGAAGAACGGCTCGCAAGACGCCGAGGACGCGCCCAACCTGGGGGAGGTCGCGACCAAGTCGCGCTTCAGCACCGTCGCCATCTCTCGCCACAGCTCCGGGGACAGCGAGAAGAGCTACTCGAGGTCGGTCGTCGTCACGGCGAGGGACCACCAGCTGAAGTCCTCGAAAAAGCTGGAACGGTGAGGGTCGTCACAAAGGAACCCTATTTCGTTTTATAAGATCTCGGGATCCGAAGGTATCCGGTAAACGCGGGTACTCCGATAAGCCGAGTACTAGCGCAGCAACGCTGAAGAGTCGGAGCGCGCGCACGCGTTTCTAATAATAACCCCGAAGAATGTGCACCGAGTCGAATCGTGAAAATAGACGCATCCCTTTCCGCGAGTTTGGCTCGCGACACGTATCGCGGCCTTCTCGAGGGGACGGCCCTAGTCTTCCGCGGAGAAAGAAGTCCGGTTCGTCAGGGTCCTCTTCAGGGCCCGCGAGACTCGGCTACGCCGCGACTAATCCTAAAAATTGTTATCTGGTAGGATACTCAGTGCACAGGAGGCTGCACTTACATCCCGCAGGAACTGCGTCGAGGAGTGGATCGCCTGGAATGCGAGGCTCCGAGCAGAGGAGAACCAGGTCGCTCGGATGGAGCAGGCTGCCTACAGACTGGCGAACGCCGCGTCGACCGCGCTCTCGCGCCACGGTAAGCTCACCTAGAAGAGCTTCAACGAGTTCAAGAGTCAATTCGATCACTGAATTTGAATAATCGGTTCCAGATACCACCGTGTCCTCCGACACGAGCGATGCTGAAGGGAGGATAGAGTTGCTGGCCGAGAAGCTGGCCGCAAAGCGGGCCGAGATGGCGAGGCTGAAGAGGGATGTCAGAAGACAAGCCAAACAGAGGCTCAGGGCCCTGGAGACGAACCTGCTGAATCAGATCGAGGTAGGGAACCCGGGGAGATCCTGGCTTGAATGGTAAATTCGGTCCGTTGGAACGATTCTTATTAATTAATACCTCCTTCCAGAGATACGACACGACCATCCACGAGATGCGGAAGAGGTTGGACTCGAAGAGGGTTACAGGGAGCAGTCCGGAGACCAAGTCGGCGGCGGAATTCAGAGTGCCTGAAATACCGATCCAGAAGATCCGCGAGATCTACGAGAGCAGCGACCTCCTCAGGTCGAGGTCGGAGTCGGACTTGATCCGCGAGTTCGAGGGGAGAAGAGGGGAGGAGTATTCCAAGGGTTCCCGAAGCAGAAGAGACCGGTACCAAGAAGGGGACTCCGTCGTGGACTACACCAACAGCGCGACCAGGGAAATTAGCGGCAAAATTAGAAGTGTCTCCGAAGTGGCGGAAGACCTCGTCGCGGCGTTCTCAAGGTCCTCTTCGTCGGTCAAGGACGTGACCGATCTCGAGGAGGTTAAGACGACGCAGCTTAGGGACAGGGTATCCTTGAAGAGCTCCCTGTCCGAGCAAATCGCAAGCGAGCTCGAGACTGGTTCCGATGTTGGTAGCTCGGAGGTGAGGTACACGGAGGAGCGACTCTCCTACGTGATCCCTGAAGAGGAGCGCGAAGAAGAGAGGACGTCGCAGCACTCTATGGGCAGCGGTTCCATTCCCGAAGAGAATGCGAAACCCGATTCCACGAGGACGACGACGGGGAACGCGGAGAGTGTGGATACCCTGAAGAGCGTGGAAACCGTGGAGACCGGGGAAATTGAGACAGAAAAGCCCACCACGAAAACCTCGGACCTGGGATCGGCTGTGCTCTCCAAGCGGCTGACTTTCCTCGAGCTCAGCAACAAGAACCTGAACGAGGACATCAGCACTCTGGAGAACGACTTGAAGATGCTCTCGGAGATGATGTCTCGCCTGGGGAAGAGGTCTTCGGACGTGGAGGAGGTGATCCAGCCTCGAGATTCGGCCGACAGGAGCACGTCCAAGGACATCTCCGAAGACCTGCCCAGTTCGGATAGGAATTATAGAATTCAGAGCGACTCCTTTATCCAAGAGGTCTCCGCCGAAGAGAGGGTATCTTCAACTACCTCGGGGATCCTCACGAATCGCGAGGAGGTTGATAAGGTCGAGCTCGCTATTTCTAGGGTGGATGGCTTGGAAAGAGTCGACAAGGTTGGAGAAACCACGGTCGACGAGGTGGAAGCTCGGCCGCGGGAAATTGATTTCGAGGCGAAGAGCAAGGAGATCCTGAACGAGATCGAGAGGTCCATCGTAGCTTCTGAGTTTGTCAAGCTGTCGAATGACGAAGGGACCACTTGCGAGACATCTAGGCGATCGTCCAGAAGGAACGAGCTAGGATCAAGGACCAGCTTCGACACCTCTTCATCCGTGGTACCAGAAAAGAGTGGAATCGAGGTCGCCACGTCCACCCTGCCTCCTTTAGGTCCGTTATCCGTAGATGTCGAGGTCGAGGAGTCGCAAGACGAGCCCTCGGTTAAGGACGAGGTGTTCGATCGCTCCTGCGTCACGGAAATCTCGGAGGAAGTTGAAGAGCTCCTTGAGGTCATTGAGGAGGTCAAAAGCGAATCCGAAAGAAGTTCTCCATTTATCGGGGAGACTTTAGGGATTCAGGATTTACCCTCTGAAGAGGCCTCGCCTAAGGTGATATCCAACGTGGTCTCACGTGCGGAAAAGTCTGTTCCTGATGAACTTCCTGAAGAGGGTAGGAAAAGTGACTCGAGAGACCACGAAGACTCGGACGCTCACATCGATGAAGATGTCTCGAATACTTCGGAAGCTAAGCTGGAGAGCGAGAAAGAGGTTGAAACTGTTGAGCAGTCTGTCGCTTCAGGGTCCTATCTCGGTCTTCAGCAAGAGACACTTTCTGGTGACAAAGTGGTCCCCTTGTTGTTGCTCGACGAACGAAAGTCAGTGGGCGAGGTCGCGGACGTGTCCTCGACATTCGTCCCGAGGTATGAATCGACCAGCATTGAGATCTCTGGTCCCGACCTTGAAGAGTCGATACCAGAGTCCAAGGCCAGCCCGGGATGGCGTCGAGGTCGCGAGGCCATGCAACTTGACGAACTCGACGACATCCTGGACATAATCGCTCAAGAGAGTGAAATCGAGAAGCCAGGTGTACTCGAAGAGGACCTAAAGGTTCCCCAGGTATCAGAAGAGGTCCTCCCATTGAAGGAGTCGTTAGATCTCGAGCTGAAGAGAGAGGAGGAGCTGCGAGAAGAAGAACCCACGGAAACCGTGCAGGAAAAGACTCCAGAACCTTTACTTGCTGAAGAGGCGATCTCGCAGGATAAAGAGGAAGAGAGCCCAGACGTCGCTATTCCTCCCGAGATCACTGTAGAACCTATAAAACCATTCGAGTTCTCAGAAGAGGTAGAAGCGAGCGAAGCCATCGTACTTGCTGAAGAAGAGGGTCCTGAGTCCTACTCGGACACCTGTACGATTGATCATGAAGCTCCGGATGAAAAATTGCTCCACCTGACAGAGAAAAAGGAAGCACCGGAGGAGGCTGAAAGAGAGAAAGAACCTGAAGAGCGAGCTCCTACTGTCGTTGCCTTGCCGCTGGAATATGAGGACATCTCCGAGGAAAGTCTGGAGGTGTCCGAGATTCTGGACGGCTCGCATGCATCTCGAGACTTCCTACGCTCTCCCGATAGATCGGAGACGCGAGTAGAGTCCGTCTCGGTAGTTGAAGAGATTCCTGAAGTCCCGGTTATTGAAGAGAAACCCGAGGCTACAGAGTCTAAGGCCATCGTCAGGGCTTCTCCTTCGGAATCTCCATCCGCGTCCTCGTTGTCCTCGACTTCTTCAAGGTCTTCACCTTCCTCTGCTTCGTCATCTCCGATAGAGGAGGCTGCACCGAAGGGTCGCTCCGTGGAGGGTGCCGGGGAGCCCGTGATAATCGGCCCTGAAGACGTCTCCTCGCAGAAGCAGGACGTCGACGCTTCTTCGGAGTCCAGCGAGGGGGTGGACACTCCTAGAGGAGTGTCCGAGATCGAAGCGGATTCCCCGAGAGACCTTGCGGAATACAGGGTCGACGAAGACCCCCTGGGGAACGCCGAGTCCAGAACCGACTTCAGGGCCACCCCACCACCCATCGTTGCTGGTACCACGGAAAAGGACATCGAGGCTGCTATCGATAAGCTGAAAGGTACCGATTAATATCCTATTGTACTTGAAATTAATGAAACAGCGAATTAGTTAACACATTCCGCGTTACCTGAACTTGCAGCTTCCTTGGAGCAACCTGGTCTGGAGGTGGCCGACCTCCACGCGAAGGTCCTGCGGATCGAGCAGCTGCAAATCGAGCTGAAGGTAAAAGACGGAGAAGAAAAAAAAAAGGGAGATTCCACTAGATTTGCACCACGAAGATGTAATGACAGAATCTTGTACCTTTTCAGATCAAGAGACTAGAGGCTGAAGAGGTGTCCTACTACGTCCGAGAGATCCCGAATAAACCGCCACCTCCGTACACCCCTCCTGGAGGTGGAAGGCACCGTCCCAGTCGAGCCTCCACGTCCCCTCCACCAGCAGTGGTACCGGCCAACGTTGACGAGCTCACCTCCTTCACGGAGAAGGCGACGACCTTGATCTACAACGCGAAGCAAATGGGCCAGGAGATCTCGACCCTGGAGGTGCCTCAGGAACTCTGCGAGTCCGCCAAGGAGAGCGACCCCATGAAGAAGGACCGGCGGATCTACAACACCTTCCTCTTCGACCTCTGCAAGGAGATCGTCGTCGAGGTGTACCGCACCGAGTACGAGAAGCCTGGCCCGAGCTGGACCAAGCCGAACGTCAAGACGAAACCTATGGTGAAGATCCCGAGGACCGCCGAGGAGCTCAACGAGTACGTCGCAAAGGAGGTGGCGACGCTCTTCGGCTTCAAGACGAAACTCCAGCGCGAGAACATGGTCATGAGGTGGAGCAGGAAACGCAGGGACAGGGTCGACGAGTTGCTGGCCAGGGAGGCCCAGACCGAGGAAGACGAGTGGACCAGGTTCCACCATGACGAGCTGGCCGTCAAGAACGAGCTCACGAAGGCTGTGCTCGACAGTCTCATCGTAGAAACCACCCGAGTTGTCAAAGCGGCCTATGCCAAAAAGCGGAAGATCATGGCCTGATCGATGGGCCTGAAGAGTCGTCGCTGAAGAGGGTCGAACCGTGGATGCTGAATCGCGAGCAATCGTCCCTAGGTTGCTGCCTCGAGGAGTCGAATCCAGGGATCAAGGAATCACCAGGATGGATCTTTCCTATGGTGGTCCAGACCTCGCACGCCGACCTGTCGATAATCAAATCTGTCCTAGGTCAATTTTTATTTACCGCTAGTTAGTACGTAAGGGATTTTAGCCTGATATCGAGGCAGGACTGCGCACGCTTCCGGGATCGTACCTGAAGAGACATCCTCTTATCTTAATCGAGAGACTTTCTCTTCTAACGAGAATTCCACGGGAGTTTCAGTGATATCGTCAACGCGGCTCTCTTGATACTCAGTACTTAATATTCTCTCCTCCTCGGTGCGAGATTACGTCGCATCGCTTCACGGCGATTTCATGGCTATTTAACGTGCATTTACGTCCTTCAGGGACGATCCGGCATGTTAGCGAGCGGACTCGCAGGGCCAATTACATTCCAAATGAGTAGGTGGTTATCGTTATTGCGTATCGACTAATCGCCGGATGCAGGATGCGCGCACTTGTATATACTGATAATGGAGTCGCGATCGCGTTAAGGGGTCTTAGCGTTGTCAATTTGATGGGACTGCCAACCGATTGCGCGCCTACATTTCTCGCGTATACCAGATTCGGCCTTTTGCGGTAGATACTCGTAGGAGATCTCGGTTTTTGCGGATTTCCCGGATATCGCCTCTTAAGTCTCTTCGAGTCCCTTCGAGGACTCGTAGGTCGGTTTATAGAATGAAAAGTGGGGTAATAAACCGCGAAACATTCCCGGCATTACCTTTGCCCGTGGGAAAACGATAAGGAACACCGAATTTGTTACGTACGTAGGTTTGAATATGTACTTAATTAGGTTCTATTATAATTTTTATAATAAAGTTGAGGAGTGAAGAGAAGAGGCGCCTCCACTTCTTGACCTCGGACCAACGGGAGATGTATCTTTTCCCGGGTTTTTCATTTTTATTCTTTAACGTCGCTGGTATGGGACGTGGGTGAACCACGGACACCGGTATCGAGAACTTCCAACCCCATATTTATTTCGGCAACGCCTTTTATATGAAAAAGTACAACACCACTTCTCGAGAGGGACGATACACTTTTGAGGGCGCGGCGGCCAAAGGTGGAGAGACAGTGCGCAGAGTCGTGACAATATGTTCATATATATATATAATTTTAATATCGTTAAACTTAATAAGTAGAGCTACTTGCCTCGTAATCGTCGTTTATCGTAAACTCAACAGTGAAATAGATTTAAATGTTATGTACACGCGATTACGTACGTGCCATGTTTTTCTTTCCCTTTTTTTCTTTTTCTTATTTTGGCATTTCGCCCCGAAAAAGTTTGGTTCCTCTTATGGAGTTCCCCGCGTGCCAGGCCGTTGTATGCAAAACCGAGACCTGGTGGAGCCTCTTCTGGGCCTGAAGAGAAAAAGGTGTTTTCTAGTAGAGAGAAAAAATAGAAGAAAGATTGAAAAAAAAAAAGAGAAAAAGGCGAAACCGGAGGTAACGTTACTCGGAGGCGGAGAAAGCCGGCTCCTCGGGTACGCGATACGGATCTCGAAGAGGAAAGGTGAGCGAAAGGGCAGAGGTGCTCCCGGAGATCAGATCTCCCTAATCGGCGAAAGTCCGCATATCCCGCCGTTTACATCGCGCTCCGTTTTAACGAGCCGAGCCCGCAAAGGTAAGAACAGGTAACGAGCACTCTCGGCGCCTTCCGGGCAGCACTTCCTCCTCGCGGCCGGGACGGTCCGCGGACAGAACTCGGTTTTCCGGCCCACCGGCGCGAGCCAGGGAAAATCGTCCGGGACGAAAGTTCCGCGGAAGAACGTACCCCGGAACTTTCGTCCGAAGCTTTTCGCCGTATCTCCCATCGGCGGCCCGGAAACGCGGAATCTCCGCGGGCCGCGCGCACCGATGTGAGACTCGTTCCCCTCATATGGGAGTTTTATGGGCGACCAGGGGGAGGCTTTAGACATAAAAAAAAGGATCCTCTAGGATTTCTAAATGCTCTCTCGGTCTCGCATAAATTAACCAGCCCGCGAAGAGACTCGAGGAAACGTTAATCTCGGTTGTAAACGCGAGCGACAAAAAACGACGGATCGACCGGAGAAAATTTTCGGTGCAGCTCGCGCGCCTTGCGGAATTCCGTCGCGCGTTTTCGCCCAAGCAGCCGGGTCGTCCGCACGCGGAAGACGGACTTCCCGTTGCGATTCCTCCGCTAGACTCAGCCGCGGAATTGCCTTTTAAAACGCGCCTCCGCGTGCCGAGCGCCCCGGAATAGCGGGAAGAAAAACCATCGAATGAAGGAAAATTGCAAAATGTAGGCGAAAAAAAGAAAAAAGGGAGGGAGAACGAATACTCGGAGGAAATTCATCGTTTTAAGGTGATATCAAAGTGTCACTCCATATACCTATATATACATATCAAAACGTCAAAATATTGATCAAACTTTTCCCCGAAATGGGTGCACCGAAATTATCTGGAACCTTAACACGTGATTACGGAGGCCCTATAAAGGACCGCGACGTTCTTGAAATTTCATCTTTCGAAAAAAAAAGAAATTCTTTTTTTCGTGGTTCTTATCTGAGATAGGTAGAAATTTTCTTTTCTAAAGATGAATTCTCACGAGCATCGCGTATTCCTTTAGGGCCTCCATAATCTTGGGAAGTTTCATATGTGCATAGGTGCACCCGATTTGGAGAAACGTTTTATCAATATTTTGACGTTTCGGTACGTATATATATATATGAGACTTTCTTATCACTTTAATAGTGGCGATCGCGACAATTGAATTCCGGGGCCCTAGGCACATTCGAGGGGGTACCCTAAAGACATTTCCTCATTTATTGCCGTGCTACACAATCCTCTCGGAGGCAACGACTTCAATTAGTGTTTATCGTTCCCCCCGGGGCGGCCTTAGGTTGCCCTGGGGCGCGAACGCGCTTTACTAATTAATTTAAATTATTCAAATGGTTTAAATTTACGCCTAACGCACACGACCGCGCAATCGCACGCGAGAGTCCCCTACCTCCTTCGCAGCGGTCCTCGTTTTTAAACGTACTTTGAACATTGGTTGTAATTGGCACAGAGAGTACTTCGTCAATTAGCATCGATATGTTCCTCGCGCGCGGTTCTGTAAAGGGCTCTCTCCTCGCCGAGGCGTTTCCCGCCTCGTTTCCCTCCCCTCTCGGCATCTCTCTACTGGACTTTCCTCGAATGGACGCGAGCCTCGCCGTGGAGGGAGTAAAATTTCGCAAAATAGCCTATTCCTAGCCCTCGCCCTCTAATCCGCAGGGCTTGAGGGGTTTTCGCGTATACTTGGACGCCTCTCTTGGAACACTTAGCGCGGAGGCTTCGGCTTTCACCCCTCGCTTCTCTGTCGACCCTACTTCGCCCTCTCTCCCGAGAGGTTCGCAGAAAATTATATACCTAAGAGCGATCATTAAGGCGGCACGAAAGTGCCATCCGAAGGGCCAGTCGGTAACTTTTCTCCGAACAGAGCGTGCCGAGTCGCTTAAGACTTTGCAACGTGGACCCGGAGGCCGTAAGGGAGGTTCCGACACCGATGACATTTCATATCTTTAATGAAAACGTTGGAAATGCCTGTAAAGAAATTTTGCAAACGTTCCACCGACCTTCCTTATGGCCGAAGCATCCACGTTGGGAGGTTCGGTATACTCTGTTAGGAGGGAAGGGAAATAAACGAGGCCGGCGCCACTTTCGTACCCCCTTAATCGCGAGTCCTCGTGGCAGAACATCTCCAGGGTGGCGTCGCTTAATCTTTCCGCGGTTTTTACAAATTCTATACGTCGACCTTTCGTCGAGAGGGAGTCTCCTCCGCGCAGGTGGAAAGGTCCAGGTAAAGGGTTAACGAGGTCTTCGCTCTTATCGCCAGTGTCTCTGTCCTCTTTTGCCCACGGTGTCTTAGGTAGGAACTCGGAAGAAGAGAGAGAGGAAACCCAAAGCTTTGAAAGTCAGAGAAACAAGCGCGATCCTGGAGGATTGCTTATCGTATATATCAATATATATATATATATCCTAAATATTTATAACCTTTCGATATAATCTCTAGTATCGGCCTAACGTTATTCGTGGGCGCCGTTAAGCGAACCGCACCCCTTGGGACACGGGGAACACCCTGTCTAATATATTAATATATCCCATACTCTATCCTCCATTACTTGAAATCCTGAATTTAAGGTGATATTAAAATGGCATTAATGAGGTCTCTTGTATTAAACTTATATCCGAACCGGGTCTATCCAATCTATTCAAACTTTACAACGTGAACGCGATATAAAGAAGGCCCTCATGCCCGTGAAATTTCAATTTTCTTAATTTGTTTACATTTTCTTAAATTTTCATATAGAAAAGGGAAGTTTCATGGGTGTCGGGACCTTCCTTATAGCCTTTATATTCACGTTGTAATGTTTAAAGAGACTCGGTACACCCATTTCGGAGAAATATGTTATTCCTCGGAGGTGACTTTCACACCCCCTTAATACCCTACTTTCTCGTTATAAAGAAAAATCCAGGATTAATTCGATCGTCACAAAATATGAAGCCTCGTCATTTATCATTTTTTACAACAGCTCGTACCTCGTGTTCTAGAAATGCGGCGCCCTTAATCGGCACTTAAAAATAAGCGAGCGAGTAAGCGAGTACGTACGAGAGGGGCGATTCGCCGTGTGCGCCGTTAATTGCGGACCACCGTACCTTAACGAGTTACAAATAAATACGTACAAGAGCGTTCGTAAACTAATCGCTAACGAGTTGATCGTCACGTATTTATATATATATATATATTTGTATGTATAAACATATATATGCATATATATAATATGTATAATGTGATATATAATATAATCCCTTATATTATACACACAGTATAAATGTTATATATACATTTATATACATAAAGTATTTAAATAAAACGTTTGTACTATAGCAGTATAGAGCAGTCGTTTGTGATATTCGTTATGTATTGAAAAAACAATTCCCGTCGTATCAGTTGTACCGCCGCTTATCACAGCTTCCCAGCAAACGCGCTCGAGACTTAACGACTCGGTCCCACCAATTCAATTAAATCTCCTGTAAACCTAACGGTGGTGAATTATCGCGGTTGCGCAATCCGTCGTTGCATAATCGCAGGGGGCGTTAACGAGGGCGTTTGCTGAGTTTCCCGGCGCCGCGCTCGTCGCTTTCTCTCCCCCCTATGCGAATAATTAATTCTTCTCTCTAATCATATTTTCCTATATTAAATCGCACCATAAGACGGAAAAGCGGGAAGATAAGCGACGCTAGCGGGCACCCGGGAAGCTGGGAAACGCGTCCACTTTTCATATTCGCCTTTCCATATCTCCCGTTAGTGTGGCGCGGTTCCTGATGGTGGCGCGGGCCGGGGAGCTGCGCGCGCATCCGGTGCACTCGGCGCCGCGTTTTACATGCGTGTGTGTATATAAACATACGTGTAAGGTAAATAGCACCATTTTAGAGAGTAAACCAGCCGAGGCAAGGGTTGAAACGAGCGAACAAAGGGTGAAAAGCACGCACGCTCGAGGAATTGGACGGGCCTGCGAGAGCTCCGTAGCTTCGGAAACGAAAGTCGCTAAAGAGGGGAACCGGCGACTAGAAAATTTAGAGGGACGCTTCCGCTTAAGCGACAATGATCGGGAACAGTACGGGGACGAGATTCGTCGACTAATTTTGACTTCGGCTAATTTCACGCTAATCGCTATCAAAGAACGTGCGCCCTTAGCGTGCCCGAGGCGACGCCGGTCTACACGAATATCGGTATGTCGCTATCACCGCCGTCTTTGTCGTAATCACTATTAACCGTTAATCTCCGCGATATCCTCGTTTCTCCTTCAATATATTAATTATAAGTATGATATGTTTATTCACAACTTAATGTGAGCGCTTAGAGTCGAACCCCTAGATTCGTAAGGACATGTAATAATGACGTTACTCGCTAGTTAAGTACAACGCTATTTAACATTAATCTCTCTAGTAATAATGATAATTCATCCACTGACGGACAGTATTAGTACGCGTTATAATTCTAGTCATTGTCAAAAAGTTATTAGTGTTCGGAGGTCGAAGAGCAGATATCCCCTCTCGCGCGGGTTTTCGCCGGAATCGGTCGCGCTCGGCGATTATTAATCCTTTTCTCATATACCCCATCTCATAATAATCTCGATAAACTCGCTATCACTCTATATCACGGTAGGTACTCAGTATTTCGCGTCCTGCGAGACCGTCGCGAGACCTCTTATTTTTATTTTTTTCATATTCTTTTCTCTCTTCCCCCTTTCTTGCCTTCAAAGTATCACAACCACGGCGGTATTGCAAAGTATCCACGGCCGGTGATCGACGCGCCCGGGTAAACGTCAAACGAGGTGAAGGATCCTTTCGAAAACGTACTAAAGGACCTAAGGGCGAAGGAGGTCCCCGCGTCGCGACGTCGGGGAGGGGTCTTAGCGAGATAATACGCGAAGGGTCCCCCAGGGGCGCTCCGCGCGCGAAAACCCGCGAGGGCCGGTCGAATACTAGGTTGTAATTCGCTATTCTACATCGAGTAATAAAAATAGATCGCATAGACTGAGTTTCGCAGCGCATGCACCTAGGTGTAGGTACGCTATATCGTAGAAGATTTATCGTAAGCTTAAATGCACCGTTCGCGCTGATATATCGGCGGGTCGCGGAGTCGCCGCTCCCACCTAGCGACGAGCGAAATCGTACACGGCCCGAAAATCTCGATCTTGGCCCCTGAAAATATCCTCGATAATCTTCAGGAACTTCCTGCAAAACACCGGCCAAGACCAAGACGCGTCCCCGTGCCTCGATTTTACCAGAGGAATACGTCTTCCAGCCGTTTAAGGGGAAGTAAAAGCGCCGTCAGAGGCCTCGTGAAACTCTTCTCCTAACTGAGTATACCGAATCGTTTCCAAATTTACGACGTGGACACGGGGGTGGTAAGGAAGGTCCCTACACCCGTGAAATTTCAATTTTGTAATTTGTTTATGAACATTTCTTAAATTTGGTATGTAAGGGAATTGAGATTTCATGGGCGTCGGGATCTTCCTTGTAACTTCCGCACTCGCGGTGGGAAGTTTGAAAGGATTCGGTAGATCGGTTCGGATGTCACTTTGACAGCCCCTTAAAGAATATGGATAAGAGGTGTTGATCAGCCCTGAATGTGAAGCGTGGGTTATAGGACCGTGAGCAACTTTGCTCGTCGCTACCGATCACCAGGTCCCGTATCTTCCTGGCAGAGGTCGGACCGACACAGCTAGACATCGGAGGGGCGAGAAAGTGAGACAAGGCAGACGGAGACGAGGAGGAAGCGAGCCCCTCACTGCAGGTCCTCCTCGCACTTCGGGATGTCGAAGATCTCGGCGAAGAGCGGCGGGAGCTTGAGCTTCGTCCAGTTCCTCCGGAACCAGTCGAGGAGGCTAGCATGCCTGACGCCGAGGGCCCTGAGCTCGGATATCCTCCGGGACAAGCCCGGCATCCCCGAGGAGCTCCCAGTGGACATGGGCTCGCCGGACGAACGACTCCTGGAGCTGGCGTGCACCCTGAGGGCCTCCAACACGCGGTCCTGCAGCCTTTGCACGGCCTTGACGTCGTTCAGGCCTGGTCTCTCCCCCAGGAGTACCGCAGCCGAGAAGAGCCCCAGCTCCCCGTCCGTCAGCTGGTGCGCGTTCAAGGCCGCAGTGAACTGCATCAACGCCGTGACGAACTCGGGCTGAAGAGACAGTGACCATGAGAAACCCAGTTACCATATCTATTAATTAACTAAACGCAAACGACAGATTTAATCTCCCCCCTCGACAATAGCATCCTCGACTACACGAGAGGTCCTCGAAGAAGCCGATAAATATCCTGAATTTCCATCCACGGACGCGACAGTCCCTGTTCAGGGTGTCAACGCACCTCGTACATGATCTCCATCTGCTGCCTGGTGATGTAGGTGCCGTCCTCGAACGTCATGGACGACTCGGTGGTCATCCTGGACACGTGGGAGAGCCAGATCTCGAAGAAGCCCACCTTGATGAGGATCAGCTGATCGTCCTGCGAGAGGTCGCAGAACCCGGGCACCCTCTTGGCGAACTCGACCACCCTCTGCACCGAAGGCGTCACCCTGGCTGCTAGCTGCTGCCACAGCCAGATCCTCTGGGACTCGACGGTCTCCGCCGTGGACGACGCGGCTTCAGGGTCCTCGGGGCTCGCCGGCTGGAAATGCATTTTTTTTTAACTACGCGATCCTTCCCTGGATCGTTTCCTTCGATATATGGGTGGTTCTTACGGGTATTATCATCGGCTTCCGGTCGAGGCCCCTGGTGGACTCCTCGGTGAACCCGCAATGGGCATGGTGGGCCTGAGACACCGCCAGGATGACGTCGTACACCGCCACGTGCTTCGCGTCTGCATCCGACTGGTCGGCTTCGACGGTCACCGAGGGCTGCACTCTGGAGATGGCCGACTGCATCTGGGAGTGACCCCCACTTGGCATCTGCTGGACGTTGCTCGTCCTCGTTATCGCCATGGTCGTCATGGTGGTGGTCGCCGTGGTAGTCGCGGTGACCGTCGTCGTCGTCGCTGTCGCGGTGGTCGTCGAGGTGCTCGTCATCGTCGGCGCCGAGACGGAGTCCTCGGGACCGCGTTCGCGGGATCGCTTCGGCACGCGGCCGTACCTTACAGCTAAAAATGACGGATTATTAAAGTGACATGAAAGGGTCATTCAATGTCTACAAAACGTCTAAATATTTATAAAACATTAATCCAAACTGGATCCACCAAATCGTTGGAAACTTCAGCATGTGATCGTGAAGGCCCTAAGGAAGAGCGCAGTGCTTATGAAATTTCATATTTAATAAAATATTTTCATTTATCCCAGACTAGAACCAAGGATAGATTTTTTTTCTTTTTAATGAAATTTCATGAGTACCGGGTTTTTCCTTAGGGCCTTCGTAATCAGGATATTTATCAATGTCTGATCAAAGGGAGAGTATCCACTCACAGTCCCTGGACATGCCGACAGCCAGGCACTTCTTGAATCTGCAGAACTGGCAGCGGTTCCTGTTGAGCCTTATCACCAGACACTTGCCGTCCCTCAGGCACCGATACTCGATCTGCTTCTGGATGCTCCTCCTGAAGAAGCCCTGAAGAGCGGAAAAGTAATTAGGGACCTCCCTTCGGAAATCTACAATTATCCATGGATCTCTGGTTCACCCACCTTGCAGCCCTCGCAACTGGTCACCCCGTAGTGATAACCACTCGCCTTATCGCCGCAGACCTTGCAGGGTACAAAGCTCTTGGCAGGCGTCGAGCTGTTAGAATCAGCAGCAGCGTAGTGTTGCTCTGAGGGCAGAGGGTGAGAGAGAAAAGTAAGAAATGAGAACAGATCAATAATGCGACGGTAATTAACCAATCTGCATAATTGGCACGCGCCGCCCCGATCTGGGGCGAAATTTGCACGAGAGGGTGTGCACCTAGACCCCTTCTTCTTATTATTCCCTCCATTTTTTTTTTTTTCATAATCTATCAGCCCTCGCTCGATAATGTCCTCGCCGAAGGACCCTCGCCGAAGGACTCCAACTAAACCGGGGATTCCCTACGGGGGGAAGCTGCACGATCTCTCGGAGTAATCCCGCCGAGATTCCCCCGCGTTCCGAAAAGCGCGGAAACGGTAACGACCTCGAGGGACCGTTGCATAGCATCCTGCATTTCCGCGAGAGTTCGTTGCATCCATAATGCAGCGGTGCAGTCGAGCCGGGCTCGACTTGCGTGGGTAACGGATACCCCACGTCACCGTTACAGGGAGGAAAAAACCGGGAGGAAGAAACGCCGCAGACGCCGGAGGAGAGTTTGCAGCGGCTTGCAGCAGCGAGCAGCAGCTTACTGCAGTTTGCAACAGCTTGCAGCAGGCTGCAGTAGCTTGCAACAGCTCGCAGCAGGACTGGAAACCGAGTTACCGTTCGCGTAGCGAACCCTCGAGGAAGACGTCCCAGAGCGAGCCGACGTCCGGAGGCCCAGAAGAAACGCACTTTGTGCAACTCGCGTATCCGTAAGAGGGTATCCGGCATCGCCAGAAGCACCGGGACCGGTGCCCAAGGAACGTCCCCAGGCCTCCAGGATTCCGAGTCGTTTCCGAAAGGCCGTTCCTACTCTGACGGAGAGAAAAAAAAAAAATGACATTGACCGACAGAAGTATTCCTTCGAATAGTGTCGAACGGAAGGTCATGTAAATTCAAGGAATAATTATCTCCCTCAAGTGAACTTGAATAAATTTGACCGTAACGTTCCTTCGAAAATTACGACAGTTTATTACGGTCAAATAATTACTCCTTTGAGTTAACAAAATATTTCCTTGGCACGATGACATTTTCTTTTTTTTTTCTTCCTCGGTCTAGGTCTCTCGAGAAATGGCCGCCCGTCCATTCCGTCCCTTCTCGATGTTCTTCGAGAATGAGAGAATTTCAAAAGCTTACAATTACAGAGTTTAAGGAATTTCTAAGAGATGCCTAGGACGGGGTGGATCGATTAGCTGGTTACTTCTAGTGTTCTATTGTATTTTAATTTCTCTAGACGAGAAACGCCGTGGCCAGGTAACTGCCGGATAGATAACGGACTCGAGGATTTCAGAACGAAACGAGATGGATTTCGGATATCGATCGAATATATTGACCCTGGAGGGTCCCTAGTCATTCGCACTGATGCGTGGACTCACCTAATCGCAATTTAGCTGGAGGATCGCGCCTATTCACTCGGATATCGTCAAGGAACTTCGACTTTCGCCACGCGCTCGTTCTCGCTGTGTGGTCACAATGGCTCTCGCCGGGCCGGGCCCTTTTTTGCCCGGAATCGCGTAATCGACGTTGGGAATTTGACTAGCGGGAATATACAAATCGAATCGATCGACCTCGATCACCTAAATACCTACACTTGTCGATAAACGGTGATTCCCGATTTTTCTCGAATTTTTCTAGGGAAGAAAAAAAAAAATAATATTAAAGGCGGGAATTTCACAATTTCTCAAGTCATATCAGGGAACAAGTACTCCCGCCACGGGGAGTGAAATAATTATTCGTGATCATCCATCGTTAGCAAAGTGACAGCCTTCAGCCCTGCGATAACCCGAGGGACGTTCGAACGCGTTAAGTGCATCAGCGTGGCACTTTCGTAGATATTTCCCGGGAAAAGTCGGCCTCCATTCGTCGTGAAAGCGCGGAGCGACAGCGACGACAGGGAGGAAGTCAGCCGGACGGGTTCGGGGGGCAAACGCCCCCGGCCGCCGTCGGGGGCAAAATGACACCAGAACGGATGGTCGGACGTCGACGGTCGCAATAATGCATAAGCGCGAGGGATATTGCGCGTAGACGGGCGTCGGGGCAGGGGTGCAGGTCGGGGGGGGGCAAGTGCCCCCGGATCCGATCCGGTCGATAGTTCCCGACTCGATGCCGACGCCTGGGACTAATTGAGCACGCCGTCGCGATTTCAAAAGGCAATTACCCGAACTAGAGGATACCTCCACCGTCTGAGGGGGGTCGTCCGCCCCCTGCCCCCCCGATCGGATCCGCGAGACCCGCGACACCTGCAACTTGTCCAGGATAATTATAATTGCACCCGAGTGCAGTTATAATTATCGAGGGGATGCAGCGTTTACGGGCCCCCCCGCGATTTCCCGGGGGCTCTCCTTTGTTTGCGATCCCCCGTAACGAGTGGAGGCCCCGCAATTATACGGCGTGTCGTTAATGCACTCGCATCTCCTCCCTCCCTCGCATCGCCGACGCGTGCTGCGGCCGCGAAGGACGATGCACCGCGCTGGCCCGTGGCCTCGACCTAGGTGCTGCACTTCTCGTACCTCCAAGACGTGTCGCGTGTTTACAAGGAAGCGTCGCGCGGTGCATACGCTTTTAGATGCATTCGTATGCAGCCGGTCGCGGTCCGTCCATCCGTCCGACCGAGCGACCGAGTGCAGTGCGCGAGTATGCCTCCTGCGCCGGGACGCCTCGGCATCCCGACGCCCCTTGCCCGATATTTTCCTGGGATAAAAAGGGGGCCCTTGAAACCGATCACGATCGAGGATGGCGAAAGATCGATAGGGATCGATAGAGGTCGATAACGTTCCCATAGGTCCCCCTCCATGGCGGAGATCGCGCCTCGGGACTCTCAGGCCCCGACTCTTCCGTATTTCACCTTCTCTCTCTTTCTCTCTCTCTCTCGGGCCCAGGGTGCATACTAATGCCCGCGCCGACGGAGACAATTTATGGCTCGCTATTTAATCGGCCGGCTGCTTTCCCAGAGTGCTTTCTCGATGCAGCCCGAGAGCTCGTTGCGCAATCGGGCCCGCTCTCGTGAGGCCCCGATCGGGGACTTACTTCTTCTCTTGTCTCTACTCCCGTCTACCGGGTGATCTTTCCTCACCGTCCTTCGCATCTCCTCCTCCTCCGTTTCTCTCTAAAAATTTGGAAAAAGGGTTCTGACCTCTCCTCGTACATTCCTATCTACGCTGAGGGAAGAAAAAAAAAAATACTCGACTCAAAGAAATATACATTGCAGCGAAATCCTACGATGACATACGTCCAAAGAAACGTCGGTCAATGGAGGAAACTGTAACGGGCCCAAATATACAAAAAATTCTAGGAGCTAGAAAATTCAAAAAACTAAACTTCTGAATAATCGAAACCTTGCATACCATCCCCGGTACACTGAGAATGATATGTAATTGCAGGAAATAATTATTTCGTGGGGGATAAAAATTATATCGTTGATTCATACGAATTCCCTTTATTCTTGCTTACGTCTCTTCTCAGGGCATTTGATTTTATGAGGATTTCCTAATAGCAGTGCATATTTCTTCGAGTCGACCAACCCTTTTTCCTTAGCGCATACGAAGATGGAAATCGGCGGACTGCACGCGAGTGCAGCTGCAGCTGCACTTCCGACGTGGGGAGATTTACCGCGGATGTTGGGATCCCGGGTGCGTACGGGGTTCCCGGGGTTTTATCACCACCGAGTGCAAGTATCGGACACTAAGTGTTACGTGCATTGCGCTTAGGAACTAATAAATCTCCCCCCCTCCCCTGACTAACTGCCCCAAGTATTATCGGGGATGCAACGCGCACCGCGAATCAATTCGCGAGCAATGACGAATTACCTTGTGGATTTTCGCTCGAATCAATTCCCCTCCTCCCCCGTTTATTATTCCACGTGGTGGTCTCGTTATTGCGAGGGATCGTTACGCGTCCACCTGTTATGCAAAGGATTTTTAATAAGGAGCATTGTCCCGGCCGATCACTAATTGGCACATCGGGAACAACGGTAATTGCGTTGGGGTTAATACTTTCCGCGACCCCTCTGCTTTTATTTATCACATCCCTCCCCTCCGTTATCGCCTCCCGTCTCCCACCCTCAGGTGCATCGCGGGTCGAGGGACGCGTGAGAAAAGTGCATCCGCGGCCAAGTTCATTGCCGCCGCATCCGACTAGTTATGCAATCCTCTAATTGCGCTAATTAATAGGCCGACTGCAAGTCTTGCTAATTAAATACCGCCCTGGCATTATGCACCGGCACGCGTAAGAGGCATTGTCGCAGTAGCATCTCTTTCCTTCTCGATAAGGACCCCTGTAATCACGCGACAAATCTCCTCGGGGTGTAAATTGCGCGCGATAACGTTTCGACCTGAAAAAAAAATAAATAAATAAAATAAATAATAACGAAGTACTTCGGATATCCCGGAAACATTATTTCCGTAATCAATGGATCCCCCGAGTGCACTTAACGGCGATTCCGTTTCTCGTTGGGAGATGCACGGATTATTAGTTCCGGTTTGAGGTATGAAATTACGAGGCCCCGATAAGACGGGGGTTCATATCAGGTGCCCAATTAACGGGTATCATCACCGGGCAACTTCGTACCCGGGAAGAGTGGATGCAGAAACTTTGCCGACTTATCGAAAATCCTTAGCATATATTTCCCGGGATATTAATTATTAATGCGCATCTTTTAAACGGTTAGTTTAGCGCCTGCCGATCGGTGCAAGTGCAAGGCAGAGTGTCCGCGGTAATTAGGAGAGGGACAACGACCCGTGCACTAATTACTCTCCCGTTGAAAAAGCGGAACTCGGAGAAAGCGGAAATCACCTGGTGCGCTTCCTCTTTCCTTCGGTCCGTCTCTCTCGGTCGCACGGGGCGTCGCTTAAACGGACAAGGACAACGCGTCGCGCTTCGTTGTTCATTGCCACTGCCATTGCCACTGCACTTGGCCGGCCGTAAATTCCCTCCGCACTTGGCTCTGAGTTCGAAAGGAAGAAAAAAAGAGAGAGAGAAAAAAAATGCGCAGACAAAATTTCCGGCTCAGGAATTAAGGGGGGATTAAAAAAAAAAGAATTAAACCGTAAAAAATTCCCGCGCCGTTCCAATTTGCATGCACCCGAGCTTGCTCCTCTCTTCCGACGTACACAAGTACGAGCCGATAACTCGCGACTGCAATCATGTAAAGCCCAGTTGTATCGATCTCACCAGTCGACTTAACCTTCCCGGTCGGGAGTTAAAGTAACACAAGTGAGACCGAGTAACTATCGATTTTACGGCGTCTCGACGTCTCGAACGAGCTCCTTAAACGACGTCCCGATTCCTCGCTTTCACCGGCCGATAACCAATACGAACAATCGGCTGGTAATCTCGTAACGAGATTTATCGATCACTCCAGAATTTCGGAGGTGCTTTGATGAGATCCCAAAAAAAGGCACCGAGCCTCCCCCAGCCCCTCCAAATTCACCGACGTATTAATTCATTGATTGCTTAATTTATTAAGATATTCATTTCAACCGCGCGTCTGTAATCTAGCCATAAAGTTCTGGGCATTAATTTCTCTTCCGCGTTTGCGCGTGCCTTTTCGAAATATCGAAAAAGCGGCGCAACAGGAAGGGAAACAATGGAAGATGGGGGGATGTGGGGAAGCATTTCCTGGATACGAACGGGAAGCTCAAGGTTTCCCATCTCCCCTCTGCACATATCCGTGCATCCGCATGTCCACGTCGAAATCCGTGATGCACGCGTGCGAGCTGCAACACTAGCGGGGCGTGAAGAGGGCACGTCTAATAACGCGACCCCGTGTGAACGTTTCCGCATCGATCTGCCCGGAAAAAAAAAGGAAAAAAAAAAACAACGCGCAGCGAAAGTCTAATCGAGCCGCGGACGTTCGTACAGAGCTATTGCATAGTGTGCACTTTTCGGTGCACTCATGCACCTAGGCGCGTGAACAATTCCGTTTCGCGATTCGAAGAGTCTTTCGCAGGCCTCGAATTTTTCTTATGAAATAAGGAGGAAAAATCGGTATAAATAAAGATTAACGGTAGAAATTAATTGCGGATAAAGAGTATCGCTTGGACGATCCCCGAGTTCCTCGAGAAATTAAAAAAAAAAAAAAAAAAAAAAACAGTATTACGTGAACATCTTCGAAATAAATTAATTGCATTTAAAGGGTATCGCTCGAGGTATTCCGACTGGCCGGCGCCGACTTTTCCCGGGGCTCGGCGATGCACTCGCCGATGCATCGGAGCACACCCGAGGCGCGTAAAGCCCCGAAGTTATTACGGCATTGTTCCCGAGGTACAGTTTCTTCTTAACTCGCGCGGTGCATCGGAGCGCATCCGTGCATACAGATGGTACTCGGGGCGAAGCCCAGAGATCGGGGATCGGCGTTTCACTTGCACTTCGCCCGGCGATGCACCGCCGGTGCATAAGAAAACGTCCGATCGTGCAGGGTCGGACTTGGATCGCGATCGATCGCCAAACTCGATCGCGAGGGCTCGCCTAATTGGCGCCAGC